CTAAATAGAACTAACGTCATCAGTCAAAGAGTGGGCAGAACAATTACGCAATCAATTAAATAGTATGTCTAATTAAGGGTTAATTAAAATGGGCAAAAATGCTGATATGACATCATTGTAAGATGTGAGTCGTAAATGGTTGATACAAATGGGTAAACATCATGTGACACTATATCGTTGATGATCACTGCAACATCTTGTCACATAATAATATGTCATCTTTTTGTCATTAATCTTATCACTTAACTGTTATTAATCAATCAGTTTAAAATGTCTGGCATTATTTTCATAACATATCTACATATCTATGAGTAAGAATATAAATTAAACTGTGCTCTATCATGAGTGGGTTGGGAAAGGTGGAGAGGGGGGGGGGGCTTCTCAGAATGAAACTAGAGATATTTTTACTATATTTTCTTAACTTCATTTTCTCAGCATTAATAATGGTTCATAGTTTTAACATCTCACTATGAAAGTAAAATTTTATACATTTTTTACTGTTGCTAATTCTTAAATCCTGCAGTGAAGTACATAAATTTGTTATATGTAAATTAAAGCTATCTGGTTTATTTAACAAACATAAAACAATTATTTTTATTAATATTTGTCTTTATAACAGTATATTTTAATATTTTTAGGGACGGTTTTTTGTGTTGGTTTTTTTAAATATGCAGGGTTGAATTGGTGGAGGGCGGGATTCAGGAAGGTTTTATGCAAAGGCCTGTACTTGTTGTCAATAATAGAAGCTTCATTTGGGTGTTAGGGGTAGGTAGATACGAACATGTCCATATATAATATTTTTCTGTGGACTCAAAGCTACTGCATTATTAATTGAGGTTATACTTTCAGGAAATTTTCAGGAATTATATAATAACTTTCAAGGAAAATATTGTTTTGGCAAAAGTTTATTTCATAAAGGATAAAAATTGCTTTTAAGCTCAGGGTATAAGTAAAAAGGATGTAATTTATAAATTTTACTATAAATATACTATGGGAATGGTGTAAAATAGTTTTTGTACCTATTGCATGGAAATGGAGTGCATTTTTTTTTCCAGCGGTGCAATGTATTTGAACATCTTGGTAGTTTTATTAAGTTTATATTTGGGATAATGCCTTTTATTGGATCACATGGAGGACGGGTTATTATACCATCTCTTGAATTATCTGAGTGTCTATGACAGACAGTGGCGTTGCTGTGTTTGTAGATGTCTGTGTGTAAGTTAATTGCTCCTCAAATAGATTAGAGTTTGTCACATTGGCCTCGGACACACTTGTAGCTGGTAGCTCATCGTCATCAAATGGGTTAACAGTGACATTAATGACATCTTCCTACAACATTGGTTTTCATTTTCTGTTTAGATCATGATAATTTGTTTTTTTTTTCAAGGTAATTTTTTTTTTTTGACTAGTGGTGATCCCTGACAGAGGCAATGAAAATAACAATATAATACGAAAATTGCAGACTTGGATTAACCCATTACTTCATGAGCATTTTGTGAAAAATGGCTGTTTTCATTGAAAAGTCTCCCGTTACAAGTTCAAATTGCTATAATACTATAAAAACTGCTTCAACACTAATCAAACTTGGCACAAATGTTGACTGGACCATTGCCCTTGCAACAACATGCTCAGGCTTAAATTTTCTGTTACCATGGCAACGAGGGGACATCTCAAAATTGCCAAAAATCACTATTTTGCGTTGATTTTTTCCATCATATTTGATTTCAAAGTGCTGCAACTTCTCAATGGATTGAGGTTGAGTCAAATGCTTTTCAGTGTTGGTTACACGTTACGTTATGATCAATCTGGGGTCATTTATAGCCTCTCACAAGTCCAAAATTTTCTTGGCGATGAGGGTGACTCCGCCCCCCTTCAAACCCCCCAAACAGAAAGGGGGCACATCCCCCTTCTGGCAACCCCCTGATGTATCTTCTGGTTGGGGGGCCGCGCCGAAAAAGTGGTCATTTTTTTAAACAACATTTCTCAAACAAAAACAAGTGTTAAGGGCCTAAATAATGCATTTTTTTCACCATTTGAGACAACAAAAAGGGGGGGGTGAAAAAGGCGTTAAAAGGCGTGTATATGAAGTAATGGGTTAAGACATCTTATGCAGCCTTTTATAAGATTTTTGACAGATTATATGGCTAATGATAAACAGTAAAACTTTTATAACCAAAACTGCAAGCTTGTTTACTGTTAATATATGGCTATGCTTTCAGTAATTCCAGTTTTTGAAGAAGAAAGACCTTAGATGCACTCAGTGCATTTCTTCTCCAAGTAGACTATGGCAGGTAACTAAATACATGTACAATGATTGTACTTTCCCCACATGAAACTCAAAGGTGCCTGTCTGTATTTGAATCTAGAGCTACAGGCCTGGAGCTATTGCAAACAAGTAATATTTAGTCAGCAACTTAAAGCCTTTCCAAAGTAGGGTCCCTTGTGTCAAAAAGGCAGTTTCCTCCCTTTTTTATACTTAACACATGATTATTTTTCAATATAAATGATGAGAATACTATGATCAGGTAAATAATAAATATCACATCATACACAACTGATACATTCAAACCAACATAATATAGAACCTAATGTAATCATGTGATCAAACATACTATCATTATTAAATGGTAAACAAATAGTTTTAAACAAGGTGAGTGTTTATAGGTACATTAGTACAATACGGTCACTATCAGTCACAGGTACGTAGCCAACTGGCACAGGTCAAACTAAATCAATGTACATGAACACAATAACATAAATAAACAACATAAATCTAGGAGTAGTAATTTCATTGCACCTGTAATTTCTATACCACCTCAAACTTCATTATTATACTATAGTGATATTTACCTTTAACATTATTAAGAATGGTTCACATTTTCAAAGTCAACTTAACTTGGGACATTTAAAATATCCCTTAGTCTTTGCCCTACTTTAAGATGGCTTAAAAGTTGAAGATTTCTGACTTTTTTGCATAAACCATCCGCAATGATACATAATAATTATTTAAACACATATCTAAACCATTCATTATTTAAACCATTCATTAAAATGCTGCATCTATCTGGATAAACATTATGCTTGCCTAGATCATTGACTAATTAATAGATCTATAGATGTGAATAAGAAAAAAATTAAATGTCCTAAACAGCTTGAGTTGTACCTCCTTTTGAGCTGTTTAAATCATTTAATTTTACCAATTTGTTTCTTGTATACACAAGTTTTAACTAAGGAGCTGTGCATGCATAACTTTGTGGTCAACTTCAAATTAAGTGTCAGTTGAGTGTTAAGTGTTTTAACAAAAATCAATAAAAACTACCAAATTAGAACAAGTGTCGTTTTAACACTTGTATGTGAAAATAACCACTTTTGACAGAAATTTTTTGTTAAAGAGGGACTTAACTCCAAGTATATAGCTTTCAGAATTATGTCCCTTGTCTAACATCTGCACCTTGTCAGAAAAAGCAAGTATTCCAAGTTTCATGTTGGTAACTTAAAATGTTTGAATAATTATGAACATTTAAGTTTAAGCATGATTAGGACGCTGCCGTAGCATTAATAATAGCCAGACTTTTTCTTCAAAACAGAGGAGTTTAAAATTGGGAATTTGTTACGTAAGACCTTAAGAATAGGGACTGTAAGTACTCAGTTAGTCAGTACATTTGTGAAGAGAATGGGGTTACACAATATATGTGATGATAATGACTTGAATTATTACAGGGCAGTATCACTAACAATACCTCAAATATGGCAAACATTTCAGATATTTTATTGATTATGTCTACATTTTATCATAACCTATCAAAGTTATCCCGTTAAAATTTCGAGTACATTTTGTTTATCAGAAAGTGAAATATTAATGTGATAAATTGAGGTCATCACAAAACAAGGGATGGGGGTTAAAGGTTATCAATTACAATAATAAATGTCATTCACTCTATCTGTACCTACAATGTAGATTGGTATTTTTATCATTTTAAATATTCAAAGTAGTGATTTATAAATGAACTCTGGGAACAGGGTACAGTATATACTGTCAACCATATTAGACTATTCTTTATATAATTTTAACACCCAATATAAGTACATGTTGTAAAACAAATTTTAACTTGTCAAATGCTAATAACCATGATTTAATAAAACAATAGTTATTGGTAGGACAGCATGCACCACTATTCTTAGTGCTTGATAGTAAAACAAGAGCCTGGACAATCATGTAATATTTTCTAAGTTCAAAAAGGGCCATAATTCTGTCAAAATCCATGTTTAAGTTACCAACCTTTGACAGTGACCCCCTATATTTTTGTTATGCTCTCAAATATGTGTGTGAAGTTTTTTTAACCAATTCCATTCTGTAGTTTTATCATACCAAACTGCATGTTAAAAATTAACCAAAGTATGATGCTGATGTCTGTGTGAATATAATAGCTCTCCTTTTTCTTTTAAACAAATAGTGAATTTTTTATTTTATTTTCTTATTCTACTTTGTTAATTCTGTTTAGTTAAAAGTTATAGCAATAATTCAGGTAAATACTTCTGGACATCTGAAATTACTATGTAGACATAATTCTTTATCACTTTAGCGTTTTGGTAATCTCACTGGTTCCAGCTTTTATAATTATCATTTTAGCGTGCCAAATAGTTCTTAAACATCAGTCAATTGTAACATCAACCCCGACCCTTATGAGAAAGGATATAAGAAAAGTTTTCAGCTTCCCCCTTGTCCTTCGCTGCCCAGTCAATCATATGGTAGACTTACTAATTTGTTTTGACACCAAAATAGAATGATATGTCAAATTCAGCAGGGGCAGTTGTGAGAGATCCCACTAAATGACTAACCCGGCATGCTGCAATGCAGATTCCTTACCCCCACCACCACAAGGGTTTGATAATCTTATAGTCATATCCCTATTCCCTAGGGAGTGTGGGATGTGGGTGGGGTTATAACTGACTGATGAATAATTCACGACGTGACGTTTAAAAGTTATTGAAATGAATACCTGAGTATTTCCTACATGTAGTTTTGGAGCATTCTCTCCTAGTAATGACTTTAGTGGTTTTGTTCCCGGCGTTTTTGTTGTTATCGCAGACTCGTTCATTCGTTTAGCTTCATCTTTCATACTGTCAGAGGGCGCCACATAATAACGTTTTCTTTCATATTTTTGTGCCATGAAGTCTTTTACTTTAGCTTCATCTCTACCCTCTGTCTGACCACTTAATCTGTTGTCATAGAGACCTAGCCATACCTTCCTACAATACTAAATAGGGAGAAAAAACAATAACATATTCATTCTATGATAACTTCTAATTCCTAACATACAATGTACAATTAAAATAAACAGTATAGATTATCAAATCATTATCCAACTTACTTTAAACACTTTGTATATCAGAAGTAACAAATCTTGAAAAAATTGATAAGTTTTATTTCTTCAAAATATTTCTTTACAATAAGAACTGTTTTGAAATAATTATCTGTCATTAAATGATTTAAGTTGGTGACAATGATTGAAATAAGCATGAACCCTTCAGCAGAAAACATATAAATATTCTCTCTGGCAAGTGAAAGATTTACATTGAAAATTACTTTGCTATTTCACTTACTAACCCAAACTACTGGTATACTTTAATTCAAAATTTGAATGACTGCTATAATGTTAAACAGAAAGTGTTGTAGTTGGCCCTGGATGAACCTTACTAGAAAACTCTCAAATAAAAGAGCTATTTACTGTTTTCAAATATAATTTTTTACTTGCTCACCTCATTTCCATGACATTTGATAAATTCCATTTCATCTGCTGTAAAACTAGCCATAGATATAGATTTGACCCTGTGTGGTGGATTAAGCCCTCGCCTGAAAATACAAACAATTCAATCATATTTTTAAGTAACAATAAACATTTTGACATTTGAAAGGTCAATTCAGGGGTCAAGGTCTTATTCATGTAAAAATTGATCTCATATCGAAAATTAAGTTGTGTAGTTTACTGTTAAATAAATATTACAATCATTAGGGTCAGTCTATTTACCCTAAGACAAGAAACTTAAATATTGTGTAAATTGAAAAAGGTTTATTATTTACTATGATTGGTTATTTACGTGTCATCTCGTTTAATTTATTTATTGAGACCTGATATTTTTACTTAATATAGAAAAGAAATACAGTTTTTTATTCAAGATATTCCATTCAGAGTTATAATCAGTGCCATCAGGTTGATTACTTGTTGGCATGTACATGTATGTGATATTCCTTTTCTCAGAAGGGAGATAATTTAATGTGTACATGTGAAATCACATAGATTAGTTACCTCCAGTAAACAATGTAAAATTTAAGACTGTATTAACATGTCAGTTTAAGTGTCTTGGGGTTTCTAGGGATGTCATGGGGTAAATAGGCAGACCCGCAATCATTGATAAGAACTGAAGAAATGATGATTAACATAAAAAGTTACTTTTTAATATCTATTTAATTTTTGATACATCATCATGTTTAAATAACATTAAAAACAACTCTAGTGTTTTTTTCACTTTTTGGGGAAGGGGGTCGGTGCCGTTTGGAGGGGGAAAAATGCAAAAGGAGGGGGAATTTTATTTCTTCACAAATGAAGAAACAAAAACGAATCCAATGCATATTTTAATACATCACTTACCACTGTAAGACTTTTGTTTGACATTGTTTTCTTTCCAGTGAGTAGAAAAGGGGAGCAACTCTCGCAACACAAGTTTAAAATACGTCGCTTTTTCTTAATATACGGATCTAAAATATTGACAGCAGAATTTAAAGAGTCGCATGTTAAACTTGTTGGGACGCCAGGAGTAGCTCCCCTTACATACCCAGGAACAATTTGTAAACAACTTTGCTTAACAGGAAGTCTAACAGGCTTAATATAAAACATTTTTCGGCAGTTATACGCAAAAACAATGGTATCCATTGCAGGCAAATTTTGGCTGCCATATGAGGGGGAAATTTTGGCTTTTAGAGGGGAAAAAAACATACTATTTTGAGGGGGGGATGGGGCCGAATTTCGCCCAATATTTTGGTGAAAAAAACCCTGAACTCTGATTTGAAATCAACAAAAATTGGCAGACAAGATATTTGGAAACACTTGGAATACTTCGATGATAGGTTAAACACCACCAATTCAGTGTTTCTGGCGGAACATGCTGGGTTTTTGAGCAATTTCGATATGACGTTGCTTTGCCCAGAACCAAAATATCTCAAAGCGACGTCATATTTATAGGACTAGGTCATGCTGTGATGTCACTCAAAAAACAATAGTACAAAATTACTCTGAACGAATAAAATTTCTGTTGTTATTTTAGACGCTGACAGGTGCTCGCAGAAAATTTTGGTCTAAAAAATTTGGTTCTATTAATCACCGCATTGCGTAGTAGACACCAATATGGCGGCTGTTTACACGGGATTTGTTTATAGCGAGCTCGACGAGCTGGCCCGAAGGGCCTGCTCGCATTACGGTAACGCGAGTACCTGCTAAGTGATGGTTTTGAAAACTTATGTCAGAAGTACCGAATTGGACACATCGCAACTTTTCGAATTTAAAGATAACGATAAAAACTGAGGAATTCTGACTGAAAACGGATGTGTAGACTGGTCACCCACGCACGTCTATGGGAACCATAATTGGACAGGGAACCAGAATAACGGAAGCTATGTATAAAATAACGAAAGACAGTTTTAAAATGGAAAATGTACAATGAAAATTGAAGGCGCCATTTTGTTTGAAAAATCTGATAAATAAAAACAATTTTTTGTCGAATTTTGATGTGAAAACTATCTAGAACTAGAAATGTGTCCATATGACACTGATGCCCCCACACGCCACTGTTCTGTCAATCTTATGACTCTAGGTCAAATATTTTTTGGACTACATGTGCCACAAGTTGAAAACTAAAAATAAACAAAGGGCCATAATTCTATTAAATTTGTTCGCAGCAAAAATTCCTTCCTTTACTACCATCTACACATTAAGGTTAATAATCCCTGGAAGTTTAAGCAAAATCTGCCATCCGGTTTAAGAGGAGTTGCGTTCACAAAATTTCTACATAGTATATAATGAAAAAAATCAACAAAGGGCCATAATTCTGTTAAATTTGGTTGCAGCAAAAATTCCTTCCATTACTGCCATCAACACATTAAGGTTGTTCATCCCTGGAAGTTTAAGCAAAATCTGCCATCCGGTTTAAGAGGAGTTGCATTCACAAAATTTCTACATAGTATATAGTGAAAAAATCAACAAAGGGCCATAATTCTTTATAATTTGGTTGCAGCAAAAATTCCTTCCTTTACTACCATCTACACCCTAAGGTTGTTCATCCCTGTAAGTTAAATCAAAATCTGCCATCCGGTTTAAGAGGAGTTGCGTTCACAAAATTTCTACATAGTATATAGTGAAAAAATCAACAAAGGGCCATAATTCTGTTAAATTTGGTCGCAGCAAAAATTCCTTCCTTTACTACCATCTACACATTAAGGTTGTTCATCCCTGTAAGTTTAAGCAAAATCTGCCATCCGGTTTAAGAGGAGTTGCGTTCACAAAATTTCTACATAGTAGCTAGTGAAAAATCAACAAAGGGCCATAATTCTGTTAAATTTGGTCGCAGCAAAAATTCCTTCCTTTACTACCATCTACACATTAAGGTTGTTCATCCCTGTAAGTTTAAGCAAAATCTGCCATCCGGTTTAAGAGGAGTTGCGTTCACAAGATTTCGGGACTTACGGACGGACTGACAGACGGACGGACAAGTGCATCGCTATATGCTCCCACATTGTGGGGGCATAATGAAATAAAATGGTCTAACTAAGAAAATGAATCCGAACACCAATATCTTTTATTCAGTCGTTAACGCTGTACAGACGTTTAAAGTATTGTTTACGTGGCGTCACAATGTAGCGCCAAACAGCACGTGCAAAACAATCAAATCAAGTACGCTATTTTAATGTCGCAAACGTTTTAAGTTTTACATTTATTTCACTTTTAATAATCTTTATTTCGCTTAAAAAATTATAGAGTGACAGTGATTTTTTTCCCTGTATTTTACAGCCGAATAAAGGCTGTTTCCCCTAGCTAAAAATAGGTATATTTTCCCCTAAAAAAGCTAATATTTTCCCCTGTAATGCCCTGTGCACTTCAACAGAACCATAACTTAACAGCATCTGACATTTATATCAGCCAGAATCCCTATAGCCTGTACCATGCATTATAAATTGAATTGAAATTAAATTTTTTATAAATTGTGTGAGTAAATTCCACTCTCAGTTGTTGGAATTTGATTTCCCCCTTTTCTGATTTATCGCGCTATATTTTCCCCTTCAGAAAGCCACAGGTTGTTTTGAAAATTGGGAAAAAAATCACTGAGTGAAATAAAATAAACAAACAAAGTTTTATCAACGTTTTCAAAACTCGTTATTCATTTAACGACAGGGGCGGAGCCATATTTAACACAGTACGTGTGATGTCACACGCACTCGTCACTGCATTTGAAATAAAAATGAGCGATTATTTCATACTATTTCACGTTAAAAGTACATCAAGCTCGCTTTGAGGCTTTGCCTTTTTCATATTAATTTAAATAAGTTGTTATGAGAAGGAAAATACACATTTTTGGCAGGATTTATATGAATACCAAGTATTATTTGTAACATTTTACATAGGGAGTTTGAATGATTGTGCATGTTTATTGTTTTTCATTTTGCTATGGACTTTTAAAGAGATATGTTTAGACGTTAAAGCGAATTTAACCCATGTAAAAAATAGCTTCAAATCCGCGGTTACATCTAAATATTTGGACTATGTGACTGTGAACTTTTTTTTCCAGAAAGCTTCAAAAACTTACAGTAAGCCACTGCATGCCGTGCAGACATATGAACCGATTGTCATATTAACGTATGTTGGCCCTCTTTGATGACAGTCAAAACATTGCTTATTATGGGGCAATGCTACCATTTCCCGTAGCATTTTTAAATGTTTTTCATCTAATTTCTTTTTATTCGACGCCATTTTGAACCGCCGACTTCCGAATTTTCCGGATGTTACGTTTTGTAGGTGTTAAAACCTCGTAGACGGAACAAACTCTACGGTCAATACGGCCCATAGTCTACCCGACCCAAAGTCAATCCAGCCCCCGGTGCAACATTACACGAACGGGGTCAAAATCAAGTGAGTCCGGTATAATTGTATTTTTTTGCAACATCGTCCACATTTTACATTTACAACAAATTGTTGATTTTTTTTTAGAAAAAAATATTTGAATTAATTTGAAACAAATTAACTGTAAACAATAGACTCAGTTTTTAATGGGCAAGATTGTTTTGGCCCCGTGTTCACTAAGAAAAGATCAGGATCAGGATTTAATGATCCTGATTTAATTTTCATTGTTTTATAAAAGTAAAATTACAGTTATTTTGCTACAATTACAATGGTACATATTCAAATGTAAAAAATTGCTGATTTGCAAAGAAACCAACATATTTTAACATAGAATCAACGAAAAACAAAAAAAAGGATCAAATTAAGGGTACTGTATAAATCAATATTTGGATCATCTGTAAAATATAATATCTCCTAAAAATAACAACAAATCTATTCTAAAATTTCATTAACATACTTTCATCAAGTTAATAGCGAGCTCGACGAGCTGGCCCGAAGGGCCTGCTCGCAAAGCGAGCTTTACGGTAACGCGAGTACCTGCTAAGTGATGGTTTTGAAAACTTTCGTCCAAAGAACCGAATTGGACACATCGCAACCTTTCGAATTTAAAGATAACGATAAAAACTGAGGAATTCTGACTGAAAACGGATGTGTAGACTGGTCACCCGCGCACGTCTATGGGAACCTTAATTGGACAGGGAACCAGAATAACGGAAGCTGTGTATAAAAAATGAAATTCGAAGGCGCCATTTTGTTTGAAATCTGATAAATAAAAACAATTTTTTTGGTCAAATTTTGTTGTGAAAGCTATCTAGAATGAAAGAAAATGGTCTAACTAAGAAAATGAATCCGAACACCAAAGCTTTTATTCAGTCGTTAACGCTGTACAGACGTTTAAAGTATTGTTTACGTGACGTCACAATGTAGCGCCAAACAGCACGTGCAAAACAAACAAATTTAATGTCGCAAACGTGTTAAGTTTTACATTTATTTCACTTAAAATAATCTTTATTTCGCTTGAAAAATTATAGAATGAAATAAAATAAACAAAGTTTTATCAACGTTTTCAAAACTCGTTATTCATTTCACGACAGGGGCGGGGCCATATTTAACACAGTACGTGTGACGTCACACGCACTCGTCACTGCATTTGAAATAAAAATGAGCTTTCATACAAGTACATCGAGCTCGCTTTGAGGCTTTGCCTTTTTCATATTATTAAAAGTTTAGCTCATATTTGAATTCGATCTTTAAATTTTTGTGTACACGGGGCCAATTAACCTGACGGCTATATGGACAACGCCATGTTTGTTCTCGAAATACTCACTATTGTTTTTCCAGTGGTAAAAATTAAAAACCGCATCGCATTAAAAATTGTGAAAGCTCGTCGATGATTGGCTGTTTGAAAGGTCACGAGAAGGTAAGTTCACACCAATCCTGTGACTTATTCCCAAAAAAGTTTCCCAGTTACTTCAGTGAGTGTCCGAGTTACTCCAGTAAGTGTTCCAGTTAACTCAGTGACTATTCCAGTCATTCCAGTACATACACCCGTTTCATCTTCACGCCCTATCCCACATCCTAGACGTATGATACACCCTGATGGTATGGTGAATGGATATAATTATTGTATAATGCCGTTTCATTTTTATGGAGTCATCTTAAATTTCATTTGGCCCTATATATGGAGGTATAATATGTATTTTTCTTGCATCTCAGACAGGATTATCTACCGTTTACACCGGTGCTAGAATAGAGGATATTGAATGAGTGTAATTTCAATATTGAATTTATTGCACGAGTTGAATAAAATTATATTATGCGAGCCTCTGGCGAGCATTAAGGCTCCCACGGTTAAACGTTTAAACGGATTCGTTTCGATTTTCATTCCTAAACGTTTACGATATCTTTTACCGTTTAATCGAAATGACCATATTGTCTTACGGAATATCTTAATCATTGCCTGTAATCACGGCTTTTATCAATTCCAATTGGTTTATTCCAAAGTAAAAATGGAAAATGGGTGTTTACAACCCTCCGAACAGCATCACCGTGCAATAATTGCTTGTGGCATAATACATTTTTGGTAAAGTTGATTTTCCTTTGATCTTTCAAAAGAGCGAAATTGGGACACAATGCAGAAAATGTGTGCCGACACAATCGTGATGAGCCCTTGTATATGTATTAAAAATAGAAAGTATGTCATCATTTGCCGACTCGAATACATGGTGTAGTATAGTAAATAGAAGTACCACCGTTTAAACGGTATCGTTTCGGTTCTTAGCAATCGTGTAAACGTTTACAGAAAATTGTAAACGTGGGAGCCTTAGCGAGCATAATATTATTTTATTCAACGAGTGCAATAAATTCAGTAATGAACTTACACGAATTTAATATTCTATTGATCACATATCCAAAATAAGGACCGTTTCAAGTGAAATAAATGTAATTTTTCATTGACGCGCCTACAGTATAACGCTAACATTTAGCGCGTCTTTACACCATGTTTGTATAACGCTAATGACGTCACGTCAAAATATATGCACGGCCGTGCAATACCATATTTACGGAGTCGCAAAATCGGCACGGGTGTGTGATAAAACTCTATCTTACACCCCCATTGTACGACAAGTCGCGTGCTTTAAATGACGTCACTGACGCGCGCCTTTTATGAATGAATCGCGTTCTTATGATGACGTCAATTTTCCGTTATGAATGAAGTTGTATGTTCATACACTACTATAAGAAAAAAAAGAGCCTCGTAACCGCTGTAAACGCAGTTACCCTCGAGCTAAATATTCCGGTCTGTACCGGCAACCGGGGTAAGATTCTTATAATCATTTTCATATAGATTTGGCAATTCTACTGTTTTACATTATTTCTTTATATTTTACTGTTTAACTATTGCGATATAGTTATAGGAGGGCAGTATAGATCTATATATCTTAAATAATATGATATACTTTTTGTCGTCATATGAATGAACAGTGAATTGCATTTTTGTTATTATATTGAATATAAGGGTTTAAATTGTTGTTGTTCTTGTTTTTTCCATATACATTTACGTTTCATTAATGTTCGTAGGAAAATGCCGATGTCATTTTAACTAGAGGGTTGAATGTGTAAAGGTTTACAATAATCCAAGTTCTCTTTTTAGAATGTTTATGGTAATTCATCTTATAGGCAAGACCACATCTATTGTGGTGTTGTGTTCATTCTAATCTTTTGTCTTATTGTTATGGGTAAATGAGTCGAGTGATGGATGACTGATATTGTATGATAGTTATTTTTAGCTGATTTGGTTCTGGGAATCGGATAGCTATAACATTTCCTGGTATTTGACCACTCCTCTAATTGCATTCAAATCAATATTAAACATCTATTTCGTAATAAAATATTTCCCATTGGAAATACTTAAAAGATTTATAATCGTCTGATTTAAAGATCCTGTATGTTTTGTGATTGATATTGTTACTGATATTGTCACACTTGCAAAATATTATATATGTATATAATTATGCAAATAAAACAATTTTCAAACATCGAAGAATATGTAAAATGTGTACTGCAAATATTTGTGCACATTATATTTAATCAATAAGTTACATGCATTCATTTCTTATTGGAAAATTTGACTTGGAATTTAAGAGAAAATAAATTTCTAATTACCTCCCTTTATTTACGCAAAATGTTAAATTGGGTAATATCTTTATAGATAATGCTTATTTGAACTTACAAGATTGACAAATCTTAATTTGAGCGTCATATTTATGAAATAAAACCATGAAAAAAAATGAGTTACAGGATCTTTAAACATTTTATTTCTTGATATTTTGAAGTAATATATTCTACATTTATAAACCGAGTATGTACGTATATATTTATTTCATTGGAATTTTGAAATGTTTATAATGTATATATTGTAATTATCGTAATTGTGAAAAATGTAATTTATGAATTGTCTATTGTTTGTTATTTGTCTTATGATCTTTCTGTTTGTTATAGGTTCTTTTAGAATCTGATTGAATAAAATTAATATAAAAAACATAATCCGCTAATGTTATAAAAAACACACCACTACTGTATAGTTCATTCAGTTCTGATAATTTAAATTTCTCATAATAGTTCTTACTTTTACATTTCGATCCAGCATTGGAGTCAACCCAAAGTGCCATTCTCTTGTTGGTTTGTGACGGCAATGTGTTACTTAATCCAGCCCAAAAGAAAACAAAATGACAAAAATACCAACTTCTAAACGTATTCATAATTTATCCCTGTTTATATAACCGTATGCCTTTCTAAAATCAATAAAAAACGTAGAATGTTGATTGCGTTAGCCTTTTTTCTAGTGTCAATTAATTAAATTTGTCAAATTTGAAACATAAAACATGATCTATCGTACTATGTTTTCTTCAGAACCAATTTTGGTCGTCTTTAATATTATTTTATTGTAACTTTCATCCCAAGTACTCACTCGGTAATTCAAAATGTTATAGTATATCTTATACATTGACGATTCCAATAAATTTAAGACAAAACACAAAGTAAGTCATAAATTATTTTTATTATTAATTGTTGGAACACCTGATATTTCACACATAATAATTGATTTTATATAATCATTTATTATTACTAAACTATTGCGTATTGAATAATTGTCATTTAATATCTTCTCACTATGTTTAGTTAAGATATATTTGTTGCAATATATATATCAAATGATTTTTTTTTCTGTGTAGAAAATTTACTTTTGGGCCAAATTAATCAATTTTGGAGCCGGATTGACCAATGTTGGGCCCACATTGAAGAGGAGCCGAATTGACCGCTTTTGGGGCAGCATTATTTTTTTTGTCTTGCTATTCTTTAGTGCTAGTATTCACTTAAACGAAATTGCATACTTTATTACATTTTGAAACACCAGCAAACACTGATCATAATTATAGGTTAATTTGATGATTTATATTAAATTACAACTTGGCCACATATGTATTTTTCTTTATTTTACACCTACCAACCTACATGCCTACCGATCGAATCGATCGTTCTATAGATACTGCATCATGTGCACTCTTTCGAATATAATGTACACATGCGCGTCAATGCGAGAAGTATACAGGAGAAAAAAGTAATAAATTTTTTATGAGAAATTCGAAACAAGTTTGTACAGTAAAAATCTCATTTTCAACTAATCTACATGATACTCCTGACTATAACTGGGAGGCTGATGATGTAACCTTACTTGGATGTTGTAACTTGAATGCATATTTATTAAATTATTTGTTTATATATTTATATACTTATCGTCTTGCCCATTAAAACTGACCTTAATTAGAAGGTAAGAATGTTTAATATTAAAAGTTATGTTCATAACTGAGTGGTCCCCGGTTGCACCTTGGTTCATTTTTGATATATAGAACCCCGTTGTAAATTAGCGATCGAGCTAAATGGTTTATCCTTGTAACCATAGATCTCTTGATATTATTATATTATTAAAATGTATTTCATTCTATTCTATCTTTTAATAATTCTTGTCCTTATATTATCAGTAATTGTGATAAATCAGATAATCCATTTATATTTTTTTTATAGAACCCCATTGCAAATTAGCGATCGAGCTAAATGGGTATAGATCTCTTTATATTACCATACTATCAAATTTACTTTTTTCTATTCTGTATATTTAATTCTTGTTAACTTATTATTGGTAATTGTGATAAGTCAGGTAAATCCATTTTAAAAATTTATTAAATCTACTTTTAACGTAATAGGTAAAACTTGTAAAATGTTGTTTTAAGATTTTAAGATAGTTCCTATGATCTTTTTTTATTGTACAATGTTGTTTGACTGCTTCATGTCATTATTTTGAAGGTGTATTATTTATACACATCTTTGTATTATATGTCTGAAGAACGCAAATCTACATTTTAATTCATTTATTCAGATTTTACCAATTTGAAATACTATTTTTTATAAAATTTTCTGTAAAATTGCAAGATTTTTTATATTCATTATTGTTATGTTATTTGTACTGAGATCTGTGACATTGATAAAGTATTAAAGAATATACAAGAATTCGATACAAATTTCGTCGCTGTCATATTACTTTAAAACTTTAAATTTGACCATCGAACCAAAACAAATCAAACAAAAAATTTCCCCCTAATATCATGCTGCCTTTCACATAATTAAATATCTGATCCGTAAAAAATCAGAACTTCCGCATTCTTACCACTCAGTAGAGCCTTTAACGCTTTTTAAAAGGTAAATTTGATTTTTTAAAACTCCAATTTGAAGCGTATTGTTACTATTTCTATAGATTTTGTAACCCTATCTTTCTCGTACGTAACTATATATATTTTACAAGCTTGTTTGTTGAAATTTCTTTAGTTTTAGTTGTAACACAAAGATTTAACGGCGCACAAATCGTTTGTACTGACTTAATGATTAGTTAACAAAAATTGTTTCTTGGTTGAAAAAAAAATGACATTGTCTTTTAGCCGGGACAGTGCTATATAATACAAAGGATAGTTAAAAAATACACCAGGTAAATGTTTAAGTTATATCTGAATATATGTTGGTTATCTTATTAATTATCTTTGAGAAAATTATTTAATGATAAACACATGTATCTTAGCTTATCGCTAAACCTTCTGGAATCACAGGTGGCAGTATCAGTGTTTGGCCACCCCATCCCGCCCCGTCCTTGGACACCGGCTACAACCCTGAAAAAATAATCAAACACTCTAAGGCTTACAGAAATATAGTTTTGATAGTGGAATTTTTAATCGATGGGTTTGTATTTTGTATCTTATAGTAAGCCTAAGAGTGTTTGATTATTTGTTTCAGGGTTGTAGCAGGAGTCCAGGGGCGGGGAAGGCCAAACACTGATACTGTCACCTGAGTCTGGAATCGGAGATGATAAGCTTTTCCCGCCATGCAGTCTGGTCAAGCTCTATTTATGTTGTCTGACTTTCTCATTAAATCAGATATTTGATTAAATAAAATTGATAATGAACATTTTCAAAAATGGAACCTGGACAAATTCGGTAGGTACAGGGCGACCAGGTTAACTTGTAAACAGGAAACAAATCGTCATGTTTTCACTTCTCTTTTGAAAATTGACACTGAAAGAAAGATGGAGTTTCTAACTTTTTCTGTAGGTGTGTTTGACTATATCTAAGTTATACACGTCGTGGGTGACTTATAGTCGTTGACAATTAATAGATCTAACTATACAGTTATTATATCATGTATATATTTACAACACCCCGACAATATAGGTTCTCTACTCGGATCCTCTTATTCTACTGCCCCTCTATATCAAGTTCCATCTATTACCTATCTGACATCTGACATTAACTGACACTTAGCGAAATACTGCGGCATGCGTGATCATGTTGCAGATGCTCGGGTAATTAGTACGTATATTCAATCTCGATGATTTATACTGATATGTCCATCCTGTGGTGTGCGTATTCTATACTAGATCTCATGTGCCTATATCGAGGACAAAATTCATATCCCGCGGGCCTTGAAAAAATAGGTCCGAACCTGCAGGCGCGTCTAGATTTGTGCGCTAGGAATTATGCACTATTCAAGTTTAGAAATCAGTCCAATCATAGCAAATAATAAAACAAGATAAAAGTATACGGTATCAGTGCATTATAGCGTTTGTTATTTTTTGTATGGTTATTAATACGATGAATAACGAACCTATATACAATACACAGTTAAACTTAAAATAGTATTCAATACAAAGTTTTTGAATCAATAATGAGACGGTACAATTTGTAAAATAATTGTTTGAATTCCTTTTGTATAGGATCAACCAATCAAAATCCAGTTCAGAATTTTGTATTTATTTTTAATCAGGAAGTTGACAGAAGTGTATATATTCCTCTACAAATGTTGTGGAAGGATTGGTTTCTAGAACATTTAAACCCGTCAGTTTTTATTTTTAAAACCCGTCAGTTTTTATATTTAAAAGTGTCATCTAACAAGATTGAATATATCAAGTTTAAAATATTGTGTACTGCATTCTGGAGTTTAATCTTAACCGGTAAGTTTCATGTAAAATAGGTGTATTTGAAAAATAAGAAATGTATTTAATGTGTATTTTGTGTTATATTCACAAAGAAATGATTAAATATATATTTTTTATCAAATATTGTCTTTTCTTGCGTTCAGTAATAGCCATATAAAGTACGACGATTTTAAGATTTTATTTAACGATTTAAACAACCCAGAAGGAGCGACATAGGATCGAATGAAATTCGTTGGCAAGGGTCTAGACAGATTCGACGTTTAATGAACGCTATAATATATATCTGACAGATTATGCGAAACAGAGCGTAAGAAATGACGCAAAATTATTGGACGCAAAATTATTACAAATACTGATTCTGGTAAAACCATTTAAAATTAAAAAAAAATCAGTCACGCTCTTGTTATAGTATGGGGTACTAAGATGTTAAAGTAGGATATTGCGTTGAGGATTTTGGGTTTTTTGCGCTGTGGATGTGGGTAATGATTTGTAGGTATAAGTGTTGGGTGGTAGATAATTTAGGGCTTTTTGAGCGGAGGTATGAGTATTTGGATGGGGTATTGGAGTGATAGTGGAAGTATGCAGGAATTGGATTGTCATAAATGTATTATTCATGGGCTTTGAAAAGCACGCTTGTTAATTTTATTTGGATATTTTCATTTGGGAAAAATGTTTTTATCTATTTATTTTTTTTTTTGGAAAGAAGAGAAATTATGTTGGTGTTTCATTATTCTTTTAAGTTAAGGGGCGCTGGTCTAGTGTTTAATATGTCTGCCTCTCAGCTCAGGATCGTGGGTTTAAGCTTTATTAGGATCAAGAACCTTTTTATATAAATAATATAAAAGTACCGATAAGTTCAGGAATCGGACCCGAGAGTGATTCAAATAAACTTCAAGCTTTCATCACAGTCGGACATAAAATATGTTTTAAATAAGTTATCCGGTTACATTGCTGATTACCCCGTGCACAATGTAATTATTACACTACTGCATGCTAATTCCATGCTTTAAAGCCAAAATACCAAGTTAAAATACATTTGTTCTTGGCTATTATAGGTAATAAAGGTGCTTAATTAACAACATAAGAAATGGCGGCAAAACAAGTGACGAAACAGGGTTCTCAAGAGATTCCACATATACAATGTGCCGAGGATATATCACTGTTAAGTTTGCGACAGCTAAGTGCTCTAGCAAAATCTTGGGTTGTAGATGTGTCAGGACTTGGACAAAAGAAAGACATAGAGGAAAAACTGATCAAATTCTGGATGAGTCATAGGAAAGAGGAAAAGTCCGACTCTGTAAGTCATGTATGCTTTATTTCGTTATTTTTAGAAACAGTTAAAAGGGTATTCAGTCTGATAAAATTTCAGATCTTCTTAAGTTCTTTCCTAATGCGTAGCGTTAATTAGGAGCTTTATAAATACTCTTTTTAAGGCTTACTCGATGGGTATATTGTTTAGACGAAACTATAAATGGGAGCAGTTGTTATTATTTATTTATAGATCGCATAATATTTTGAGTCTTGAGTGTCGACATTTTGAACATTACAACGCTGAAACCCGATAAGATGTTTAGTGTGCAAAATCTGCGTAACTTGTCCAGGGACCAATCATTTATGAATAATGCTATATACGGACTTCAACAGATAAAGGAAATCCATTATAAGTTAGTTTAGTTACAGAATATATAAAGAGCACGTTAATATTTAATAAGCGTTACGCAGAACATTTTACAATTAAAGCTCTTATAAATATTTTATTTAAACAAATGACATATTTTGAACAGACGTTGATTGGAGAATTATTAGTTATGTTTCAGGCCAAAATTTAAGTCACATTAGTTTTTATTTCAACACTGTTTTTTTTATTCGTACCCTATTACGTTTTTATAATTGAATACAGTGTTTTTAACTAAGTTTATATTTTATGTTGAAACGGGAAAGAGAGTCGATTAATGTTGACAATCTCACGTCCTCGTTTGCCCCTTAAAATAAGTGTTTTTTGTGTGTGCCTTTTTTGTAATAAATAGAAAGAAAAAACTACTAAAGCATGTCCGTAGTGTCGGCACAAATGACGCAGTCTAATGTGGGAGCTTAGAAATATTTTCTTTTTATTCTAGTATTTTAAATATTGATATTCTTATGTCTAACACGTGCCAACACCACCCATCTATAATTCTTTTGCAGCTTGTGTTTACATATGATACTTACTTCTATCAATATAATTATTTATTGTATTACAGAACTTCTAATAAAGACCAATCCACTTTAATTAAGGCTTTAGAAAGGAAGGTGTATGGTTTTGTTCAGAAAAAGTATCATAATAACAGTAAAATACGATAAAATAATAAATAGTAACACTATCAAATGTTTGAATTTATACTTCGATTAAAAAAAAATCAGCATAATCGTCGTTTTCGATTATACATAAAATGCCATTCGCTGAATCTGTGATATAATAGCCGAAGTTTATACGTGACGTTCATAATACAAGGCAAAGGTGGGTGAAATCAAGGCAAGGTCATCCACCATGCGGCCCCATTCCTAATTTTACTGAATCAAGTGTAAATAAATGTAATCAAAATGTATATTTTGAAATGCACTTAATAAATAGCACGCGCAACCTTCACTATATCAAGTGTGCAGTTAACGGTATAATTATTATTAGATTGGCCTGCATTATCTTCACGCGAATCTAACATGACATTTACAAAAGAACGTATTATATTACAAAAAAGCTTTTTCTTTGGCACATATTCATGGCAAAGTTTGACTTTTGAATGAAAATTCAGAACGTAATTTAGAAATTTATGAAAGGACGCATCGATCCATGCTTTGTGAAGTTTTGTTTTATTCTAAAATTTTCAATACAATTCAATTCAATACAATTCAATAGCGGTATCATAAAATGTTAAGTACAATCATTATTGGTAAAATATGCAAAATCTTTTACCTAACTTAAAATAAAACAACAGGAATAATTATTTGACTTCTCAAAGTATTTCAAGAAACTTTGAGAAAAATGTATTAATATTGTAAAAAAAGTAAAATGATTCAAGATTCTAGAAATAATTAAATATTATTTTGCAGTTGTGTTTTTATAGCTCGAATTGCTGGGCCAAACAACCGTCAAAATTCTTTAAAACGGATCAAAATACTATGGTGGGATAAATGGAGCATAGAAAAACTTTAGTTTACGACATGCGCACGTAAAAACATATGATCCTATGCGATAGATATTACGTATGCACTAGATAACTTGTAGTTGGCATACGCTGCTCGCAAAACGAATTCCACAGTAAATCATGCGTGTTCAAAATCATATAAAACTTGACTGTTTCCAAGACCGAATAATGCAATATGCATTATAAAATAAATGTTTATTCAATAGTACAATGTACTTTGTTTTCCTCATAAAACTAATGTAGTGAATTGAAATCGTCATGCTATTATGTTCTTACGGCTGTAAGTTTTCGATCAATGCTTTCGTTAAGTAGCTATCTAATGGCTTATTTTTATGATTCTTATGATACTTCAATCGCTTAGCAAGCAACCACAAAGTCCGCCCAATAAAATACATTTAAATAATTCTATATTTTAGTACAAAACACTTTACTAAGCCATTTTATATACTAATAAAATATGTAAGCTATATTAAGCTACAAAACAAATACCATGTAGAATTAACACAACAAACAAAATGTACCTGTTAAAGGAAAGAATGTTGATCACTAAAATCACTCTGTTCTGGAAAACATATTTATAAAGAGATACACATTTTAAACAAAGGAGCCACATAAGAAAACAATCTTATACAAAGAAAAAGAAATATAATGTGGATTGCTTGATCATGATAAGAACATATTTTAGAACATAACAAATACAAATCAAGTCATAAACAATAAACAATGAATTGGAACAACAGCAGATCAAATGAAATACAATTATAGCTTAAAGTTTGTCAACTCGGTAAATTCGAAAATGTTGTGGACGACAGAAGTGAATGCTTCTGTTGCTAGAGTTGGGGACATATTTTCATTTGAAACATTAGCATATTAAAGAACGCTATATAAAAAGTAAAACATAAAACAGCAGCACATAGAATCGGGTTATAAAGCAGCAGCGCTCGGAAGCAGGTTAAACCAGTATCTTCTGCACACCCATGATTATGGAATAAAATTGTTACAATTGAAGTTACTAATTCAATGCAATTGGTACGTTTCTAAACAAAATGAGTATTTAACATAAGTAGAGAAATTAAATGAATAATAAAAACATATGTTCATCATAAAGTAGCTTTCTACAGTGAATTAAAAGACAGTCATAGGCGGAGAAATTGGTATTTATAAGTAAGTAATCCAGGAAAGACAATTAGACGGACCGACCGCTGCGATATGGCCAAAATTGTGTTACATATATATACACTGTAGTAAAATCCAACGACCCATCGAACGAACAAACAAACAAACGAACCAACCAACCAACCAACAAAACACTCAGAATTGTGGATGAAAATTTATTAAGAATGACAAGTTTACAGATAGGAACATTAGATAATGTAATATTCTTTATGACTTTAAGTGGGAACCCCCTGATCTTGCTGGTGCCTTCAAGGAGCATCAACAGACACGACAAAAGTTGCTCGAGAAGTACCGGAAAGCGGAAGCATTGTACGATAACTTCACACCCAAAATAAAAGCAAATCTGGAGCAGTCCCATCAAAGTAAGTCATCGTCAAATTCAAAGTTTCATAAAAAATCATTTTATATAGACCACAAAACCATATGACATATAATTAGATTGTTTTTGAATGTGATTTGGTTTTAATTACAGTAAAGGTGATTTTAAACTTTAATTAAACGAATGACATCTGAACCTATTAACTTACCTTATTTTAGACGTGTGTACACTTATCAAAGAAAGAAAAGACTCGTTGAAATCGGGAGAATGTACAATAGTTATAGCTGGAGAGGTTGGAGCTGGTAAAACAAGTCTTCTGAACTTGATTCTAGAGACACAAATCTTCCCAGTCGATTCACTCAAGTGTACCAACACTATTCTAGAAATACGAAGTAGTGAGAAGAAGGATGCTATTTTCTACTACAAACAACAGCTGTCAGACAGCGGCGAAAGAGAAAGAAAAGTACCACCGAAGATTATTAGCCTGAGTAAGTTACAAAAACGCATGTATCAATACATATATAGTAAATGTATAACACTTAAATATTAAGCGAATGACGGGTGATTTTTAAGAAACGTTTGTTCGTGAAAATGCTAAAATATGAAGATCAAGTGAAAGCGAAACAATTCAAAGAAAGTCCTATGACTAAACTTAGAGATAGTGAATATTTAAATTTGATTAATATCAGAGCATTTATGTTCCAGAGAGTCTGAATGGACTTCAAGAATTCAAGGACTGTGTTGCGGAGTATGACCAATCGGATGACAACCCTTACGACCGATGTGAGGTGTTTTACCCATTCAAAACACTCAGTGTAAGTAACTACATGTAATAATAATAATATGTATTGGCAACTTGCAGATATTCAAAACAGACATGTGACAGAACATTTCTTATATGTTGAATAACACTTAATGTTTCATAAGAATGTCTTGAAAAAGTGTGCTTATGTTGCAATGCTTTGTGTAAGACAGAATAGTTGTAAATGCAAATCATGCATGCATCAATAATTTATTATAATGACAAATACTTTTTGTGGTATTTTTACTTTCATCGAGAGTGTCTTGACATATTTGTAATAATTTGATTTTAGAAAGGCGTGGTGATTGTAGACACCCCAGGTGTAGAAGGCGGGGGTAATGTCGATCAAAGACTACAAACATATCTCTCGAGAGCGTTCGGCTTTATCTACGTCATCAACACGAACGCTGCTGGAGGAGTTCAACAAAGCAGGGTCTGTTAACTTTCAAATTTGCCAATTAAATCTTGGTACGTTCCTGCAAGATATTGTAAGCTAAACATTTATTAACTGATGTTAACTGATGTAACTAAAATGGGACTATTTCGAACAAAATATTTCTTGCATATAACATTGGTTTAAAAGCAACAGGAAGTATAAGACTGTTTTAAAAGCAACAGCAAATATAACATGTTATGATGAATAATATTTCTTCTATTAATTGACTTGTACCTTTTAATTCTACAGCTCGGCCATTTGTTAAAAACTGTTGTCAACAGTAGCGAAGATTTCAGCCCTGAAGCGTCCCTTTTCATTGGTAATAAATGGGAGCATGTACCCGAAGGAGACCGCGTTGACGTACAAAAAGATATCTTTTACAAGCTGAATCAGGTATATCCTGGGATACGACAAACGCAGATACATTACATGTCTGTGAAGAAGGTAAGTGTGTTTACTTGAATAAACAAACCGTTGATGGTATCATTGGTATGAACTCCCAATTATGTGCATGCACTTCTACATTAACTTGAAAGAAAGTACGCGATAGGATTTTTGTGTCGCCTCTACGGCGTAGTGGCGACATATAGGGATCACTTCTCCGTCGTCTGTCTGTCCGTCCGTCACAAAACTTGTCCGGACTACTCCTCATAAACTACTGGTGCAATTTCATCCAAACTTTACAGGAATGATCAGTACCAAGTCTAGTTGTGCATATTGTCAGCATTTTCCGGTTCAATGATTTTTGTCAGAGTTATGGCCCTTTAATAATTTTTATTTTTAAAGTTTGTCCGGACTACTTCTCTTATACCACTGATGCAATTTCAATGAAACTTTACAGGATTTATCTCAAGTAGCTCAAGTCCTTGCGCATATCGAACGGGTTTTCCGGTTAAATTATTTTTGGCCGAGTTATGGCCCTTTGTTAAAAAGGTGTTTCTTTCTGTGTGTTGCCAGATACACAAAAGCTTGTCCGGACTACTCCTCATAAACTACTGGTGCAATTTCATCTAAACTTTACAGGAATGATAAGTACCAAGTCTAGTTGTGCATGTTGTCAGCATTTTCCGGTTCAATGATTTAATAATTGTTATTTTTAAAGTTTGTCCGGACTACTTCTCTTATACCACTGATGCAATTTCAATGAAACTTTACAGGATTGACCTGTAGCTCAAGTCCTTGCGCATATTGCACGGGTTTTCCTTTTGAATGATTTTGGCTGAGTTATGGCCCTTTGATAAAAAGATGTTTTTTTCTGTGTGTTGCCAGATACACAAAAGCTTGTCCAGACTACTCCTCAAAAACTACTGGTGCAATTTTATTCAAACTTTACAATAATGATCAGTACCAAGTCTAGTTGTGCACTGTCCGTCTGTCTGTCTGTCACAAAACTTGTCCCAACATGAAATTGGCCATTATGAGGCGACACATGTGATTACTGATCGCTCTTGTTTTTTGTATTTCCCACAGAATTATTAAATAACTTCAGTTAGCATATAAAGTACAAGAGGATATTCAGAGATAGAAAGTAGTTCCTCCTTAATCGACGACAGAATTTTAATAGTTTGCAAAGGTCTTTCAAACCTTTCAGCATTACAGTGTTATTAGGGAGGCGATATGTTGGCCGACTTGAAATATGCATATGGTTTAACATTATGGCTTTAAAGTAGTCTTTTGTTATATTTACATTTATTATCATTGAGATATTTAGATATCAATAAATACGACTGACATTGACCATTGCATTATTATTAATGTAATGCGGAATGATGTCAAGGTTGGTTCGGCATAACAATTTTTTTTTTTGTAGAAGCCCTTGATGTTCTCACATACGATATACCCTAGTTCAATAAAATCGTATACCGGTATCTCTGAAAACAAGAACACAAACAAACATAGACTGTAAATTTAAGATAAATATTTCTTTCAGTCGGCAGAATTCAAAATGAACTACGAAACAAAATTAGAAGAACACAAGATTCTAATGTTGAAGGTATCCCAGCTTGTACCAAGCAGTCTCAGACAAGGAATGGTGTCAAATTACTGGTAAAATATATACAACGTCATTTCAAAAGGCAAAATATGATTAAACCTCAGAGTTCAAGTTACCTTTATCTAAATTTTCTGCTCGCACCGGCTTGAGAGGTACACAATCAATAAAAAAGTCATATCTTTATCATCATAATTTTATTTGTAATAATAATTGTTATGTACACGAGTAGTCTAAAATATACCATGTAACGTCTTATGATAAACTAGCAAAATTCTCGCCATATGGTTGATAAGATACAAAACTTCACTTCCAACACTTTGCGTATTATTTTATTATTTCACAGGTGGCTTTCTTCTTTCCTGTCACGATCATCTTATCTCCTCCGCGTGACAAGCGTACAGCAGGCGATGACACGTGATGAACTAGACAGACAATTCGAGGGCCTCCGTAAACATGTGGAAAATCTACAGGTGATTAGTATTAGTATGATACCGCGTGATATAAACTTTGTTGTATGATCAGATTATACATTTATATTAGAACATGAAGTAATATCATACTTGTTTCTCAGGACAAATCCTCATAATGTTTGTATAAACGAGAATAATATATCGATTTCTGAGTCAATGGTTCATTTTGCGAAATGACATATATTTAAAAAAAACAATATACATGTATCTTGAACATTGTACGCATTCTTATGTCAAACAGCATTCATACACGGCTATTCCAATTTACCTTTTAAAGGCCAATTACTTAGTACTACACATGTTTAAAAAACAAAAACAAAATATCGATGCCTGTGCATTTTAGAATGGTATTGTTTACAAATATGTATAAATATTGTAGTATTATTATTTAGTAAATACATTAAACAATGCCTTTTTGTAGAAAAATACTGGCGAAATTATCGAACGTCTTCGAATCAAAGTAGAATATGAAATACAAAGAATTACATCAGATATTCAAAGCGTACTGAAAAACCGAAACTTCTTAGACAGGTAAAATGAACTACTAATTTGTTAATGTCTGTAGTTAAAGATGCGTCACAACATCAGTAATGTTAGTTTTATTTTAACTAAAATAGTCCAGTATTAGATGATTTTTTAGCTCTATTATATGATGTTAGCCGAAATGAAAATATATGTAATTAAATGTGTTTGTTTTAGTGAAACATCACTGATACATTTTTGTAAATATTCGTATGAAATATAAAAGTAATTTCCTTTGAATCGACTGTGTAGAATATGTAATTGGGAAGACACTAATGAATGCCCAAAGACTGAGAAAAAATGGAAGAGCGTTGCCGATGCCGCTGCTGTGAAGATATCAGAAAGAATATCACGTGAGCTCGATGGCTGGCAAAGACAGAACAGCATTCTCCGTGTCCTAGACAACGATATCATTGGAGTTTTCAGCAAAGAACTCGGGTTGATGGATGACCAAGTGAAAGAACTTGAAGGTAAACCAGTCAATAGCATATTACTCTAAAGGCACAAAGCATCATATTAAACACTTTGTTGAGCTGTGTGTTACAATAGAACGCAGACATATAAAATATAAAAGTGTAAAATGTTCTTGAAATAATTACTTAAAAATACACAACAATAAAGACAGACAGAATTATACTAATAAACATGATAATTCTATTTAAAGATGTCTATTTATGCTTAGTTTGGGCATTGTAAACATTACTGAGGAGTTTTGGGAACCACTTTTAAAGCCCGTTTATCTTTTATATAATGCTACGTTACATCTATTACAGACTATTTGGTCAAAAGCCGGAGAGGCAATATGTGTAAGACGATGCGTATAGTTCCTGTAAAAGCCTTGTTTGCAAAGAAGAAGAAAAAGGTAGAGAAAACATATTCAACGCTAGGTGGCGCTGTCAGTTGCGTTGGCATGCTAGACACCGATAAGAGAAATGTCAAAAGAATATTCAGGTAAGCAATATACTTTGAAGAAAAAATTATGCTTTTCTCTATGCTGTTTAAAAAAGATTGATTATTGAAGCCTATACTACACATTCAAGCAAACAAACTTTTGGACAAAACGCACGGCAAAATTCTATTATAATAAAAAATGACCTATTCCTTAAGGTTTTTTTTGTATTTCTTCTGACTCTTCACTGATTGTTAAACATTTAGGACACTATCGACATCAGATAGAAAAAAGTTATAGATACCCAGAGATACTTTACAAAACGTCCTTTTTCTGTTATAATACATTTTCAATAATTTGTTGTAAGACAAACTGATAATTAAAAGCTTATTTGGTGACTTTTAAGCTTTATCGGTGAAGAAAAACCGACTTTCTGTAAGCTAGCTTCGTCATATGCAAGAATCCATCTCTGGCCGGATTCAAGGGACAAGCGGCTCAAAGTCAAAGACCTTAAATAACTGCTCATTAACACAATGTCGAATTGATTGAGCCGATGAAAATACTTTAAAAGGAGCTTTAGCATTTTACTTGAATAATTTCATGCAGTAATATAAAGTTAAAAACGAAATTAACAATTGGCTATTTGATGCATGACTACTTGTGGTACTTGTATAATTTTAGCCATGTACTATGTACAATTGTCACATGACACTTTATTTGAAGACATTCCGTTCAAATATACAGAATGTATAGTTAAAACTGGCTTGTAAATTTTCGTTTTGCACGTTGTACAATAGTCACATGAGGTTACCATCATGATAACTTACTTGTTACATATCGTTGTCCTTAATTATTAGTGAATTTGAAGAAATACTGAAACAACTCAATATGTGTTATTTTCACAATTAAATAAACATCTGAATCGTTTGTAACAGAGATTTTAATGACACAACGAAGGCAAAGAAGATGTCAGAGGCGACTATACTGTATATAGACACAATTCTGTCACACAAAGAATTCGGCGGGAAACTGAGAAAATTCTTTGATCGTTACTTTAAAGACATTGATGAAGCTGCGAAAAGAATTCCTGGATTTCTTAAGGTGAGTGGATGAAATCGTAAAAAATGAGGTTATTTAAAGATGTACATTATATAAGTTTAATCTAAATATCAACAACTCAATATCATAAGATTTAAAGTATAATAGTGGTTCAATCGTATGAGCACCGTGCTGTAAGATATATATTTTATCATAGAGTGGATACCTTTCTATTGAAAATGTGTCCGACTTAAAATCTTATTTCCATACATGTACAGTGCGTTCACTGGAGTGCATAATTATATTAGTTACCTGCATTTTAGTAACCGCATTGCCTGCTGGGGATGACATTTAGCATGCTAGTCGAATTGCTACATTTTTTCTGACGTTTTCTTATTGTGGCGACAGGGAAAGGGATAACTATAGAAACATATTCAGATGCTCGTCCATTGGTTACTTCTGTCGGTTACTTTTTACTGGGATTTTATATCGCGACAGAGGGGGACTTGTTTTTATTCTTGCCTATGATACAAAGAGAAAGAATCTCAAAACACTCGGTAATCTGATTAATATTCGGGGGCTATACCCCCCTCGTACAAATCTTTCCATAACTAATACATGTGTAATGATTTTAGAGACAGACTTCATTTGCAAATATAATTGCAAGTTATTTTTCTCTATATGCAATTTTTCCATTAAATACGTTTGTAAGTTATGTTAGTTTTGTCCGCTTGCTCAATTAGGAGAGCGTCACATTAGTAAACAAGTAAGCTTATTTGATCCTCGGGCGATAGATCACGGGTATCGGGCCTGATGATCATTTATTCACACAGCTGTCAGTCACATGCGCAGAAATTGGTAATAATTGGTAAGTTAACCAGGAAACCCGGTCAGGCGGATCGACCATTGAGATATAACTAAGTAATGTGTTAATATCAATGTAAAGAAACACCCAGAAAACAGCAAATAAATCAGTAAACTAAGATGGCATTTTTTCTGCCAACAATTAAACAGTTATTTACGTTAGTTCTCCTACAAACTAGTTTGTTTTCGCTGAATCGATCAAGTCGAAGTTCTTTATTACACATAACATGAATAAATATGGTTAATGCAGTATTAGTAGAGAATCTTTAAACATTATACATTGTATATACAATTATATTGGAAACAATAAGTCATAAGTCATAAAGGTATTTGTTCTCATCATTTGCTAATGCACAAACCACAGTTCAACAATATGATATTATAAAATACCAAAAATTGGTAAAATTTGAAAAATTAACAATCATGTTAACAGAATTATTAAATATATTAATTTGATTCACTCTATAGATACGTGACAAATAAATATCTAACTTCAAGAACTAAAATGGAGATTGGGTAAGGGAATTGCCTACAATCCAAACACTGACAGATAACAAATATTCTTCTGTTTATCTATAAAATGTTCATTAATTTAATTTTGCATACATTTTTAATTTTGAATTGCATAAACACAACACTTTTTTTGATAACGTTATGTATGAAAATAAATAATAATCTTACAATGTTGTCTTATTACAGGCAGACCAGCAGCTCATAGAAACATTACAGACTAATATTAAGGAAGATGATCGTCTGAAAGAGCAACTCCCTGGATTAGTGAATGAAAGTGCCGAGCTTCTTGGCCAACTCGATATCTTCTACATAAACGACATCATGCAGTTTGACTTTGAATTATCAGAGTTAGAATGGAACGATAAAAAGGAGCTTGGTAGCGGAAGTTTTGCCAAAGTGTACACGTCAAAACTTACGCGAAAAAATAGACCAGTTGCAATAAAGGTGTGTATGTGGCAATACTGTATTTTATAACTTGTAGAATACGATAACAAAATCAACAAGGCATAGCAACTTTCACAAGCCACAGCCCTGATGTAAGCAAACCACAAGTGGCCACCGCAAAGGTATCTAGCTAAAAACTAACAAGGGCACAGAAGGCGGCAACGAACGGGACCTACCGATAAATGATACTAATTGTTAAAGATGATGAATATTTAAGTTCTTTTTCATTGATAGACTCCAAGCTTCTCGTGCCATCGAATATTCAACATATTCTTTTACACCATTCACATTTTTCCTCTTATCATTAGCGTAACAGCTATTACAATAGTTAATATTATGTAGAGATATCGAGAAATAAAAACGGATTTTGAATGTTTTGTTTTAGGTTGCCACTGACGTAGTCGACCAGTCCAATGTCACACAAATCCTAACCGAGGACAGAACTATGAGGTAAAATAATTTTCTATAAAATGTCCTGTAATTGTTAAGTGTAAGCAATATGTGACAGTTTTTTGTCGACATATCAAAATCTTTTAACCCGAAACTTGTAACGAATGTGATGTTTTGATTTTTACAAGTTATCATGAGATATAATGAAAACTGTTTTATGTTTGATATATACGCACGTTTATCTAACATCGGAACAAAAGTCGTCCAAGATCAAAACTCAGTGCGACATTTAATATCCCACAATGACATTATTGTAACTATCCTCTTTTGTTATGTATTATACAGTTAAGATAAAATAATTAATTTTGATAACTTCAGGGATTTGAAACATGCTAACATCGTTCGGTACTACGGTGCGTCCTATATTAAAACAAAGAAGGGTTTACAGTGGATAATGGTGATGGAGCTTTGCCAGACAACTCTTAAACAGATCTATACTGGTAATTTTGTTTAATTAATAATAATGTCAGCAATTAATTGGTTAACACAAGACTTATCAGTAGAAATGCAGTGTAAACACTTAATCAGTGTAAATTTGAAAGAAAGAGACTGCCAACAATTGTTAAGGCAAGTACCGTACTATTCTTTTAAATACAAATTGGAGTTATGATACATTCTTGAGTACACAGCTGTTAAAGTTGTATTAGACAAGGCGCTAGTACGAGCCCAATATGATCAGTATTGTTCTCAATTATGTTTAATGACCTCTTTCTTTCTTTCTCATTTTTGACATAGGTAATATGGGATATGATATGTATTCGATATGGATGTATTGTTCTCTGGAAATGGAATCGATGCTATATGGGATATAATAAGCATTTGATATAGATTCTGTAAATGAAAACGAGCCTAAATTGTTAAGAATGGACAATTATGAATTCTATTGGAATATCACATGGTTCAAAGGCTTAAATTTCATTGGTTATATTTTATAAGGTGTGAAGTAATATTTTTTGTATTATTTACAAGTGTTCATCCATTTTACAATTTATCACATAAAACATGTAAATAAGTAATGTAGATTAAATTAATGAATTTCAGGAAGCGATAGAAATGAGCGTATGATTCCTGGTTGCCTAGGAAGTGACCACCCACGATTTGCTCAGGCAGCCAAGTATATGCTTGACCACGCCTACCAGATATGTACTGGCCTGGATTTCATACATGAGAAAGGATACACCCACAGAGATATGAAACTAGAAAACGTTCTGGTAAATACATACTGCTTAGTTTGACCAAGGGTTTAGATTATCATCATTGGACGTGTCAGATGTTTGATCGCATCGGCTTTATGAACTATATCTTTAATAGTTTTAAACTCAAACAGCAAGTTCTCGATTTATCTGCATTACTATCTTAATATATGTTTGATATTTGTTATCCCGATACTCAAATAACAAATACCTTTTAGAAAATTAAGAATTCACATGCTTCAAAAAGTTAAATTCTGTTAAGCTATTTCAATTCATTCGGTGATGTAATAAATAATATTCGAAAATAAATACAAAAGTTTCCATATGTTTCATATATTCTTAATGATAATTTTACAGTTGGCAGAGGGAAATGTTATCAAGATCACAGATGTAGGCGTCACCAAGGTAACACAGATGCTTTGTAAAACTGCTGATGGTTCCCCGGCTTATATGGCACCGGAAGTGCTGCTTTCGAATGAAATCCAAACAAACAAGATTGACATTTACAGTTTTTCTCTCATATTCTGGGAAATGTGGTTTGGGAAGGATGTAGCTGATGAAATCAACAAAGGTTTACTCGGGTATGGATACCATGGAAATGCAATGGAAGTACTCAAATCTCAGATTGCAAGGACAGATGGTTGGCGGCCACCACTGAGTTCACCTAAACGTCCGCCAGAAATGATTACTGATGTATTGAAAAGGGGATGGTCTTCCGATCCTGAAAAGAGGCCAAGTGCAAATGAGTTTGGAAACACTTTGAAACATTTTCTGAAGAACAACCTCTAAAAAAGCATATAAATTATACAAACGTATAGGTGAACCGCTGAAAAAGACTTACATGATTACATACAGGAATAGAACTAATGTCATGATAGGCTATAAAGGTTTTAACAAAGCAAATTGCACAATGTAATTCATAAATCATCAACACAATTTCGTTTATCTATTATTTTGACATCAATTCATGTATAAGTTTTTGATGCTTAGGTATAAAATTCGCGGTTTAACAATCAGTGAACATAAAAATACATATTTGATTTGTGAAAATTCAAGGAGTTTGTCTACAGTTATTGTTTACACATTATTTAAACGTTCATTTGCGTAGTGATTAACCAGTAAAGAACATTATTCTATTAAAATTTATAATTTAGTTTTCATCACAAATTGAATGTGGTGACAAAACATTCTTTTAACATTTCACAATTCAGATCCATACAATTACACTAATAAATCGTTCAATATTTACTTTTTTTACTAATCCTCGGGTTGGATAAGATTTCAAGACAGTTTTGTTTCGTAATATTCTTTTCTGTTAATATTGATTATATTAATCAATTATCATTTGGTTTACATTACAATTCAATATCTTTTGTATATTTTTAATTTTGATTTTATTTAATGCTTGAAATAACAAAGAAGACATTTGTTTTTGTTTCATTTAGTCAAGAGTAAAGTCAAACGTTTAGTCAACGGAACAGCAAATGTTTATAATCATCAATGTTTCCATTTAAATTTGAAATGATTGTTTTATATTACATAATACATTACTCCATTGTTCAAGATCTGTTTTATGATAATCGTTGCAAAAGTTGAAATAGAAAAAACTATGAGGTGACAGCTACACTTTTACGGCTTTCTTCTATCTATGCCCTACAAGAACCGAATGCTCATAGTTTGTTATTCGTTTTGTATTTTGTTTTATCGGGTTTACACAAAATGCTCAAACTTAAAGGTTTAAACATATTTTATTTTGTGCCCGATGCTCATTCACACTATGTTTATACACTGTTAAATTATATTGTTTTGTTTGCGTGTGGGTAAGTTATTTTATGAATAAATCACATTGAATCAAGATATGCGTTCATCTTTTGTGTGTCCCCTTTTCTTATTTACAATGCAATGGTTATTATTTAGAATAAGAACCAATTTTTATGAATACTTATTGTGAACTAGTTTTTGCAAGTTATCATTTAAACAGACAAACCATTGAAAAAAGGATTGAAGAAATAGAAATTAGTGCACATACGGTTTAACAGAGTCTAATGTTGTATGGCACTGTCATCCAAATCTCCTCACACCGGCTTAGGACTTAACATTTTTATAGTTGAGCATGGTGTTGAAATAGAATTTTAATCATCCGCAGATAGAATTATATCGCAGTGACCACTGAAAATAAATTGTGACGCTTTCGAGGCAGGAACCAATATACATCCATAATTGATAGCACATTGTAGTGTAATATTGGTAAAGTGAACATGAACATATATTAATATTTACGACAGAATAGACCAATGCTCAGCAAATCAATGAAAAGTGACTGGAAATCCAAACTTTTAGCCTATATGCATTATTGTAATATTTATAATTGATATAATTATGACAGTTTCCATATTTTACGCTTGTAAATTCGATTTTTCTGAATAGCATAAAGTGCCTTTACCTCTATCTTTCATGATCAGCCTCAATCAAACCAACCTTTGGCGTTTTGGCTATAAAATAGGAACTTCTTTTTCAAAACACAATATCATTTCAATTATTGGCATCCTCACTAATACTTTTGTCTCAAACTCAATAGGAATAACATTAGTCTGACAACATGACGACTAGAATTGAAACTGAGAAAATTGTTGTGATAATGTCTGTATTTGTAAATGGATACTGTTGATTAATATATAACTACGTAAACTTTTAATCTATATACACATGAATAAACCAGTATCGCAGTACCTCAAATCTCTCATATGTAGACAAACAGCGCCAATATATTTGCAATTGCTGTGTCAACTTTGATAGAAAACCGGGGACTGATATATCTAAATAAAACAAACGCCATTGGAGGAAGAGCAACAACATACATAACAAAAGCACTTCATTTTTGTTTTTAAAAGGAAACATAAGACTAATACTTGTAGCCAGTAAAGAAAAATGAGATGGTATATTTTCCATTTACTGTTTATACAGTGTAAAGAACAATATGTGCAAGAGGGATGAGACTGTCAAATATTTTATTACATAAGTGTTGATACATAGACCATGTTGTAAAAAAACAAAAAAAACAACGTTTAAATTTACATTTGATAAAATAAATCTGATGCAGAGTGTGTCCTTACTATTTAATATATGAAATTATAATAACGAAACTATATATATTATTTAAATGTTTTCAAATAGCTAAATATAAAAAATGCAATACGTTTATTATCATCTTCTTTTCTTACTCATCATGGCTATCAAAGTACACTCATGAAATTCTATACGACGCCGTGAAATCAATACGCACTGACAGATAATGTACATAAAGTATTGGTTTGCATATCTTTGTTGTGGATTATATAATAAAAACTTATAAGACTATTGCTAAATATATAATATATATTAAGGAAGTGCAAAAGGAATCATTCGAACGTTTCTTATTCAAAGTTAATGTTTTGGAATATTAGGAAATAAAACGATTAAACATAATGAATGAGAAAAGATCAACTAGTGCAAACACTGGACAAATTGAACTTGGATTTTAAGCGAAAATTGGTACATGTATTTATAAATTTAAGCTGTTTGTGCATAGTTTTTTCGGTTCAACCTCAAAACAACATTTAATTGATTTTATAGAAAAGTCAAAGCGTGACGAAATTTAAGTTTACCATAGCTTCACACAAAAAACCCAAAGCGCAAGTAAAAGTCATTTTATACTTTTTTTAAACACGTTTGATAAATACAGTATAGAAAAGCTACACTCTATGTCTACAATATAATAGTTACTGTTTGAATCAATAAATTGACGGTACAACTTGCAAGAATTACCTTTGTAACCATTCAAAATCCAGTTCAGACTTTTTTTAATCAGGAAGTTAACATGTATATATTCCTTTACAAATGTTATGGAAGATTTGGTTTCCGGACATTTAAACCCGTCAGTTTTATTTTTAAGTGTGTCATCTAAGAAGATTAAAAGGATTTAGTGAAACAATTTTTGAACTGCATTTCCAGGTATAAACCTGTAAAATATATGTGAAACAAATGTATTCAAATAATAAGAATGTTATTTTACGTGTCATTTTGAAATTCTTTTCTTTCCATTGCATTTTAGTGTCTAAATTAAATATCCTTTATGTTGTATTTAAGGTTGTTACCACATTTACGTGAAATGTTATGTATGTATATGATTATGTTTAAACATCAAATAATATGTAAAATATGTACTGCAAATATGTGTCCACATTATATGTTATCTTTAAAATATATGCATTAATTTCTTATTGAAAAATTTGAATTAGACTTTATAGAAAATAAATTTCTAATTACCTTCCTTTATTTACATGACATGTTAAATTCGGTAATATCTTTATATAATGCTTTTTGGAACTTACAATATTGATAAATCTTAATTTGAGCATCATATTTATGATATAAAACCATAAGAATAGTGTGTTACATGATCTTGAATATGCAGGCACGCGTTATGTTTATGTAGACAGACACGACGTTTAAATGAAATGTGAGATAAACGCTATATTGTGGACAGATTATGTGTTATACATTGAACTGAAAAGCCGCGGAGAAAAGTTTAAAGAATGCAACCAGTATCCATACCAGTACAAAAAACATAAACAAAAACAAAACAAAAACCCAACAAAATCCCCCCGGCAGAAAAAACAGCAAAGAAACATACATTCACACTCTTGTGAAGTATGAAAAGTATGCTTGTTATTATTTGCATATTTTTCTGGCTGAAGCTTATTAAAATAGAGAGTTATTTTGAAGTTTAGATATTATATTACGTTGGTGGAGCTTTAGCCTGAGGGTTTGAATGTCTGCCTCTCAACCGATGATTGAAGGTTTAAGCTTAAGTAGATTATTAAATATTTCTTCAAAATGTTAGACATAAAGAGAAACCGATCAGTTCCAGGAATTGTACCCGAGAGTGATTCAAATTAACCAGCTTTCATAACAATCGCACTAAAATAAATATGTTTAAGTTAAGTTTTCCTATAACATAGCTGACACCAAAACTCCCACCGTAATTAACATAATATTGCATGAAAATAGATACTGCAAATGCAAAAGCATCAAGTAATCAATTCATCTGTTTTTGGCTTTTATAGGTAATTAAGGTGCTTTATAAACAACATCAGAAATGGCGGGGAAACAAATGACGAAACAGGATTCTAAAGATATCCCCAATATACAATGTGCTGAGGATATATCACTGTTATATATTCCACAACTAAGTACTCTAGCAAAATGCTGGAATGTGGATATGTCAGGATTTGAAGAAAAGAAAGACATAGAGGATAGATTGATCACATTCTGGACAAGTAACAGGAAAAAGGAAAACTCCGACTCTGTAAGTTATTCATGTTTTATTGCGCGTATGTGGAACAGTAAAAAGAGTATTACACGTAATATCTTTATTGCCCTTAGAAATAAGTGTTGTCATGCAATATTTTTTTGTAATCTATAAAAAGAAATACTTAGATATTACCAAACCTTGCCATCTTCCCCGAATTGTGGACAAACATATGTGACGTTTATAAGACACAAGATAAATCAAGACAAGGTCTTCAAAATGTGGTTCAATTCTTATTGTTACTACATCAAAAAGTATTATCAAAAGAAAAGATCTTTATACATGCACTCAACTACAAACACACACAACCTTTAGACAATATCAAGCATGTATTTTACAATCACTATAATTATTATTGAATGTGCCTGTTTTACCTTTAAGTGAATCTTTACGTGGCATTTACAATAAATCGTATTATATTATATTACAAAAAATGTTTTGGCACATATTTCTGGCAAAACGTGAATTCTGAATCCAGTTATGAACGTAATTAAAAATGTTATGAAAGGACGGACCCATCCATGCTTTGTAAAGTTTTGTTTCATTCAAATATTTTCACAACAATTCAATAACAAATTTAACATAGCAGGAACATAAACTGTTAAGTAAAATCATTATTGGTAAAATATGCAAAATATTTCACATGACTTAGTTAATGACTAGAAAATAAAATATCAGGAATAATCATTTGACTTCTTAACGAATAATTTATTTAAAAAAAACCTTTAAAAGTCGTGTGTTTTTAATGCTTAGATGTTAAGTTTAACATTAACGATTCCCGATACCATTAAGAGATGGTTGTTTTTATTTCAATTTACTGTATCACAAAACGAAACATTGTCATTATCAAGCATGTTGTTTGTAGTTTTTCTAAACCTATGTCTCAAGTAACACAGCTCGGGCAAAAGTACAGAACTTCAAGATGGCCACCAAAAATGACAAAACTTCTTTGCTGTCCAGAATTATGCATTCTTTGCTTTCTACAGTCATGTGTTCTTTGTCAATTAATATATGTCCATTGCTCAATATAAGTAGACGGTCACCTGCGAAAGAAATTGGTAATTATTGGAAAATGGAAAATAATCCAAAACTGTCTTCACACACAGAGTTGTAGAAGAAAGTTTAATATGAATGATAAGTTTGCAGATAGGAACATTAGATAATGTAACATTCTTCATGAATTTAAGTGGGAACCTCTGGAGCTTGCTAGCGCTTTCACGGAATATCAAAAGACAAAACAATCGTTGCTCGAAAAGTACCGAAAAGCTGAGGCATTGTATAATAACTTCACACACAAAATAAAAGCAAATCTTGAACTGTCCCATCCAAGTAAGTCATTCACTATTCAATCAAAATTATAAAAGCATTTTCTAAAGTTCACAAGCACATATGACATAGCCTTAGATGTGTTTTTGTCTGTTTCGAATATGTTTTAGTTTCGATTTATGTATAGATATTTTAAATGTGATGACTGAATAAAAAGAAGTCTATCTGAACCTATCTTATAAAAATGTTATTTTATATTACTTTATTTTAGACGTATGTACACTTATCAAAGAGAGAGAAGACTCGTTTAAGTCGGGAGAATGTACGATTGTTATAGCTGGAGATATTGGGGCTGGTAAAACAAGTCTTCTGAACTTGATTCTAGAGACACAGATATTCCCAGTCAATTCACTAAAGTGTACCAACACTATTCTAGAAATACGGAGCAGTGAGAAGAAGGATGCTGTTTTCTACTACAAACAACAGATGTTAAATAACGACGATAGAGAACGAAAACTGCAACCAAAGATTATAAGCCTGAGTAACTTGCAAACATACACGTTTTTATACATATATATTAATTGTGTAACATTTATAAACAAACCACCAATATCCCAATCATTATGTTAGAAATATTAATAGATCGACATGTTTTTCAACTTACTAAGTGTCAGAAATGTATAGACATAAACCTTTTTATAAAATAAGACGAAATTATTTTTTCATCTCTGTTAAGCGAATCAATGATGTTTTTATGAAAATTTTAATAGTGAAAATGTCAGAATTTTATAACCAAGTCAAAACAAATCAAATCAAGAGCGATTCTTGTATTTAAATGTAATGAATAATTAAGTTTGATTGATATTTTGACATTTATGTTACAGAGAGTCTGGATGGAATTCAGGAATTCAAGGACTGTGTTGCGGAGTATGACCTATTGGACGACAACCCTTACGACCGATGCGAGGTGTTTTACCCATTCAAAACACTCAGTGTAAGTAACTAGATGTAATAATGTACGTACTGTTAACTTGCAGATATTCAAAAGTGACACGTGACGGAACATTTTATTATATATTTAATATCACTCAATGTTTTATAAGAATATCTTGAAAAAGTGCGTTAATTTTGTCATCATTTGTGTCAGACGGATTAGTTATATATGTAAATCACGGATACATCAATGATATATTATGATATATTATAATTACAAGTATTTTTGTTATATCTTAACTTTAATCGAGAGTTTCTTGACAAAGTTGTATTAATTTGATTTTAAGAAAGGCTTGGTGATTGTAGACACCCCATGTATAGAAGGTGGGGGTAATATCGATCAACAATTACAAACATACTTCTCGAGAGCGTTCGGCCTTATTTACGTCATCAACACGAACGCTGCTTATGGATTTCAACAAAGCAGGGTTTGTTAACTTTCAAATGTACCAATTAAATTCTTTGTTTTGTCTTGTTTCTTGGTACTTTCCTGCTCGATATTGTAAGATTAACATTATTTATTTACTTATTTATTGTAAGTTTACTGAAAATGGATTATTTCAAACGAAATTTTTCTTGCATATAACACTGTTTTAAAAGCAACAGAAAATAGAACACTGTTTTAAAAGCAACAGCAAATATAACATATTATGATGAATATTAATATTAATTGACGTGTACATTTTAATTTACAGCTCGGCAAATTGTTGAAAACTGTTGTCAATAGCAGCGAAGATTTCAGCCCTGAAGCGTCCCTTTTCATCGGCAATAAATGGGAGCATGTACCCGAAGGAGACCGCGCTGACGTGCAAGAAGATATCTTTTACAAACTGAATCAGGTGTATCCTGGGACACAACAAACGCAGATACAGTACATGTCTGTGAAAAAGGTAAAAGTATTCATTTGAATAAACCATAGTTGGTATCGTTATCGTTGGTGTGAACTCACAATTAAGTGTCTATTCGTCTACATTTATTCGAAAGAAAGTACGATTAAATTAACATGTTAACATGTATTTTTGTGTTCCTCACAGAATTATTAGAATTGTCTCACATCGCTTCAGTCAGAGCCATCAATGTTTGACAGCATCTTAGCACTACTAAGCACTAGAGGATTCTTCGCGAGCGATAGGAAGTAGTTCCTTCTCATTTGCCGACAGCATTGTAATTGTTTCAAGTTGTTTTAATTTTTTAAATTTAGGAGACGGTAATTTTGATGGCCGGCTTCAAAGGCAACAGGTGTACTGAGTTATAACTAGGCATTTAATTCTTCATCACTAAATTCGACTGACATTAACCATTTCATTAATGATAATGTAATGCGAAACAATTTCAAGGGTTGTTCGGCATAACTCCATAACTGATATAATTTGCAAAAACCCTTGATGTTTTCACACATGATGTACTAATTCAATTATATCGTATATCTCTGAAACAAAAATAAAGAACAAACAAACTTTAAATCTAAGATGCATATTTCTTTCAGTCGACAGAATTCCAAATGAAGTACGAAACAAAATTAGAAGAGCACAAGATTCTCCTGTTGAAGGTGTCCCAGCTTGTATCCAGTAGTTTCAGACAAGTATTAGTGTCAAATTACTGGTAAAATACAAAGTCATTTCAAGATGTAATACATTATCAAGTCACCTTTATCTAAGTATTGAGCATATAAAGTTTAAAAATCTCATATGTATATCATTTATAAAAACATATTCAATCAAAGCATATTTAATTTTATCACGGAAATTTTGTTTTTGAAATGAAGATTTGCTATTAAACAAAGTGGTCCTAAAATGTACCATTTATTATATAATAATAAAGGAAAATGCCGGCAAAATGGTGAAAAAATAGTTTTACACTAATCATGTATCACTTTAACAATTCCTTCTTTTTTTTCCGTCAAAGGTGGCTTTCCTCATTCCTATCACGATCATTGTACCTCCTTCGCGTGACAAGCGTACATAAGGAGATGACAAGTGAGGAACTAGACATATATTTCGAGGACGTCCGTAAACGCGTGGAAGATCTACAGGTGATTAGTATGATACCGCCTGATTAAAACTTTGTCGCAACTTATTGTTGTAAAATGTTTGTATAATTTATAAGAAAACGATATATCGGATTCCTTTGCGAAATGAAATACATTTACAAACCTTTTATCTAAATATTTATTAAATTATCTGTCAAGCGCATTCAATACGCTGTTTTCCCCAATTTTGCAAAAGAAAAATTTTTTTGTTTTTAAATTCCCCGAAAAGCATTCTTTTTTTTAAAATAAGACCCTAAAAAAGCATTGCTTTTTAAAAATGATTTCTTTTAAAAAGTAAAAATTTTTGTATATTTCCCTTGGGGAAATAAAATTTAAAAAAATAATATTTTTGCAAAAAAATGGCGAAATTTCGAAGCTTTTGGGAAAAAAGGGAGAAAAAAATAAAAAGGAAAATTTCCAAAAGAACCCTTCAAACGTACTGGGGAAAAAAGAGCCCTTTTAGACAGGTAAATTGCAAAAGCTGTAAAAACATTGGAAATTAAGGGCGGGTCAAAAGCATAGTAATGTTAAAAATATTGTAACTAAAAATAGCCAACTATTGTTCATTAAATTTATTTTAAGCTTCTACCGTAGAGTAAGCTTGTAGCTGGCTTCGAACAAGTAAACAATACTGGTCTATATATTGAATTATGAGTTGCTCGATTCATCTGTGTTGAAAATTACAAGGCCACACTGCTCCAATTAACAATTAACTTCAATTATCAGTTTAATATGAGATTCGGGTAAAAAAAGAAAGAATATGTTGAAATAAAACTGACTTCATGTATTGACCCTGGCAGTTAATAAACAAAATAAATGCACTTTTTCTGATAGGCCTATTATTTTCTGATAGGCCTACATACATGGTTGGTATCGTCCTCTTATGACGTTTTCAAGTCATATTATGTCGGTCTAAGTGGAAATGGTCTAATATTACATTTAAGTCATACATAACCCAAATATTTCTTAAATAATTGTATGAAATGGAACAGTTATTACATTTTAATTTACTGTGTAGAATATGTAATTGGGAAGACACTAATGAGTGTCCCAGGATTGAGAGAAGGTGGAATATCGTTGCGGATGCCGCTGCTGTGAAGATATCAGAAAGAATATCACGCGAGCTTGATAACTGGTTAAGACAGAACAACATTCTCCGTGTCCTAGACAACGAAATCATTGAAGTTTTCAAAACAGAACTCGGATTGATTGATAGCCAAGTGAAAGAACTAGAAGGTAAATTGCATATTGCTCGCAAAGCAGATATCAAACGATATGTGTTACTGCCCGCTACTTACAATTCACAACAATAGTGAGCCACATAATTGTACTAAAATGAAATACATGAAATTCTACTGGTGCCAACGTTGGACATAGCAAATATTACTGAGGTTTCAAAAATGCTTTTCATCTATTACAGAATATTTTGTCAGAAGCCGGGGTGGCAATATGTGTAAGGTAATGTGTAAAGTTCCTGTAAAAGCCTTGTTTCCAAGAAAGAAGACAAAAGTAGAAAAAACATATTCAACACTGGGTTGCGCTGTCAGTTGCCTTGGAATGCTAGACACATATATGAGAAATGCCAGAAGAATATTCAGGTAAGCAATATACTTTGAAAAAATATATATGCTTTTCTCTATGCTGTTTAAAAACATTGAAAATGAAGCCTACTGTATATAGTACACATTCAGGCACACACATTTTAGGTCAAAATGCACGACAAAAAAATCTATAAAAATGACCGTTTCATTCAGTTTTTTTTTTACTCTTTGTAAATACTTAACATAACGTCGAATTTTTGTTAGGTTGTATGCCAAACTGATAATTTTACAGATTATTTGGCGACTTTCCAGCTATATCGGTGGAGAAACTCAGGTGCCCCTCCATACTTGAGTTCATGCACGATTGGGCACCTGAGTGGAACCACCGACGTTCCGTAAGCTAGCTGCATAGCTTCATCACATGTAAGATTCAAGGGCAACCGGTCAAAAGCCAAAGACCTTAACCAACTGGTTATGTACACCCCTTCAAAATGTAAAATTGATTGAGCCGATGACAAAATGCTTTGTAGTAGCTTTAACACTTTACTTGAAGAAATTCCAAGCAATAATATAAATTTAAAAAACGAACTTCACAATTGGCTTTTAGATGCATGGCTACATGTGCAATGTTCGTCCTGCATTTTGTCTAATTGTCACATGGCACTTTATCTAAAGATATTCTGTTCAAGAGTATAGTTAAAACGAGAGCATTAACAAATATCGTCTTGTAAAAATGTTCATTATAAACGTTGTAAAATAGTCACATGAGGTAACCAGCATGATAACTAACTCGTTACATATTGTTAGCCTAAATTATCATTGAGTTTGGAACAGTCCTTGAAACAACCCAATATGTGCTATTTGCACAATTAAATATACATTTGAATCATTTGTATCAGAGATTTTAATCACACAACAAAGGCAAGGAAAATGTCAGAAGCGGCTGTTCTAAGTATAGAAACAATACTGTCACACAAAGAATTTGGCGGGAAACTGAGAAAATTCTTTGACCGTTATTTTAAAGAAATTGATGAAGCGGCAAAAGGAATTTCTGAATTTGTTAAGGTTAGTAGAGAAAATTGTTGAAATGAGGTAATATAAAGATGAGCATATTATTATTAAGATCTAAATTATCAAAAACTTAATTTAAATAAGATAAATACTATAATGGTTAAGTGGTCAAGGCGCCGTGATGTTATATAATACATGCTTAATGATTTACATTGGTTAGTAATAAAAACAATGTTAGTACCTACTCATTAAGCATGTACAATGTATATATAATTATAATGTAAATAATAAGTCATAAAGGGCTTTGTTCTAAAACATTTGAAATGACATTACAGTTAAATTTTATATTTAAAAAACAACAAAAAAGGTAAAATTTTTGAACAAAATTCAGTAATTTTTTAATTTGATTTAAAAATTAAAGGGTTTTTAAATTTTACTATAAAAATATTACTGTATGTTGTAGTTAAAAACCTTAAAGACTTTAAATTTTTTTTAATTTCCCAAAAAAAAATAAATGGGGTTTTTGGGAAAAGATTTTTAAACCCAAAACCTTTCCAAAAAAAAATTTTTCTTTGTTTATTTATAAACTTTTTATTTTTCGAACATTTTCTTTTGAAAGGGTTAAAAAATTTATTTAAAAAAAACAATTCTTTAAATTTTATGGAAGAAAATAAGTACTTATAATTGTATTAAAAAATTCGTAAATATTTTTCTTATTAAAAGGGCGGATCAGCAGCTTATAGAAACTTTAACCGGGACTAACATTGAAGAAGACGATTGTGTGAAGGAGAAACTCCCTGAATTAGTCAATGAAAGTGCTGAGCTTCTTGGCCAACTCGATATCTTCTTTATAAACGACATCATGAAGTTTGACTTTGAATTATCAGAGTTAGAATGGAACGATAAAAAGGAGCTTGGTAGCGGAAGTTTTACCAAAGTGTACAAGTCAAAACTTACGCGAAAAAATAGACCAGTTGCAATAAAGGTGTGTATGTGGCAATACTTTATTTTGTTACTTGTAGAATATAACAAAGATCAACAAAGCATAGCAATGTTTGCAAACCGCAGTCCGACAAAATCTAACAATAAGTGACCACAGCAAAGGCATCCTGCAGGTCAACGTACAAGGGCACTGACGGCGGACATGGGTGCGGCTTACCGATAAATGATACCATTTGTTTAAGATGATGTATATTTTTCCTTTTTCTATTGATAAATTCCAAGCTGCTTGGTCCATCACAATTTTCAGTATATTCTTTTACACCATTTATATACTTCTCTTATTATTGGCCTAACAGCTATTACAATTAAAGTAATTGTTATGTTAAGATATAGAGAAATAAAAAAGGATTTTAAATGTTTTATTTTAGGTTGCCACTGACGTAGTCGACCAGTCCAATGTCACACAATTCCTCACCGAGGATAGAATCATGAGGTGAAATCATATTCTATGCTTTTACAGTTAAAACGTCCTGTACTCGTCAAATGTAGCGAAATGTGACAGTCAAATACATTAATGTCAAAACTGCAATGGGTGATATTGTTGTATGTTTGATATACACACGTATGTCTGATATCGAAATAGAAGTTACCAAATATCATTTTTATATATTAAACTTGACATTTAATACCTCGAAATTACATTAAACGATTATTTACTTTTGTTATGTATTTCAATCAGACATATTCAGTTAAGATACAAAATAATTATTTTTTTGATAATTTCAGGGATTTGAAACATGCTAATATTGTCCGGTACTACGGTGCATCGTACATTAAAACAAGTAAAAGGTTTACAGTGGATTAAGGTGCTGGAGTTATGTCTGAAAACCTTAAAAACAAATCTATACTGGTTGTAAATTGATTTTTATTAACAATATTTTCAGCATTGAATCAGTTCAACAAGTCTTATAGGGACTCAGTGTAAAGCATTTTCATAAGTTTAGAATTTTTTGATGCAACGAAAGAAAGACTGCTACCAATTGTACACGCAAATACTATTCTTCCAAGTTCAAATAAGGTTTGAAATATGAAGGTATTATACATGTACATTCATGAGTTCAATACTAACATTAATTGGATGAGAACAAATAAAATGTATTAAAACGAAAGGGCTTGCGCTTTGAACGTGTTAAAAATTAAAAAAATTCCCCAATAATAAATTTTTACCTTTTTTTCATTTTTTAAATTTTTTTACCCCCTCTACAATAAAAATTGATAATAGTTTTTTCAGAAAAAGGAAAAAAAAAGGGTATTAAATAGATAAATTTAATTGGAAAATAAAATTTAAAGAAACTATAAGGAAATGTGGGTAAAAAATTTGATATGGGTTTTTGTTTTCCGATAGGAAAAAGTTCTATTTGGGGGGCTGATTGGGTTATGTTGCATAGAAATTTAAACGAGGCTAAATTGTAAAGAATGGACACTAATGAATCTTTTTGGAACTTCAAATGTTTCAAAGGCTGGAAGTTCATTGGTTGCAAAATACTGTTTTGTATGTACAAGTTTTTATCCATTTAACTATTTATAAAAAAATCATATAAAACATGCAAAACAAAATAAAATTAATTAATAAATCATAGGAAGCGAAAGAAATGAGAGCATGATTCCTGGTTGCCTACAGTGACCACCCACGATTTGCTGAAGCAGCCAAGTATATGATTGACCACGCCACCCAGATTTGTACTGGCCTGGACTACATTCATGGACAAAGATACACGCACAGAGACATAAAACTAAAAAACGTTCTGGTAAATACATACTACCTACTCGTAGTTTGAGTCAGGGTTTAGTTTTAATTTTTGAACTTGCCAACTATTTGATTGCATCGGCTTTATGCACTATATCGTTAAGAGTTTGAAACTCAAAAAGCGAGGTTTTTATTTATCTGCATGAATATCTTAACATAAGTGTGCTATTTGTTATCTCGAAATACTATTAGAAAATGAAGAATTTACATGCTTCAAAATGTTTTGAGTAATATCAATGCTACACTACTTTAATTAATTCAATGGTGGCATTTATCATTTTGAAAGAAACAAAACTTTAAAAAACTCCAAAGAAACAACCCAAAATCAAACCAAAGAAAGCAACGTTTTTCATTGTTCCAATCTTGAAATTATTTACGTTAGAGAAAGGGAAATGTTATAAATAAAGATTAATGGTCACCAAATAAACACGATCCTTTGTATAATGCAGATTTGGTTTCCTCGGCTTATTGCTTAATGGCAGGAAAGTTCTTCTGTCCAGTGAAATACAAACAAACAAGATTGACATTTACAGTTTATCTCTCATATTCTGGGAAATGTGGTTTGGGAAGGATATAGCAGACGAAATCACTGAAGGTTTACTCGGGTTTGGTAACGATGAAAATGCAATGGAAGTACTCAAATCTCAGATTGCAAGGACAGATGGTTGGCGGCCACCGTTGAGTTCACCAACACGTCCGCCAGAAATGCTTACTGATGTATTAAAAAGGGGATGGGCTTCTGATCCTGAAAAGAGGCCAAGTGCAAATGAGTTTGGAAACACTTTGAAACAGTTTCTGAAGAACAACCTTTAACAAAGCATATAGACTTTCTGCGGATGTTTCTAAATTCAAAATTTCACACTTTTCGTGTTAAATGTTGAATTCTGCTTAAGCTGGTGCTAGGGTGCGTGGACGGTAACTTGCACTTTCCAGTACCGACCATGAACAGGCAAACCGAGCCTGCAACATTTTTAATTTTGTTTTGATGAACTTTCTTTAATGATTCTGTTTTTTTCTATTTTACACAACTTTTTTTATGCCAGCTGAAAAAGTCTTAAGTAATTACACTGAATTGAACTACTGTCATGATATGCTATAAAGTGTTTCTGAAAGCTGTTAATTGAATTCAGAAACAAGCCCTTGTATATTTTCAAAAATTATTCTATTCAATGCTTGAAATGCTTGAAATAACAAGGAAGACTGTTTTTGTGTCATTTAGACAACTGTTAAGACTAACATATAGAATCAATCGAACAACAGAAGTGTACAATCATCAACATTTCTATTTATTTTTTAAATAACGTATTATATCATATTATTCTTTGAACATATCACTCAATGTTAAGCATTTTTATTATAACAAATGTGAAAAAATTAAATGATTGAGGAGATCAAAGTTACACCTTTATGTCTTTCAAGAAATAGAAGAATGGAACTTTGTCTCATATAGAGACTGTTACATTCAATGTTCATTCATTTTTTTGTTTTACATTATGTTTTATTGACAAATGGTTTTACCTTAAACACTCAATATGATAAACAAGATCAACAAGGAAAGGCGGCGTTCAATGAACGCAACCCCCATATGACCCAGCAACAAGAACCAATGGCAAGGAGCCCAGGCGAACCCCAAACAAAAACAGGACACGGCAAAGACAGAGCACGGACAGGTTAACCATTAAATGATAAATAATTTGTAACTGATTAGGAATTCAAAGAAAATAATAATAGGCCCACAAGGGGAAGGGGACAGGAGACCGGGGGAAGGGGGGGGGGTTAATCAAAAAAAATAAAATATAGAGGCAATGGGAAAAGATACTTACCGTAGACGAGAAAAACAACAAGGACACAAGCAAAAGTGTCACCAAAACAGTATGAAACAACATAGACATACATCTGAGGAACACAGTGGGGCGCCGCCTTGGAACGGTCAGCAGCATAATAATGACTGCTGGGGAGTTTAAACCGGTTAATGGTGCACCAAACCTCGCTCTTAGCCCCACCATGTTCCTATAAACAAGACAGTGTAAATAAAATGAATCCCCGCCAAGTGAAATTCTAACAGTTGTCATGGTTACAAAAGGTTAAATAAGTAAAACACTAAAATGATCATGTAGAAACATATAAAAGTAAAACCCAATGACCATAACAAAAGTACTCAATGTCCTAAAGGAAGACAGAGCAACAAGAAAATCACCTACAAGGGCCCGACGAAGCAAGGCAGAAGACGAACATTAAGAAAAAATTCAGTCTCAAAGGGCTTTACGAACTATCCATCATAGAGTCTCCCACTTGGTCAGTCAGATGCAATCAAAAGAGGAAAGCGTAGTGTCCAACTGTAAAAGGGTTGAACACTAAACATGCAGTATGTCTTAAGATAGTAGGGTCATAACCTCTTTTTAATAAAACGTTTAATGATTTTAGTAAAACAGCAGGAAAAATTACCATGACCCAAAATCTTACGAAGTTTGTAAATCATATCGCCATAAAAACCAGGCTGGCTAATCCCTTGTCGCAGAAGAGTTTTTAAATCACTATTGAATTTAGAAATCAAACCTATAATTGTAAAGTGTTTAAAATACTTCATTTTGTATCTAATGCTCATTTAACAGATTGTCTTAATACACAGTTTTGTTTTCGTGTGGATGCGTTATTTTATGCATAAATCACATTGAATCAAGATATGCGTTCATCTTTTTGTGTAACCTATTTTTTTAAATATTTTTATAGAACCAAATTTTGGAATTGTGAACTTATCTATTATTCTTTAAAATTCATTAAACGGACAAACCAACCTAATAAAAATTGAGGAATTGAAATTGTTGCATAAACAGTTTGATGAAGTCTAATCATGTATATCAATTGTAAATGCAATCTATCTTCCACATGAGCATGGTATTTAATTATGGATTTTGAAACACCCGCAGATATATTCATACGGCAGTGACCATCAAAAGTTTAACGTGACCTTTTCAAGCCAGACAACAATATATATCCATACTTGAATTTCAAGTTTAACCAAATTTCTCTTGTTAGTTGCTCAAATTAAGTAGCGTTATATTGAAATATTGTCAAATAAATGCTTTATTGAAATAAATACTAGTGCTAGGCTACCACTACCTTCCAAGAACAGGTTCAATCAGACCGAGCCTGCAATATAGTTAATTTTGCGGTTTTTCGGCGTTCTTAGGGGACTTCGTAGCAGTATATTTTTTCAGCCGAAGACAGTCTAAAGTCTCTGAGACCTACTGTTAATTTGTTTAATTACCATATTCAATGCATATTGACGACATAAAATAATAAAATGTGTTGTTTACCAACTTGATATACACACATTTATATTTCGGTGTTTAACAAATGTCCTATTTATTGTTTTATTACATGCGCAGTTATAATAATAATAATAATAGCAAGAAAGGAGGAATAACAAGAAGAAGAAGAAGAAGAAGAAGAAAAAGAGGGAGAACAATGGAGAAGAAGAAGAAGGAGAAAAAGTAAATAACGGTAAAATAATAATTAATAAAAACAAGATAAAAGACAAAAAAATATGAAAAGAAACTATGAAACCCAATAAACATGATAAAACACATTTTAAACTGCAGATTTACAACCCCAAAGTAACAAGTCATACATCTGGATCAGTGTTAAGCTACAGTTATATAATCACGTGTGTCATTATTTACGCATTTTGTGATTTATTGCTAATTTCACCCGACTGCAACTGTACAACCCAGTAGGAAAGTCATGACGTGTATATACGTTGGAATCCCGGATTCCACGCGAGTTCGAGCCCGGGTCATTGCACCTATTTCACCGTGAAATTTATCGCCGATGCCAATACCTAAGTGTTGTATCTTGAATATCATTCGTCCTAGACTGCTGTGTTACAAATATGCGTGCGGTGGAGCATACCAGTTAATTCATGATAACAATAACTGGTTTATTAAAAATATTTACGCTGTCTTGAACAATAATGAAATATTTGATCCGTAAAACTCAGAACTTCCGCTTTTTAACCACTTGACAAATCTTTTAACGCAATTAAAAGACAAATTCGTTTAATCCATGTTTTAAAATTTTTTATTAAAAATTATTTATCTATATTAGCCGGGACAGTGCTATATAAAACAATGGATAGTTTAAAATGCACCAGGTAAATATTTTATTTATATTCTTTCTTAAAATATGTCATTTGGTTATCTTTAAGTATATTTACTAACAATAATATAGTATCTAAGCAAGGACCTGCTGAAGTTAAAGGTGATAATCCTTTGCCCCTTCGGGGATTCTTTTTTTCTTTTTGCCCACAGTAAAGAGCCAGGCTAGCCTGGGTGCCTGTGCAGTCTGGCCAGACACTGTGCAGTTGGCTGGCTTACATTAAATCCCTTGTAAAATAATAGACAGTAACAAACATGAAAGTTAAACAAATCCCAGAGGTTCAGGGTAACAAGGTTAACTTGACATAGAAAACCGACATAGAAAAAGGTCATATGTTGACTTTCAGCTTTACTGATTTATGAACCTCGTATGTTCCTCTGTTCACGGAGGTCCTAATGTATACATTTTTTATTACGGTTATTATTTGTGACTTAGTATGTTATAATTATTTCTAGCAATTGATTGTATTCTTTCAAAGTAGATACGCCAAAACACGGCATAATTGAAAATGTTGCAGTCTCAGTTTGATTTAAGTACATTCCCTGGACAGTACAAACACAAAGAAATATGTACTTTAAATCATAAAGAGACAGAATCTCCTTTTCGATCGCTTGAACAAAATAAAGAATTTCAGGGTGTCGAGATATAATTAGGACATGGGCACCATTCAACTTTGGAAATCATTATAAAAGTCTCAAATAAAAAAACAAAACAATATATATATATAAGGTAAATTATAGCGTTGTTTTGTATGGTAATATGTTGAATTATGAACCTGTATACAGTACATACATGTTTTAAAACGTCTTACTGACGATGTATAGCGCAATAAAAAATATATCAAAATCAGGATAAATGATCCTAATGTTATTTTTATGGTTTATTCGGGGTAGTTGGAAGGTAGTGTAGCGTACGGATGTGTTGTGTGGGAATTAGGATGGCGGTGTGGGGTATTGCGGTGATGGTGTCGGGTAACTGAGGTGAAAGTGTCAGTATCTTGGCTCTGTGATTTGTAGATATTTGGGGTGATGGTTTGGAAATTGGGATAAAGAAGATTGGAGTAATTTTCTGAGGTAGGGTATGGGCATTTGGTTGGTTGTATGTTGAGTATTAGGGGGCGTTGTTTTAGAGTAATTCTTGATGGGGTTAGAGGTTATTAGGGTGAGTTTCCAGGTGGTCACAGTCAATTGTATTGCCATTAATTGTATGTACATGCCCATTGAGAAGTATGCTTGTCATAAATTATGTATATATCCATACAGAACAACCTGAGTTTAAAAAGCTTTAATGGAAAAGAGAGAAACTATGTCAATGAATATCCAGTTAAGATCACTGACGGTGGCCAAAAGGTTAAGATGACCGCGATTCAACTTAAGTTTAACCAGGACCAAGAACATTATGTTTTTCTATTAAAATTAGTTCCAAGAATTGGACCCAAAAGTGATTCAGGCTTTCGTTACAATTGAACTTAAATAGATATCTTAAAAACAAATTGTTCTGTAACATAGCTGCCTACCGAATATACAATGTGATTACACGCTATGACATGCTTATAAAACTTTTAATTCAAAACATCCAATGTTTTCTATTTTGAATATCATTAATAATTTAGCTACTCAACATAAGAAAATGGCGGGAAAACAAGTGACGAAACAGGGTTCTCAAGAGATTCCTCATATACAATGTGCCGAGGATATATCACTGTTAAGTTTGCGACAGCTAAGTGCTCTAGCAAAATCTTGGGTTGTAGATGTGTCAGGACTTGGACAAAAGAAAGACATAGAGGAAAAACTGATCAAATTCTGGATGAGTCACAAGAAAGAGGAAAAGTCCGACATTGTAAGTCAATCATGTTTTACTAGGAGTTTTAATATAAAATGTGCTGAAGCTTTATCACTGTTAGTTTTCAGACAACTAAGCGCTGTAGCAAAATAGGTAAAGTTGGTGTGTCAGGAGTAAAATCTAAAGTTGGCTTAGATGACATAATAATCTATTTTTGTTTAGAATATAAGGGAACTTCCGACAATGTACTTTCATCATGTTTTATTGTTTGTTTTTGAATAAGTAAAAGGTGTTTTTTCACGACGTCGCTTATTAAGTGTCATCACTTACCTCGGAGCAATTGCCACAACAACAACAAAAATGATTATTCAAATTACATGAATCAGAAGACCTAAAACTGACACCATTGATAATTTGACACGACGGTATTTCTAATAATAAGAGCTTTTTAACAATATAATGAAGTTCTGGATGCAACTATTCTGATTTGATGCTCACTTTGTTTTTTTTATGTTTATTTTGATAGTGTAAAATGAAAAGCATATTTCCGCCTTTTTCTCAAAGCTGGCTATATTTGTATTTTGTCCTTTGCATATTTTGTACCTTAGTGTACTCCTTTGAATGTAAACCGTTACATAAGGATACACTATCGAGAAATTGATTGAGGTAAATGTCTAAAATCTTGTAAGAACGTTTCAGTATCGAACGATGTTGTTCTGCCTCTATGAAAAAATATGGACATAGTAAGTAATAAATGTTCAGAAATGCACAATGGCTAGACCGTTCCTTAGCATCTTTATTTGTAGGAAAAAATAAGTTTTTATTATTAAATGTTAAGAAAGCTTTAAAATTTAACTCGAGCTACATTCATATATTAAGATCTAGTATTTTAAAACCTAAACTTGAATAAATGAGGGTGTAACAACATTTACCGTGAGATTGTTGATTAAAGTTTTACAGATAATCGACATGTCTGGTCCTTGTGTAGTCTTTTTACTTTTTGCTCTTTATTAATTTTGTAAATAAATGAATAAGAATGGATTTGCGTCATCTGTTGAAATTTCGCACGGAATCGACCTGGTGATAATTCATAATGTTCTATAAATATATATTTTCTAAGATATTAAAAAACAAATTAAAACTATGTAATTCATAAGTAGGACATTATAACCACTACGTAGGAGATAAGATGCCGAATTATGATCACTTTTTTCATAGATATTTGCCTTATTGATTGAATTTGTTGTTGATAATTGTTCGCGTGTGTCATATGACAGAATAAAGTTATAGCCGATGCCGATTCCTTGTATGGTCAGTAAGTTTTTGTTCTTTAAACGTTTAACTGTGAATTTAAGCTTTTCTAGGACCAAAAAATTTTTTTCCCTCCAATATTAGTTCAAGAAATTAGACCGAGAGTGATTCAAGCTTTCGTTACAATATCGTTATCGCTTAGTCAAATCACAGTTTATCGTTCGGATGCACATTATTATATAATTCCTTGCATCCGAACTCAAAACAGTGATTTTATTTAGCGATAAAACCGCTGTGTTTGATGTATGATTTCTTAATTAATCTTTATATACATAATCAGATGTATCAAATTGCGATAAATGGAATCACAAAGATACAGAAAAACAAAATATTAATAACAAAATCCACCCAAAACGGCAAAATTTGAAAATGCTGCAGACTCGTTCTCATTGCGCCTCACACTTTATTGACTTGAACCTAAATGTTTTTTACGCCCCATAAAAAATCTTTATTATACTAGTAATATTCACAATGTTCTTTCGGCTGTAACTTTGCTATCAATGCTTCCGTTAAATAGCTGTCTTATTTATTTTTATGATTCTAATGATATTTCAGTCACTTTGTACGCAGCCAAAAGTACACCTTATAAAATGCTTCATTTGAAAACTTTAGATAAAATACAATACATTTTATCTAATGTCCATTCATATTCATTAAATCTGCAGGACATAAACCGACAAAGCAAATACCATGTATACAATAAACACAACAAACAAAATGCAGAAGTAAAGGAAAAGAATGTTGATAAGAAAATTAAACTGTTTTGAACACCCAGGAGACATGTATAAACAGACATGGTACCTGAAAAATTAATACGAAACTTCAAGAGAATAGGCAAATAGTAGATAAGGAACATAAATCATAATTTATTAAAATCTTATAGAAACAAAAACACAACAAATTGGAGCAGCAGCAAACAAAACAAATTAAAATAGTTTTAAGCTCGTCAAACATAGTTAATTCGATGTTGTTGATTGCAGACATAAATTCAAGCTTCATTTGCAAGAGCGTATGGACAAATTAATGTATGTAACACAACTATATCAATAAAACATATATGTATTGTGTGTGTTGCATCCAAGTATAAACTCACACACACATCATATCTGCGAATAAACTTTCATACAGTAACAATAACGATATTTGATATTAAAGGCGTGGCTTAATCTATATTGTAGACTTGCATACTACAGTTAGGTTGACCAAAATGTGTTACAGACTTGTCTATTCAATAATTCAATATTTCATTAACTTCAGTGGGAACCCCCTGATCTTGCTAGTGCCTTCAAGGAGCATCAACAGACACGACAAAAATTGCTCGAGAAGTACCGGAAAGCTGAGGCATTGTATGTAAACTTCACACCAAAAATAAAAGCAAATATTGAACTGTCCTTTCATAGTAAGTCATTTACAAATCTAATAAAATTATAAAGAACAATTTCTGTAGATCAAAAACACTTATGATTTAGTTTAAAATTATGTTTGTACGTTTTGAATTTATTCGATTTAAGTTTAGATAATTTTAAACTTGATAACTGAATAAAAGCAGTCTATCTGTAATCCAAACCTAAACTTTTATTTAATATTACCTTATTTTAGACGTCGTGTGTACACTAATCAAAGAGAGAAAAGACTCGTTGAAGTCGGGAGAATGTACGATAGTTATAGCGGGAGAAGTTGGTGCTGGTAAAACAAGTCTTCTGAACTTGATTCTAGAGACACAGATCTTCCCAGTCGATTCACTCAAGTGTACCAACACTATTCTAGAAATACGAAGCAGTGAGAAGAAGGATGCTATTTTCTACTACAAACAACAGCTGTCAGACAGCGGCGAAAGAGAAAGAAAAGTACCACCGAAGATTATTAGCATGAGTAAGTTACAAATACGAATGTATCAATACATATAAAGTAAATGTATAACACTTAAATACCAACCGCCAATATTAAGCGAATGATGGGTGATTTTTAAGAAACTTTTGTTCGTGAAAATGCTAGAATGTTATTACGACCAAGTGAAAGCGAAACAATTCAGAGAAAGTCCTATGGATAAACGTAGAGATAGTGAATATATCAGTTTGATTAATATCAGAGCATTAATGTTTCAGAGAGTCTGAATGGACTTCAAGAATTCAAGGACTGTGTTGCGGAGTATGATCAATCGGATGACAACCCTTACGACCGATGTGAGGTGTTTTACCCATTCAAAACACTCAGTGTAAGTAACTGCATGTAATAATAATAAGTATTGGCAACTTGCAGATATTCAAAAGTGACACGTGACAGAACATTTCTTATATGTTGAATTACACTTTATGTTTCATAAGAATGTCTTGAAATAGTGCGCTTATGTTATAATCCTTTGTGTAAGACAAAATAGGTGTAAATGCATATCATGCCTGCATCAATTATTTATTATAATGAAAAATACTTTATGTGGTATTTTTACTTTCATCGAGAGTGTCTTGATATATTTGTAATAATTTGATTTTAGAAAGGCGTGGTGATTGTAGACACTCCAGGTATAGAAGGTGGGAGTAATGTCGATCAAAGACTACAAACATATCTCTCGAGAGCGTTTTGCTTTATCTACGTCATCAACACGAACGCTGCAGGAGGCTTTCAGCAAAGCAGGGTCTGTTAACTTTCAAATTTACCAATTAAATCTTGGTACTTTCCTGCAAGATATTGTCAGATAAACATTATTGATTAACCGATGTAACTAAAATTGGACTATTTCAAACGAAATATTTCTTACATATAACACTGGTTTAAAAGCAACGGGAAATATAACACTTTTTTCAAAGCAACAACAAATATAACATGTAATGATGAATATTATTTCGTCTATTAATCGACTTGTACCTTTTAATCTACAGCTCGGCCATTTGTTAAAAACTGTTGTCAACAGTAGCGAAGATTTCAGCCCTGAAGCGTTCCTATTCATCGGTAATAAATGGGAACATGTACCCGAAGGAGACCGCGTTGACGTGCAAAAAGAAATCTTTTACAAGCTGAATCAGGTGTATCCTGGGATACGACAAACGCAGATACATTACATGTCTGTAAAGAAGGTTAGTGTGTTACTTGAATAAACAAATTATAGATGGTATCATTGTTATGAAAATCTGGAAACAAAGTGATCCCTCGGAAGCATTCATCACAACAAAATTACAAGAGAATTGCAGACTCGGTTTGGTTGAGTCTGTTCATTAGAGATACTGATTAAGTGCAACATCCTTCACGCCCCCTAGCACCGGCTTGAGCGGTACTCAATTCTCAACACTTAATAGTGTTGGCATCAATGATCCCGAAGGACCAGAAAAATATAACAACACTGAAGTGAGGTACGGGGCAACTTTTTACAGCTGCCACACAGCACTTGACACTTGCTGTTGTGAAGTATAAAAATCTGGCTGAACTCCCAATTAGGTGTATGCACTTCTACATTAATTTGAAAGAAAGAACGATTAAACTAACTTGTTGACATGTATTTTTATGTAATTCTCACATAATTATTTTTTTCTGTCAAAGTCATCAATTTCACAGCATCTAAGTACTACTAAGTACTACAGGATATTCAGATATAGAAAGTAGTTCCCCATTAATTGACGACAGCATTGTAACCTTTTACAATGGCCTTTAAACTTTTAAGCATGACAGTGTTATTAAGGAGGCGATATGTTGGCCGACTTGAAATGACATATGGTTTTACATTATGGCTTTGAAGTAGTCTTTTGTTACATTTATATTTATTATTATTGAGATATTTAGGCATGTTATTCTGAAAATCAATAAATACGACTGACATTGACCATTGCATTATTATTAATGTAATGCGGAATGATGTCAAGGTTGGTTCGGCATATCAATATATTTTTTTGTAGAAGCCCTTGATGTTCTCACATACGATATACCCTAGTTCAATTAAATCGTATACCGGTATCTCTGAAAACAAGAATACAAACAAACATAGACTATAAATTTAAGATAAATATTTCTTTCAGTCGGCAGAATTCAAAATGAACTACGAAACAAAATTAGAAGAACACAAGATTCTAATGTTGAAGGTATCCCAGCTTGTACCAAGCAGTCTCAGACAAGGAATGGTGTCAAATTACTGGTAAAATATATACAACGTCATTTCAAAATGCAAAATATGATTAAACCTCAGAGTTCAAGTTACCTTTATCTAAATTTTCTGCTCGCACCGGCTTGAGAGGTACACAATCAATAAAAAAGTCATATCTTTATCATCATAATTTTATTTGTAATAATAATTGTTATGTACACGAGTAGTCTAAAATATACCATGTAACGTCTTATGATAAACTAGCAAAATTCTCGCCATATGGTTGATAAGATACAAAACCTCACTTCCAACACTTTGCGTATTATTTTATTATTTCACAGGTGGCTTTCTTCTTTCCTGTCACGATCATCTTATCTCCTTCGCGTGACAAGCGTACAGCAGGCGATGACACGTGATGAACTAGACAGACAATTTGAGGGCCTCCGTAAACACATGGAAGATCTACAGGTGATTAGTATGATACCGCGTGATATAAACTTTGTTGTATGATCAGATTATACATTTATATTAGAACATGAAGTAATATCATACTTGTTTCTCAGGACAAATCCTCATGATGTTTGTATGAACGAGAATAATATATCGATTTCTGAGTCAATGGTTCATTTTGCGAAATGACATATATTTTACAAAAACAATATACATGTATCTTAAACATTGTACGAATTCTTATGTCAAACAGCATTCATACACGGCTATTCCAATTTACTTTTTAAAGGCCAATTACTTAGACTACACATGTTTAAAAAATAAAAACAAAATATCGATGCATATGCATTTTAGAATGATATTGTGTATAAATATGTATATATTGTAGTATTATTATTTAGTAAATACATTAAACAATTCCTTTTGTAGAAGAATACTGGCGAGAGTATCGAACGACTTCGGATCAAAGTAGAATATGAAATAAAAAGAATTACATCAGATATTCAAAACGTACTGCAAAACCGAAACTTCTTAGACAGGTAAAATGAACTACTAATCTGTTAATGTCTGTAGTTAAAGACGCGTCACAACATCAGTAATGTTAGTAATATTTTAACTAAAATAGTCCAGTATTAGATGATTTTTTAGCTCTATTATGTGATGTCAGCCGAAATGAAAATATATGTAATTAAATGTGTTTTTTAGTGAAACATCACTGATACATTTTTTAAATATTCGTATGAAATGTAAAAGTAATTTCCTTTGAATTGACTGTGTAGAATATGTAATTGGGAAGACACTAATGAATGCCCCAAGACTGAGAAAAAATGGAAGAGCATTGCCGATGCCGCTGCTGTAAAGATATCAGACAGAATATCACGTGAGCTTGATGGCTGGCAAAGACAGAACAGCATTCTCCGTGTCCTTGACAACGAAATCATTGGAGTTTTCAGCAAAGAACTCGGGTTGATGGATGACCAAGTGAAAGAACTTGAAGGTAAACCAGTCAAAAGCATATTACTCTAAAGGCACAAAAATCATATTGACCACTTTGTGGAGCTCTGCGTTACAATGGAACGCAAGACAATCAAATATAATTTAAGTGTAAAATGTTCTTGAAATAATTACTTAAAAATACACAACAATAATGACAGACAGGATTACACTAATAAACATGATAATTCTATTTAAAGAAGTCTATTTATGCTTAGTTTGGGCATTGTCAACATTACTGACGAGTTTGGGGAACCACATTTAAAATAGAGAAAAACAGAATCCTTAAAGAAAGTCCAACACAACACAATTGAATATGTTGCAGGCTCCAAGACCGTTTATCTTTTAAGGTTATGTAATGCTAATATCCATCTATTACAGACTATTTGGTCAAAAGCCGGAGAGGCAATATGTGTAAGACAATGCGTATAGTTCCTGTAAAAGCCTTGTTTGCAAAGAAGAAGAAAAAGGTAGAGAAAACATATTCAACACTAGGTGGCGCTGTCAGTTGCGTTGGCATGCTAGACACCGATAAGAGAAATGTCAGAAGAATATTCAGGTAAGCAAAATACTTTAAAGAAAAAATAATGCTGTTTAAAAAACATTGATTATTGAAGCATGTACTAAACTTTCAAGCAAACAAACTTTTGGACAAAACGCACGGCAAAATTCTATTATAATAAAAAATGACCTATTCATTTAGGTTTTTTGTATTTCTTCTGACTCTTCACTGATTGTAAAACATTTAGGACACTACCGACATATCAGATAGAAACAATGTTATAGATAACCAGAGATACTTTACACAACGTCCTTTTTGTACGTTGTAAGTCAAACTGATTATTTTAAAGCTTATTTGATGACTTTTAAGCTTTATCGGTGGAGAACCACTGAATTTCTGTAAGCTAACTAGATAGCTTCTTCATAATAATGCAAGAATCCGTCTCTGGCCGGATTCAAGGGACAAGCGGTCCAAAGTCAAAGACTTTATCTAACTGCTCATGAACAGACTTTCACAATGTCGAATTGATTGAGCCGATGAAAATACTTTGTATAAAGTAGCTTACTTGAAGAAATTTCACTCAATATATTAAAAGTTTAAAACGAAATTAACCATTGGCTATTTGATGCATGGCTACTTGTGGTACTTTGCAATTTTAGGCATGTACGATGTACAATTGTCACATGACACTTTATTTAAAGACATTCCGTTCAAAATTATAGTTAAAACGAGATTTACAAATTTCCTGTCGTAAATTTTCGTTTTGCACGTTGTACAATAGTCATATGAGGTACACATCATGATATCTTACTCGTTACATATAGTTATTCTTAATTATTAGCGAACTTGGAGAAATATTGAAACAACCCAATACGTGTCATTTACACAATTAAATAAACATCTGACTTTATTGTAACAGAGATTTTAATGACACAACGAAGGCAAAGAAGATGTCAGAGGCGACTATACTGTATATAGAAACAATACTGTCACATAAAGAATTTGGCTGGAAATTTAGAAGATTCTTTGATCATTACTTTAAAGACATTGATGAAGCTGCGAAAATAATTCCTGGATTTCTTAAGGTGAGTAGAGAGAATAAGAAAAAATGAGGTATATTAAAGATGAGCATAATATTATCTTAATCTATTGAATTATCAGGACTCGTTCTTATAAGATATATACTATAATTGTGTTTCAATGGTATAGGCTTCGTGCGTGATGTATGGTATTATAGTTTTTAGACCTTTTTATTGAATATGTGTTAGACTTTAATCGTACACCCAAATATGCTAAGTGCGGAAACTGGAGTGCAGATATTTGTTACCCGCACTCTAGTTACCAGGCTGCCTGTTGGTAATGGCAAAAGAGCATGCGCGTCGATTGGCTTCATTTTTTCTGGATCTATCTTATTATGGCGACAGGGAATGGTATGACGATAAAAACATCATATTCAGATGATCGTATATTGGTTACTTTTTTCAGGGGTTTCAAATTGCTACGACAGGGAACGTGTTGTTACTTCATTTCCATGATCGTCCATGAACAGGCTCAATCAAATCGAGCCTGCAACAGTTTCAACGATGTTGTTTTGTGCGTTCTTTAAGGATTTGTCATTTCTCTGTATTGTACATCAAAGCAATGCTGACTGGTTAAAGCTTGTAATATAGACAAAGAGTGATAAATTCAATAATAGATATTTGATTTCATATGATGTTAGATACTTATATATATCATTTTTCTCATATAGCATTATTCTCACACAAACAATTATAACCATAACACACGAAAATAAAATAAACGACAGGACCAACAGCAACAACAAAATGAAAACTAAAAAAAAAACAAAAACACCAACCAATCGTTTCAAATGAAATATGACTTTAAACTATCATTATTCTAGCCACAATTACCTTTTTAAGAAAGTGTGTATTTTCAAAAATATCTCCTTCTGCCTCGAACAAACATCAAACAAGAGGATTTCACAAATAAATTGCTTAAGATTTTATGTTTTGCGAAAATTATCGGAAAAAACTGGCTTAAATGGCCGCTCTACTAGAGGAATATTAACTTTATGATATAATGATGATTTACAGTCCTTGGATTAAAATAAACTGTAGGATCAATCAAATTATTTCACCCCCCCCCCCCCAGTTAACTGTAAAGCATTATATTGCCCGGGTTTTGAGTGAAATGTAAAGAACTAAAACAGGTTAGTTTGTTATCATAGTCATATGTTATCTTTTCAGTGTGTCGACCGTTGTAATGATCGATGAACCTAAAGAAATTATCTGATATCCCATAATCAATATAATTTAACTTTAACTCTACCTTTTAACTCTACTGTATATGCTTGTTTTTTATAACTATTCGTTTGTATCCATTTAATATCTAAGATATGCTGTAATGAGCATATAGCCTATATATATTGTGTAACCGCCTCCGTGGTCGAGGGGTTAGAGTCGATGACTTCTAATCCAGTTACCTCTCTGGCGTGGGTTCGATCCCCGGGAGATGCTTTGGTAGTTTAGCGCGGAGGAAGGTAGTCTAGTACTGGTGTAACTCTCCAAGAACGATGGTTAGGAAACTACCCGCCTATATGACTGAAATATTGTTGGGAAAAGGCGTAAAATGAAACAAACAAACAAAATATATATTGTGATTGAATATTTTGTTACATAGATTTAAAATTGTTCTACAATACTTACGCAATTTTTACAGTAAGTGTACCAAATAACATTTTACTCAGACCCATATCTTCCTGTCAATGCTGCTAAAAGGGCTGTCCCCACAATATCAAAATTATCAGAGGCTGCAATAACTAATGGTAGAAAGTATTGATGCAACTTCTTTCAAATAGAACTGGCTCTCTGGGAAAGGTATTGTTAAATAACAATCTGAAATATTCAAAAACGAATAACAGGAAACCATTCTTTCTTTTAAATGATAAATCTCATTGACAAGTAATTCATCAAGTTCACAGTTGAATTGATACTGATTATTGTTACATGAACGATTGGGGGAATAGAAGAAATGTGTCTTGGAATCGTGATTGTAGTTAAAAAAATCAGTTATATAGATAGATCTTATACACTTTTTGCTGTTAAATAATTAAATGACAAACATGTATCTGACATTTGCATTTGATAAACAAATTTAACAATTCCTTAAAAACGTAATGAATGAAAATAAATTATTTATCTACTGAAATCATGTAATAATTGCAAATATCTAAAATGATATATATTTGCTTGTTAAAGGCTGATCTGCAGTTAACGGTACCGGCAAACATTAGAAGAAATGTTTTCCGGGAGTTAGAAGATGATCTTTTGATGTATAAACTCCCTGAAAAACTCCCTGATTTAGTGAATGAAAGTGCCGAACTTCTTGGACAACTTGATATCTTATACATAAACGACATCATGAAGTTTGACTTTGAATTATCTGAGTTAGAGTGGCAAAATAAAGTGGAGGTGGGAAACGGAAGATTTACCAAAGTGTACAAGTCCAGACTTAAGAGAAATAACAGACCAATTGCAATAAAGGTACATGTAATTCATTAGTAACTGTTATACTTTATTGAGATACTTGTGAAATATAACAACAAAGATCACAAAGACAGAGTGCCGCTCACAGAACTCATCACTTGATGTATTCAAGTCACAATTAACCACCGTTAAAACATCCATCAAGGCAACGAACAAGGGCAAATATTAGAGGGGCAAATAAATAAATACTACCAATAGTTGAATAGGATTGATGTTGAAACACTCTTTCATTAATCAAGTCAGTGATTAATTATTTGAGACCATACAGGATTTACTTTTATTATTGATGTTACAACTGTTTATTGTATCATAGTTTGAGGACCTTTCTGTTGAAAAAGTGTCAGAGTTAAATCGTATACATATACATGCACAGTGCGGTAACTGGAGTGCGGGTATCAGTTACCCGCACTCCAGATCATGCCCGTTGATTAGCTCATTTTTGCTCGGGTTTACATATTGTGACGGCAGAGAAAGGGAAAGCGGCAGAAATATCATATTCAGATTCTCGATCATTGGTTACTTTTTCCCGGGGTTTAAAAAATATGACAACAGGGAACGTGTTTTTATGATAATACAAAAGAGAAAGAACACCAAAACACTCGGCAATCTGATTTATACTCGGGGGCTACGCCCCCTCGTACAAATCAGATAGCCTCGTGTTTCGGTGCTCTTTCTATTACTTGATAATAAATATTATGAAAAGATATCAAGTAATAAATACTGATCTTGAATGATTTTTGTAGATCGCAACTGACGAAGTCGACCAATCAAATGTCAGGGAAATCCTTACCGAGGACAGAATCATGAGGTGAAATAATTTTCTATGCCTTTACAATGTAAAACGTACTGTACTCGTTAACTTTTTGACAACATGTAAAAAACTTGTTTCGAATGTGCTGTCTTGATTTTTACCATGATATTAAAGAAGATTGAATGTATTTTGTTGTATCCACCCGTATATCTGACATCGGTACAAAAGTTGCCCAATATAGTTTTATCTATTCAAGTTAAGCGCGGCATAACAGATCTACAAACAATATCAATTAACCGTCCTCTTTTGTTATGTATATCACTCAGACGTATAGAATTAAAGTAAAGATTTCCCCCATATTTTCAGGGATTTGAAACATGCTAATATTGTCCGGTACTACGGTGCGTCTAATATTAAAACAGTAACAGGTTTACAGTGGATTATGGTGCTGGAGTTATGTCAGACAACCCTCAAACAAATTTATACTGGTAATTTTTTTTTCCTTATCAAGTGATAAAATAACAACAGTATCAGTTTCATAAGCTCAGATCCACTTACAAAATTCCATTTTATTCAGTTCTGCCAATTGTTTTCTCGTTTAGGGCAAAAGCATTCTTTTACATGGGGACCATACGCCGTTTTTCATGGAATGGCACTACTATGTCACATTGAAGGTTCCATGATGACCGCCGTATGAACACATCTGCGGATGTTTCTAAATTCAAAATTTCACCATTTTCTTGTTAAATGTTGAATTCTGCTTAAGCCGGTTCTAGGGGGCGTGGACGGTAACTTGCACTTTCCAGTACCGTCCATGAACAGGCTCAATCAAACCGAGCCTGCAACATTTTCAATTTTGCCGTGTTGGGCTTTCTTTAGGGATTCTGTATTTATCTATTTTAACATGACGCCCGACAAACGGTTACTTACTGTAGATATGATGGCCATGACTCTAGAGGCTTTCTTTTACGGAGAAGTTGCTCCAGAGATGTCAAGGTGCTACCTCCTTGACAAGTATAAATTTCTAATGTTGCCAGGAGCTCTAAAATATCGCAAGGAGCCAGGAGAGGATGATACAACAAGGGCACGATTCCATAACTTTAAATTTCTAAAAGCAGTAGCAGCTGGGAAGAAACCATCATTTGCCGAGATCCAACAGTTACAGGCATTACAATCATTTACAAATTATCAAAATTTACCACTGGATCCAAGCACCTTCACCACACCACTTCAATTGCAAAACGGGGAATCATATGTGGATCAAAACTAAAGTGATCAATAATAGTGAAAAGCTAAACATACAACATTATGAAAAGTGCCTAAAATTATTAATTTGTTGTGTTAATATTACACAGACATAAAAACTTATAGTTTTAATAAAAAAAAAGAGTTGTGTTTTAAAGTTACAATTAATATTTCTTATGTTAAGGTTTTCTAAAGAACATATATTTAAATACACGCATAGAAGTGAAATAGTAAATGGAAGATAATGACTGGAATTTGAATCGAATACAGAACAGAAAACCGTATGCATTCAGTCAAACATAAGTTTAGATTTGATGCAACGAAAGAAAGACTGCTACTAATAGAAAGTGCAAATACTATTTTCTTCCAAGTGCATAATTATGTGGATAAAAATATGAATTTATTATACCTTCTTGAGTGCAAAACTAAATTGTTTTGGTACACAACTGGCAAACTTATGATAGATCAGCCGCTAGGAGCAATGTTATATTAAAATATATAGGGGCGTCTGTGGCCGTGTGGTTAATATAAGGTTGTGGACTTCAAACCGCTTGCCCCTTACCGCTGTAGGTTCGAATCTCAACAGGGACTTTGGATTCGTTCATGTGAAGAAGCTATCCAGCTAGTTTACGGAACGTCAGTGGTTCTACTCAAGGGCCCGTTCGTGCCTGAAATAATGCACGGAAGGGCATCTGAGGTATTCCTCCACCAGTAAAGCTGAAACGTCGCGATATGACCTATACTGTGTCGATGTGACGTAAATCCCAAAACAAACAAAACAAATTTAGAATATAATTAGTATTGTTCCCACCAATGTTTACTGAGATATTTATTTCACATACATGTATATGGCATTTTATTGTCCTTAGTTGCTTTATATACAATAAGGAATTGATATAATTTTTGACCTTGAAAATAAAGCTTGATGAAGTACGATATCTACTTGATAAAAAATATATTGGACTCTAACAGGCAACGGCGCTATATGAGGTGAGATATGCATTTAATATGAATGTTTTCTTCTCTGGAAATGGAAACAAATGTTACTAATCACAGTATTTGGTTTGTCAATGCATTTGATTTGGCATTGATACGCTAATGATTTCTATTGTATCATCACATCGTTCAAACACTGATTTAAGTGCATTGGTTATTTTTTATAAGGTGTGAAGTAATGTTTTTTTTCATTTTATTACTACTTTTAAGCATTTTACTTATTATAAAATTTTATTTCATAAAAAGGGTAAAAGATTATATAAAATAAATAAATGAATTACAGGAAGCGAACGAAATGAGCGCATGATTCCTGGTTGTTTAGGCAGTGACCACCCACGCTTTGCTGAGGCAGCCAAGTATATGCTTGACCATGCCACCCAGATTTGTACTGGCCTGGACTACATTCATGGAAAAGGATACACCCACAGAAATATGAAGCTAGAAAAAGTTCTGGTAAATACACACTGCTTAGTTTGACTTAGGGTTTAGTTTGAATCTTTGAACTTGCCAGCTATTAGATCTTAGCAGCTTTATAAATTATATTTTAAAGAGTGTTAAACACAAACAGCACATTTTCAATTAATCTGCATGAATATTTCATTATAAGTTTGATATGTTATCGCGTTACTCAAATTACAAATACATTTTAGAAATGAAGAACGCACATGCTTCAAAAAGCTTTAAACACTGTTAAACTATAATTGTAATTCATTCAGTGATGTCATTTATTTATTGGAAAAGGAAATAAATACAAACGTGTCCATATGTTTTATAAGATCTTTAAAATAATTTTACAGTTGGCAGAGGGAAATATTATCAAGATTACAGATGTAGGCGTCACCGAGGTAACACAGATGCTTTGTAAAACTGCAGATGGTTCCCCAGCTTATATGGCACCGGAAGTGCTGCTTTCGAATGAGATCCAAACAAACAAAATTGACGTTTACAGTTTTTCTCTAATATTCTGGGAAATGTGGTTTGGGAAGGATGTAGCTGACGAAATCAACAAGGATTTAATCGGGTATGGTTACCATGGAAATGCAATGGAATTACTCAAATCTCAGATTGCAAGGACAGATGGTTGGCGGCCACCACTGAATTCACCAAAACATCCGCCAGAAATACTTACTGAAGTATTAAAAAGAGGATGGGCTTCCGATCCTGAAAAGAGGCCAAGTGCAAATGAGTTTGGAAACACTTTAGAACAGTTTCTGAAGAACAACCTCTAACAAAGCATATAGACTTTACACAACTTATAACCTTACCATTTTGATCTCAACTGAAAAAGTCTAACGTGATTACATATAGGAATATAACTACTGACATGATATGATATGATATAAAGTGTTTCTAAAAACTGTAAATTAAATTCAGAAACAAGCCCAAAAGAAAAGAAAACATATACAAATTTTTATTTTTCAAACTATTATATTGACATAAGCTCCTGTATTTGAAAAGATGCATAGGTATAAAGTTCGCGGTTTAACATTGAGTGAACTCAATTATAACATGTTTCATTTGTAAAAATTTAAGGATTTTTGTCAACAATAACTGTTTAACATTATTGAAACGTCATTTGCGCAGTGATTAACATTTAAACAAGATTAGTTCTGTTCAAAGTTTACACAACAAATTTAATGTGTTGACAATGCATTCGTTTAATCTTTTCACAATTCGTGTCTATACAATTACATAACAATTAATCGGTTCATGAACAGACCACATTTACATGCTACTTACATCTTGACAATCTTTGTAATGCCATGATTTGAGCTTTAAAATGCATCTGGTTGTTTTAAAATATAATTATACAAAGCAAATTAGAACTACACTGTATGATATTCGTAATATGGCTGTGAATGATTTTATCCAGGTTTTATTTGGAAGACAACAACAAATAACTTGTATGATCTCATAAGTTATTCAATAATGACATGTATACTTGACTAATAAAATCATTATTTAGAGTAAGGTTTTCAATAACTTGTTATCAATATTTGTACTAAACTTTGGGGTAAATTTCAAAACAGTTTTGTGCTGAAATGGTTTAAGTGATTATATTAATCAAATATCATTTGGTTTATTATTTAGCTTAAGCTAAATTTAGGTAGTTGTTTTTGCATATTTTCAAAATTTATTTTATTAAATGCTACAAAATGCTTGAAATAACAAAGACGACTGTTTTGTGTTTCATTTCGACAACTGTAAAGTCAAACTTATAGAATCAACCGAACAATAGAAGTGTATAATAATCAAAGTTTTCATTTCTTTTTTAAATACTGTATTATATCATATTATTCATTAAACATATCACCCATTGTTAAGGATTTATATTAAAACAAATGTAAAAATATACAATGATTGAGGAGATCAAAGTTACATCTTTATGTCTTTTTCAAAAAAAGAGATGTATGGAACTTTGTCTCATATAGAGACTTTTACATTCAATGTGCATTCAGTTATTTGTTTTACATTATGTTCTATTTACAAGTGGTTATACCTTAAACACTCAAATCTATAATCTTAAAGTTTTTAAAATATTTTATTTTGTTTCTAATGCTCATTTTCCACACTGTCTTGATACACTGTTGTTTTGTTTTTGTGTGGGTGCGTTATTTTAAACATCAATCACATTGAATCAAGATATGCATTTATCATTTTTGTGTTACCTGTTTTCTGTATCAAATTTCCGAATATTTTAATAGAATCAAATTTGTGAACTTTGAACTGATCGGTTATCATTTTAAACGGACAAACCAACGAGATAACAATGGAGGAATTGAACTTGTTGCATATACAGATTGATGAAGTCTATGTAAATTTATCTTTCACATCCCTATCACCGGCCTACCTGCTTATCATGAATCATTATATATGTTTAATTCCGGATTAGGAACACCCGCAGATATATTCACACGGCAGTGACCATTGAAAACTTAACGTGACTCTTCTCAACAATATATATCCATAAAGTTTTTTAAATATTTTATTTTGTATCTGATACTCATTTTACACACTGTCTATATACCGTTTTTGTTCGTGTGGGTGCTTTATTTTATACATAAATCATATTGAATCAAGATATGCGTTTATCTTTTTGTGTAACATTTTATTTGATAACAATTATTTTCAATATTTTTGATAGAACCAAATTTGTGAATTGTGAACATATCTGTTATCATGTGAACACACCAACGAGATAAAAATGGAGGAATTGAAATTGTTGCTTATACAGTTTGATTGAAGTCTATTCTTATAGTCTAATGTATAGCAATTGGAATTGAAATCTATCTTCCACACCCCTTCCACCGTCATACATGCTTACCATGCATACTTATATATGATCATGGTGTTTTATTTAGGATATATTCATACGGCGGCGACCATTGAACATGTAGCGTGAATCTTTCAAACCAAGCAACATTATATATCCATATTCCATTTGAAGTTTAACCAAATTTCTCTTTTAGTTGCTCAAATTTAGTAGCGTTATATTGAAATATTGTCAAGATGCTTTATTGAAATTACTACTAGCGCTAGGATGGTAGCTTGCAGTTACCGCTACCTTCTATGAACAGGTTCAATCAAGCCGAGTCTGCATTATATTTTATTTTTGCGGTTTTTGAGCGTTTGTTTAGGGACTTTATATCAATTTTTTTCGGCTGATGACCGTTTAAAGTCAGTTAGACTAACTGTTAATTTGTTAAATCATCATATTCAATGGATGAAATTTTATTGACAAGTTGAAAGAATTAAATGTGTTGTCAACCAACATGATATACGTACATCAATTTAGATTGCGCTGTTTAATACATGTCCTATTTATTGCATTCATTGCTTTATCATATGCGCAGTAGTAGTAATATTGATAATAATGATAATAATAATAATAAGAAGAAGAAGAAGAAGAAGAAGAAGAAGAAGAAGAAGAAGGAGAAGAAGAAGTAAATAATGGTAAAAAAATAAAGATAAAAGACAAATCAATTGAAAATGAGTTAAAGAACACAATAAAACACATTTTAAACTGCAGATTTACAACCCTAAAGTAACAAGTCATTCATCTTGTTCAGTGTTAAGCGACAATAATATAATCACGTGTTTCAATTTTTACACTTTTTTCTTATTTTGCTAATTACCCGCATGCAATTGTACAACCCAGTAGGCAAGTCGTGACGTATACCTTGGAATCCCGGATTCCGCGAGTCCGAGCCAAGGTCATGACACCTATTTCACCGTGATATTTATTCCCGATGCCAATTCATAAGTGTTGTGCGTGCGGTGGAGCAAACCAGTTTATTCATGATAACAATAACTGGTTTATTAACAATATTTGCGCTGTCTTGAACAATAATGAAATATTTGATCCATAAAACTTAGAACTTCCGCTTTTTAACCACTTATCAAATCTTTTTACGCATTTAAAAGACAAATTCGCGTAATCTATGTTTTAAAAAGTGAAATAATGGTTAAGTTTAATAAGATAAAAGCGGAAGTCAAAAGTTTGAATCTTGATGGAAACAGTTAAATGACGTAGTCTATAATATTCATCTAAATTTGCCGGGACAGTGGCTATATAAAACAATGGATAGTTTAAAATAAAACAGGTAAATATTTTACTTATATTCTTTCTTAAAATATGTTATTTTGGTTATCTTTACGTATATTATTTAAAGATCCTGTATGTTTTGTGATTGATATTGTTACTGTATGTATACCATACTTGCAAAAAATTATATATGTATATAATTATGCAAATAAATTTTTTTTCAAACATCCAAGAATATGTAAAATGTGTACTGCAAATATCTGTGCACAATAAATTTAATCAATAAATTATATGCATTCATTTCTTATTGGAAAATTTGACTTAGAATTTATAGAAAATAAATTTCTAATTACCTCCCTTTATTAATTTCTAATTACCTCCCTTTATTTACATGAAATGTTTGATTCGGTAATATCTTTATAAATAATGCTTATTGGAACTTACAATATTGACAAATCTTAATTTGAGCAACATATTTATGAAATAAAACCATGAAAAAATGTGTTACAGGATCTTTAACGATAATTTAGTATCTAAGCTTGATCCTGAATTCAAACCTGCTGGAAGCGTTTGCCCCTTCGGGGATTCTTATTTTCTTTTGGCTCTTGGTCAAGAGCCAGGCTAGCAAGGGTATCCGTGCAGTCTGGCCAGACACTTTACAGTTGGCTGACTTATTTTAAATCTCTTAAATAATAATAGACAGTACCAAACATGGAAGTTTGACAAATCCCGAAGGTTCAGTGAAAGACGGTTAACTTGTTTGAAAGAAAAGAAAAACATCGTGTTTACACTATTATTTCACTATGGTACATTTGAATTTATTTATAACTGGTTTATAATGTTTTGATACAGGCCCTTGTTACAATTAATGATTTTAACAATATATACGATATCGTATTTTCTAAACATTCCGACATAGAAAAGGTCATATGTCGACTTTTCAGCTTTAATAATTGAGAAACCTCAGATGTTCCTCTGTTCACGGAGGTCCTAATGTATGCATGTCGGTTAATATTTGTGACTTTGTATTTTATAATTATTTCTATAATGTTATAATTATTTCTAGCAATTAATTGTATTATTTTAAAATTGATACGTCAAATACCGCATAAATGAGAATGTTGTATCCTCGGTTTGATTTTAATGCGTTTTCTGGACAGTGCACACATTCTAACGAAATGAAAAAAGATGTACCTTAAATCATAAAAAGCAGAATCTCTTTTTCGATCGCTTGAACACATAGAAAGACTTCAGGGTGTCTAAATATGTCTAGGACATGGACACACAGACAAGGTCAATTATATTGCCATCAATTGTAAGTACATACACATTGAGAAGTATGCTTGTTATAAATTATGTCTTTTATTCATACAGGACAACCTGAGTTTTTTAGCTTCAATGAAAAGAGGAGAAACCGTGTTAACGAATTAGTGGCGGTGGCCAAAAGGTTAAGATGACCGCGTTTCAACTCAAGTTTAACCAGGACCAAGAATATTATGTTTTTTCCTTAAAGATATACTATGCTCAAATTTAATTTTTAAAAATATTAATAATTGCTACACAGTCTCTTTGTATGTATAAAATAAACATGTTTGGAATTTATTTAAGGTAGAAATGATATGTTTTGAACTCTTCACACTATATGTAGTCACCATATGAATATATAGTGTCATTAAAAAAAACCTGGCAGTTTTTTTAAGAAAAGACCAATTTTACTTAACCCGTAATAAGGAATGCAGCTTCCCATACATAGTTTATTCATTATTTTATTCAAATTAAACATATTCAGTAAGAATTTCATGGATTTCAAAGCATTTCTAAAATAAAAATATTTTACCAAAAAATGAGCATAGTATATCTTTCAATATTAGTTTTAAGAATTGAACCCAAGAGTGATACAATTGAACTTAAATAGATATCTTGAAGTAAATTGTTCGGTAACAAAGCTGACTACCAAATATACAATGTGTTTACACGCTACGACATGCTTATGGGGCTTTATTATACAACATCAATTGTTTTCTGTTTTTAATATCATAGATAATTCCTCGCTACTCAATTAACAAATGACGAAACAGGAGTCTCAACAGATGCCCAATATACAATGTGCCGAGGATATTACACTGTTAAGTTTGCTGCAGGTCTGTGCTCTCGCAAAATGTTGGAATGTGAATATGTCAGGACTTAGGCATAAGAAAGACATAGAGGAAAAACTGATCAAATTATGGTTGAGTCACAGGAAAGAGGAAAAGTCCGACTCTGTAAGTCAATCATGTTTTCTTAAGAATTTTAATAAAAAACGTGCTGACGCTATATCACTGTTAGATTTCAAAATGCTAAGTGATGTAGCAAAAAAAAAAGATGAAATGTCGATGGGTCAGGAGTAAAATCTAAGATTGGCTTAGAGGAAATAATAATCTATTTCTGGTTGAGAAATTAGGGAACTCCCGCCAATGTACTTTCATCATGTTTTATTGTTTGTTTTTGAATAAGTTAAAGGTGTTTTAATCACTTATTTAGTGCCATCACTTACCTTGGGGCAATTGCCAAAACAATAACAACAATAATTAGAACAAAAACGATTATTCAAATTACATGAAGCAGAAGACATAAAAAGGATTCCTCTGATAATTTGAAACGATGGAATTTTTAATATTTTTTAGATTTTTTCAACAATTTTATTCTAGACGCAGACCTGGCTATATTTTTATAGTGTCTTCTTTTTGTATTTCAGTGTATTCCTTTGAATGTTAGCCTTTGCATTAAAGAACATGTTCACTGCCAAGATATTGGTCACATTCCTACATTCCAACAAGACATTTTTCGTACTTGGCGCTGTTGTTTTGCCTCAAGTAAAAATATGGACATAGATTGTAATCATTGTCTGTAAATGAAAAATTTTCAGAACGTTTCTTATATTTTAAGGTCTTTGCTTGCAGGAATAATTAATAAATTTCTGTGTTAAATATTAGGAAAGAATCATTAACTAGAACTATATGCATAGCATATCTAGTGTTAAAAAAACATAAACTTGAAATATGTGGGTGCAATGCCATTTAACTTGAGATAACTTATGAATGTTTTAAAAATAACTAACATGTCTGTTTTTTGTCTTTGAATCTGCTTTGGGTGATTTAATTTGTTGCTGATCTTTATTTCCTTGTGTCATATGATAGAATAAAGTTGCAGTTGATGCTAATTCCTAGTATGGTCAGTTAATTTGTTGCTTGCCCAAAATTAAAAAGCATAACAACCGCATATAAAAGAAGAACGCAATAAACAGTAATATATTATTCATGTTGTTTTTATACTTTGTTAGCAATATATAAAGAGAGCCTTTGCATAATATGTCTGCATTAATTGTATGTATTTTATGCATGACTAATCCGCTATATTTATAATGTAAACTTTTATTCATTCATTGTTATTTTGATTTGATTTTAACACGTTATAAACAAATATTCTGCTCCTTAGAGACAATGTGCATTGCAGCTGCATAGATATACGTTTTAAGACTTGTTTTAAGACGATACAATGATACCAGTTTATTTTGTTTATTATACATTGTTTGATACTTTGAGTATTGACTGTCTAAGTTAAGAACTTTCTAAATTGATACTTGGTTATTTTTCCAGTGTAAAATCTGCGTAGTTTGGATGGGGATATATCATTTTTAAATAATTCTAAAACCTATGGTGGTTGCTTTGTGTTATGTCGTATTTTTTCATCTGCGAGGCGCTAGACGAAAACACGAAATAACGGCACAATGATGACTTTGTCGTACTTTCGCTCCGCTTTTATTGTTGATTATACAATATAGTAATTATAGCTCATACGCAGGATTTTATAGCTTCTATATAGGATTATAACTATATATCAAGCCTAAGTAGGGATTTATATCGAAGAGTTATAAAATACTACATTGAAGATATTAAAACCTACATGTATTTAAGTTTTTTAACCAACGAACGAGATCTACATTATGATTGTATGTCCTTATTTTAAAGAAAAAAAGTCCTACGTAGGAGTTATAAACTTCTAATTACGCTTTTCATTCTAATACAATGAAGTAACAAAGTAATAATTAGGCTTTTCACCTTCTTTACGTATGAGTTATAAACCCCTTATAAGTTTTATTTGTCTTTTACCTAGGATTTGCATAGTCCTTATTAGGCTTCATGTCGTACTACATTTCAGTGTTGTATTTATTTCTAGTCCTTCGGGATCATTGCGTCAATTACTTTTAAGTGTTGAGAATTGAGTACCGGTCAAGCCGGTGCTAGGAGGCGTAAGAGACGTTGCACTATTTCATTATCCCTCATGCACAGACTCAATCAAACCGAGTCTTCAATTTTGATGTAATTTTGCTGTTTATAATGCTTGCGATGAATAACCTTTTCCGGATATTGATAAGTCCTACGAACTTCATAAATTCACACCAGGCTGCGTCCTAACGAAACTACAACAGGCGCAAAAAATCCATTCTTAGTCTTCTAGTTACAAAATACACGTATATAAAGGTCACAAAACTTAAAGGTAATTATATAACAAGCATTTCTCTGCAAATGTTTGTTTATGAAAACTTGAATATTTTGAACATTAACAAACCATTCAACAAAATATCATCACAGAATTACGACATGTGAGAAGTAAAATTGACTTTTTCTTAGGATTGTGTTTCTAAATTTGCAAACGACAAAGTAAGTATCATTGCTAATACATGTATGTGTATTGAATTTAACTATATATACATTCATGATTTACATTGCACATAAATATGTTGAAACATGGTGTTAAATTCAATCAACCAACTAAAAAATATAGAATATAAATAATCTCTACAAACTTAGAGTTATAAAAATGTTTAATTAAAGTTTTACCTTTTATAGACACGTCAAGTCAATGTTTTAATATTTCTTTTATTTAAGTGGGAACTAACTTATCTTGCTAGTGCCTTCAAGGAGCATCAAAAGACACAACAATCATTGATCGACATATACCTAAAAGCTGAGAAAGTGTACAATTATCTCGCACACCATATAAAATGGGAGTACAATAGTAAGTCATTGACAAATTTAATGAAAGTTACCAGGAACAATTTATGAAGATTTAAACTCTTTCAATTTCGTTTTAGATGGTATTGATTTGCTTTGAATTTTGTTATGGCTTTGCATAGATAAATTTAAACTTTGTCACTGAATAAAAAGTATCCACTCGAACATAAAAACGTTTTTCTTATAAACTTATTTTAGACGTAAGTACACTTATCAAAGAGAAAAAAGACTCGTTGAAGTCGGGAGAATGTACGATAGTTATAGCTGGAGAGGTTGGTGCTGGTAAAACAAGTCTTCTGAACTTGATTCTAGAGACACAGATCTTCCCAGTCGATTCACTCAAGTGTACCAACACTATTCTTGAAATACGAAGCAGTGAGAAGAAGGATGCTATTTTCTATTACAAACAATAGCTGTCAGACAGCGGCGAAAGAGAACAAAAAGTACCACCGAAGATCATTAGCTTGAGTGAGATACAATCAAACATAAATCTATCAATAGATATATAGAAATTGTCAAACACTTAAATCAACCGCTTATATTCCAATCATTATGAAAGTATGACTAAATCGACTATTTTTTAACTTACCAGGTATCAAATAATTATGTAAATACCTGTTATTTTTATGAAAAGTGATGTCAAGAAATTTTTTTTATAACCCTGCAGAAATTAGTTATTTTCAAATAAAATATGCATGCTAGTCGAATGAAAGATGCTTTTTATGAATATTTTTACGTAAAAAAGATAGAATTAAGGACCATGTCAAAGCGAAACAAATTCAGAGCAAGTTCTATGATTATACTTAGAGATAGTGAATATTTTAGTTTGATTATTTTAGGGCATTTATTTTACAGAGAGTCTGGATGGAACTCAGGAATTTAAGAACTGTGTTGACCAATCGGACGACAACCCTTACGATCGATGTGAGGTGTTTTACCCATTCAAAATACTCGGTGTGGGTAACTAGTACTTGAACTTATTGTCAACTCGCAGATATTCAAAAAATGTGATGACAGATTGTATTAAACATTAAATATCACTTAATATTTCATAAGAATGTCTTGACATAGTGTCAAAGATTTATTTTTATCACAAATACATTTTTTTGATACCTTAAATTTCATCGGAAATTCTGGACATCATTGTCTTAATTTGATTTCAGAAAGGCGTTGTGATTGTAGACACCCCAGGTATAGACGGTTGGGGTAATATCGATCAAAGATTACAAACATATTTTTCCAGAGCGTCCGGCTTTATTTACGTCATCAACATGATAACTGCTGCAGCAGATCAACAAAGCCGGGTTTGTTAACTTTGTAATTTGCCAATGAAATAATTTGTTTAGTTTTGTTTCTTGGTACTTTTCAGAAAGATATGTATTGATAAACTGTTGTTTACTGTTTGACAACTAAAAAGACTCTATCCGTTAAACGGGATATTTCTTACAAATAACATTGTAGTTAAGTAACAGCAATAATAACCTATAATGACTAGTTTTCGTCTGTGAATTTACTTGTACCTTTTACTACAGCTGCTCAGCCATTTGTTGAAAACTGTTGTCAATAGCAGCGAAGATTTCAGTCCTAAAGCGTCTTTATTCATCGGCAATAAATGGGAGCATGTACCAGAAAGAGATCGCGTTGTCGTACAAAAAGATATCTTTTACAAGGTGAATCAGGTGTATCCTGGTATACGACAGATGCAGATACATTATATGTCTGTGAAGAAGGTAGGTGTATTTACTTGAATTAACATAGTTGTTATCGTTGGTGTGAACTTCCATTTCGGTATTTAGTCTTCTCCATTATATTGAAAGTACGCTTTAACTAGCATTTACTCTTTGTATTCGAATTCAAGAATAATTGTGTCGTTTAGGACGCGGTTATTTTGATTGCCAACCTCAAATATACGGATAGGGTTTACATTTGCATACTGGCGTTCTACAACTTGGGGACCATACGCCGCTTTTAATGGAGTGGCACGGAAGTGTCACATTGAAAGTTCCATTATATACGCTGTATGAACACATCTGCGGATGTTTCTAAATTCAAAATTTGCCATTTTATTTTTAAATGTTGAATTCTGATTAAGTCTGTGCTAGTGGGCGTGGACGGTAGTTTGCACTCGACAGTACCGTCCACGAACAGGCTCAATCAAACCGAGCCTGCAACGTTTTCAATTATGCCGTTTTGGACTTTCTTTAGGGATTCTTATTTTCTCTATTTTTGAAATAATCTTTTGTTACTTTTATATTTATTATTATTTAGATAGACATTTAATTCTGAATGTCCATAAATACGACTGACATTGACCAATGCATAACTGATAATGTAATGCATAACTCATTTACCGATATTATATGTAAAACCCTTGATGTTTTCACATACCATGTACCTTAATTCAATTATTTCGTATATCTCAGACAGAAATGAATAAAGCGGAATTCATAACAAAAAGAGAACCAAACAAACAGAAACTATGCATTTAATATGCATATTTATTTCAGGCGGCAGAATTTAAAATGAAGTATGAAACAACATTAGAAGAGTACAAGATTCTAATGTTCAAGGTATCCCGGCTTGTATCCAGCAGTCTTAGACAAGGAATGGTGTCATATTACTGGTAAAATACAACGTCATTTCAAAATTCAATATAGTATTAAATGTTCTTTATCTATATGTTAAGCACTTCATAAGAGTGATCATGTAATGTCAAATAATACACTAGCAAAAAATCCGGCTCATGTTTGAAAGATATGCATCGTCATTTCCATCACTTAACGTATTCTTTTATTCTGTCATAGGTGGCTTACTTTATTGCTGTCACGCTCATTGTATCTGCTGCGCGAGACATGCGGACACCAGGCGATGACACATGAGGAACAATACAGAGACCCCAAGTGGCTCCGTAAACACTTTGACGATGTACAGGTGATTAATGATAGCGCGTAATTAAAGCTTTGTCATGTGATAAGATTTATTAAACATTTATATTTGAACATAATTATATGAATATCTTAACAAATCGTCAGAATGTTTGTGTAAACGAGTATGATATATCGATTTCTAAGTCTAGGATATTTTTGTTGCGAAATAACATACGCTTTACAAAAGAACTGTATAAGTAGATATTTCCGCTTTTTGCATGAGGAAACATTAGCGAATCGTGCAAGGGTAGAACTTAATGACAGGTTTATAGATAGTTACACTGCAGAAAATTTTAGCGATTTTAATCAATTAGCCAAATTTGGAGCACTACTTGAAACACCTAAGGTGTGTCAATTAACTAAAACTTTGAATGTTTCGTAACAGATTTTAATGTCACAACAACTACAAAGAAGATTTTAGATGCGACTGCACTGTGTATATAAACTCTACTGTCACACAAAGAATTTAGCGGGAAAATGAGAAAATTCTTTGATCGTTACTTTAAAGACATTGATTAAATTGCGGAATGAATTTCTGGATATCTTTAAATGAGAGAGGAAATCATAAACATGAGGTTTCATAATATCATTATGATATAAATGATTCAGTACTCAATTTTATAACACGTTTCCTCATGACTGACAGTATCTTACTTCTAATAACTGTCAAAGAAAAACACACTCATAAATGCACATTTAATGACACAAAAATTCGGACCCTCAAGGATTCCACCATATAGCCGCCGATAAGCCGAAATGTTTTCAACCGACCATTTCTTTTCCACTGTCTATTACAAGTTTTATTCTACGGTTAGCGCCCATAGTTGCGGCACCAGATCGAAACAAATGTAAGACATGTCTTACAAATAAACTCACTCGAATACCATCTTTCGCTTAAATTCACCGCCCAGTCACGGCAAGAATACCTATATGATACATATATTGTTCTACCTTAGATAGTTAGAACACCGATATGTGGTGATTTTTTTAAAGAAACTAATGTGTGACCGTAGTTAATGGTAAATAAACCGCTTCATTTAATTTTAATTTGTCACATAACCTATTCACGAATTGGATTAAAGGCACTGTGCTGAACTCCCGTAACAGGTTAACAGGTAATGATGAAAATTTGAAACGCTCACATTCTGAACCTTTTTGAAAGAATATATATACTACGGATCATAGATTGTTCTTTACAAGACATTGCGGCGTCTTTGATTGCAGAGAGAAGCTCCTGACTGTTTGCCAAATACCTACACAAGTATTTCATTGAAGGTTCCGTGATAACCGCCGTATACTCATTTCGGATTATTCAAAATCAATTTTTTTCCATTTCATGTTAAATAATGTGTCTGTATTGAATGTCTGTTATTCTACATGTTAACATTTTGCCATTCATGATTTTATGTCATTATTTTGTATTGGCACTCGTACTGAAGGTTTTCATGGCGTGAAATCCTTTTGTTTGATAACAATTTTTTTCTGAGAGCGCGTGTCAGTATTTTTGCAGCAACCCCTCAAGCCCAGAACATTTAGCAGCACCCTTCCCTTATGGCTAGAGTGGACTGCGTCATATGTAATCTTTCCAGTGTGTCGAACGTATATATGATGCATAAAACTAAAGAAATTCTCTGATATCCCATAATCAATGTAATTTATCTAACTACTGTACATGTCTGTCTCTTTATAAATATCCATTTGTATCTATTTAAAGAGAGATACTATAGTGAGCACACAGCTTAAATATATCGTGGGAGAATATTTTGTAACATAGATTTAAAATTGTTTTATAATACTGACACAAATTTTTACTGTGAGTGTACCAAATAACCTTCTTCGCAGCCAGTTTACTCAGACCATAATGTATGTTTCATAGTTTGCTCAATGCTGCTAAAAGCGCTGTCCCTGTAATATCAAAATTATCAAATGTTGCAATAACTAATGGTACAAAGTATTGATGCAACTTCTTACTGAAAGGACTGGCTTTCCAAGAACTGAATTGTTAAATAACAATCTGAAATATTCAAAAACGAATAACAGAAAACCGTTCTTTCGATTAAATGATAAATCATTGACAATAAGTCACCCAGTTCACAATTGAATTGATACTGATTATTGTAACATGAACTAGTTTGTGTGTGTGTGTGTGTGTGTGTGTGTGTGTGTGTGTGTGTGTGTGTGTGTGTGTGTGTGTTGGGGGGGGGAGAAATAAGTGTCTTGGAACCGCGCTGATAGGTAAAAACAGTTATATAGATCTGATACAAATTTTGTTCTGTTAAATAATTAAATGACGAACATGTATCTAATTTTTGCATTTCATAAACAAAGTAAACACTTCCTTAAAAACGTAATGAATGAAAATAAATTATTTACTTTCTAAAATCATATAATATTTGCAAATATTAGAAATCGTATAATATTTGAGGTTACAGGCTTAAAAGAAATGTTTTCCTGGAGTTAGAAGATGATCGTATGATGTATAAACTCCCTAACTTAGTGAATGAAATTGCCGAGCTTCTTGGACAACTTGATATCTTCTACATAAACGACATCATGAAGTTTGACTTTGAATTATCTGAGTTAGAGTGGCAAAATAAAATGGAGCTTGGAAATGGAAGATTTGCCAAAGTGTACAAGTCAAAACTTACAAGAAATAACAGACCAATTGCAATAAAGGTATGTATTTGGTTATACTTTATTGAGTTACTTGTGAAATATAACAACAAACATCAACAAGGCAGAGCGACGCTCATTGACAGCAGCACGTATTCAAGTCACAATTGCCCACCGAAAAACGCATCCAGCAAGGCAACAAACAAGGGCAAATATAGTGAACTTAGAGGGGCGAATAAATATATACTACCAATAGTTAAATATGAAAGGTGTTGAAACACTTTTTCATTAATGAATTTTGATGCTTGTTCCGTCAGAATATTAAGACAATCATTTTGCACCTTTCAGAATTTACTTTTAGTATTGATGTTGCAATTGTTATAATAGATAATAAATATTACGAAGAGATATTCAGTAATAAAAACTGATCTTGAATGTTTTTTGTAGGTTGCAACTGATGTAGTCGACCAATCAAATGTCAGGCAAATCCTCAACGAGGACAGAATCATGAGGTGAAACACTTTTGTACGCATTTAAAATAAAAAAAGTTCTGTACTCGTCAAGTGTTTCTGAAATGTAAACGTAAAAGACAGCAAAGTCAAAACTGGTTTCGAATGTGCTGTCTTGATTTTAACCATGAGATTTAAGAAAATTATTTGTATTTTTTTCACCCGTATATCTGACAACGGAACAAAAGTTGTCCAATATAGTTTTTATCTATTAAAATTTGGTGCGGCATTACATGTCTCAAAATAATTTTAATCAACTATCCTCTTTTCTTGTGTATATCACTAAGAAGTATAGAATTAAGATGAAGATTTTCCCCCCATAATTTCAGGGATTTGAAACATGCTAACATCGTCAGGTACTACGGTGCGTCCTATATTAAAACAAAGAGAGGTTTACAATGGATAATAGTGATGGAGCTATGTCAGACAACTCTCAAACAAATATATACTGGTAAATTGTATTCATTATCAAGTAAATAAAAACAAAAGTTACAGCTTTGAATCGAAGACAGAACAAAAGACTTATCCGTATGGATTCAGTGTAAACAATTTAATAAGTTTAGACTTGATTCCACGATTCAAATATAATCAGTATTCTCAAAATGTGTTCTCAATGCTTACTAACATATTTATTTGACATATATGACATTTTATCATCCTTAGTTGCTTCAAATACAATAAGGAATTGATATGATTTTTGACCTTGGAAAATAAGCTTAATAGAGTACGATATCTATTTGATAAAAAATATGTTGGACTCTAAACATGCGAACGAGGCTATATGAGGTGAGATATGCATTTAAAATGAATGTTTTGTTCTCTGGAAATGGAAACAAATGTTACTTTTTTGGTTGTAATATGCATATAGACGTGGATACGATAATGATTTCTATTGGATCATCTCATCGTTCAAACGCTGAAAGTACATTGGTTTTTAAGGTGTGAAATAATGTTTTAAGTTTACTACTATAAATCAATTTTAGTATTTATTAAACTATCACATAAAACATGTTAAAAGATAATATAAAAGAAGTTAATCAATAACAGGAAGCGAAAGAGATGAGCGCATTATTCCTGGTTGCTTAGGTACTGACCACCCACGATTTGCTGAGGCAGCCAAGTATATGCTTGACCACGCCATCCAGATTTGTACTGGCCTGGATTACATTCATGGAAAAGGATACACCCACAGAGATATGAAACTAGAAAACGTTTTGGTAAATACATACTGCATAGTTTGGCCCAAGGTTAAGTTTGAATTTTTGGACTTGCGAGCTTTTTGATCCTACGGGCTTTATAAATTATATCATTAAGAGTTTAAACTCAAACAGCAAGTTTTAGATTTATCTACATGAAGATCATAATATAAGTTTGTTATTTGTTATCTCGATGCTCAAATTACAAATACCTTCAGTTGTAGAATAGTAAGAATGCAAATGATTCGAAAATGTTTTTAAACATTATTTTACTATTTTATTTAGTTTATACAAATTTATTTTAGTTCGATTGTGTTGGAAGCTATAAGCTTATTGAAACAATCTCGAATCCGTTCCTGGAACCAACCAGTACTAAGCAATGCATGTAAAGTTTCTTGCTCAAGGAAACTGTTTTATTTCATTCAGTGATGCCATTAATGTATTGGAAAATTAAATAAATACGTTTACATATGTTTCTTATAATCTTGGAAATAATTTTACAGTTGGCAGAGGGAAATGTTTTAAAGATTACAGATGTCGGCGCCACCAGGGTTACACAGATGCTTTGTGGTTCCCTGGCTTATATGGCACCGGAAGTGCTGCTGTCGAGAAAGATCCAAACAAACAAGATTGACATTTACAGTTTTTCTCTCATATTCTGGGAAATGTGGTTTGGGAAGGATGTAGCTGACGAAATCAACAAAGGTTTACTCGGGTATGGTTGTCATGGAAATGCAGTGGAATTACTCAAATCTCAGATTGCAAGGACATATGGTTGGCGGCCACCATTGAGTTCACCAAAACGTCCTCCAAAAATACTTACTGGTGTATTAAACAGGGGATGGGCTTCCGATCCGGAAGACAGGCCAAGTGCAAATGAGTTTGGAAACACTTTAAAACTGTTTCTGAAGAACAACCTCTAACAAAGCATATAGACTATACAAAATTTTAAAGCTTACCATTATCTCAGCTGAAGAGATTTATGTGATTATATATATGGATAGAACTACTATCATGATAGGCTATAAAGTGTTTCAGAAAGCTAATAATGTAATTCAAAATCAAAGCAAATTGCACAATGTTATTCATTAATCATCAACACAATTTCCTTTATCATCCAAACTATTATATTGGCATCAGTTCATGTATTAGCTTATGATGTTGAAGTATAAACTTCGCAGTTTAACAATCAGTGAACATAATAAATCAATGAGTTTTTCTACAATTACTGTTTACACATTATTTAAACGTTCATGTGCTCAGTTATTAACCAGTAAACAACATTAGTTATATTTAAAGTTATAATTTAGTTTCTTGTCTACAGTAAGTATCTGAACTGTGCCCCTAGTTCTGTTTTAATCTAATTTTGTCCCCCCCCCTCCCCGACCTAAATTTAATATATTGATGATCCATTCGTTTAGCCATTTCACAATTCTGGCCTAAACAATGACATTACAATAAAGAGTTCTTGAACTTGAGTTCTCAGACCACATTTGCATGATACCCATACTGCTACTTATACCACGGCAATTATTGAATAGCCATGTTGTTGGCTATAAAATACATCTGGTTCTCATTATTTTAATATGACGATTACACATAACAATAATTTCACAATGTGATATTCTTTATTTAGCAGTGAACACTGTTTTCCAGGTTCCATTTGGAAGACAATAACTTATACGAATTTAGGAATCATACCATTGGCAATGAGAGGGACATACCTTAACCGCCGTATGAACATAACCGCCGTGTGAACACATCTGCGGATGTTTCTAAATTCAAAATTTTACTATTTCACGTTTAAATGTTGAATTCTGCTTAAGCCGGTGCTAGGGGGCGTGGACGGTAACTTGCACTTTCCAGTACCGTCCATGAACAGGCTCAATCAAACCGAGCCTGCAACATTTTTAATTTTGGCGTGTTGGGCTTTCTTTAGGGATTCTGTATTTATCTATTTTAATTTAATAATCTAATTAAGGCGCATGCCTTTAGTATAGATATAAGTTGTTATGCAGACATAAAGTCGCTAATGTAATTATTATTCGTTGCTAAATTATAATTAATTCAATTATGAATTATATATATGACTAATGAATCGATTATTTAGAGTTATACTTCCAATATTTACTTTTTCCCTAATCTTATGATTCGTTTTATTCTATTCTGTTAATTGATCAATTATATTTGGTTTATATAACAACTCAAATTCTTATGTATCTTTTCAATAATTATATTATTATTATTATTATTATTTTATTTAATGCTTGAAATAACAAAGGAGATATCATTTTGTTTCATTTAGTCTACAGTTAAGTCAAGCTTTAAGTCAACTGGACAGCAAATGTTTATAATCATCAATATAATCATTTTATAATACACCTATCACTCCATTGTTAAAGATCTGTTTTATAATAGTTGTTGCAAAAGTTGATATAGACTAAATGTGCGATGAAAGCTACAATTTTACGGCTAATTTCAATTTATGACATATTATAACTCAATGCTGATAATTTGTCATTCGTTTTGTATTATGTTTTATTAATAAGTGGTTTTACATGAAATACTCAACCCAAAGGTTTTTAACATATTTTGTTTGTACCCAATGATCATTTATACACTATGTTTTTACACTGTTAAAATTATATTGTTTTGTTTGCGTGTTGGTGTGTTATTCTATAGATAAATCACATTGAATCAATATATGCATTCCTCTTTTGTGTGTTACCCGTTCTTATATACAATGTTTGATCTAGAATAAGAACCAAATTTGAGAATTGTGAACTCATTTGTTGCAAGTTATCATTCAAACGGTCAAACAAATGGGATAAGAATTGGAGATGGGAGAAAAAGTAATTGGTGGATATTCGGTTTGATGGAGTCTAATCATGTATGAATGACACTATCATTCACACCCCTCGCACCGGCTTAGGACTTTACATCATTATTTAGAATTTTTAATCATCCTCTGATAGAAGTATATGTCAAGTAATATGTGACTCTTTTGAGCCATAGACCAATATATCCTATAATTGCATGCGCTTTAATGAAGTTTTTACAAATTTGTTCTGTTACTTGCTCAATATAAGTAGTGTAATATTGAAATATGATCAATTTACATGAACAAATCAATGAAAAGTGATTTGAATTTCAAACTTTTTGCATTTATGCTTTATTGTTATATAATTTATAAAATTATCACAATTCTGTGTTTGAGCAGATTAAAAACTTAGAAGACCGACGGTTTAAAAAATATATCAATAAAAGTTTTGTCGTTTTTGGTGTACTTTATATTTAGGAACATGTACTTTTCAAAACACAATATCTTATTGATTATTGGCATCCCTACTCAAACCTTTGACTCCAACTTAAGGTAAAGTAACATAAATCAGACAACATGACGACTAGAATTGTAACTTAGGAAAATTTGTTGTAATATCATCTCTAATTTATACTGTTGATTTATATACGACTGCGTGAAATTTCAGTTTATATACACATGAACAAAACAGTATCGCAGTACCTCAAATGTTTCATATGTCATTCGTTAACATTCGTTAAGTTAAAAACAAAAGCTGAACAACATCCACTCAGAATAAAAAGTAGTTCCTCATTCTAGAGTATTGTTACATTTAGATAACTCATCATTAAAATATTTTGCAAGGTTGTTACATGTAAAAGGTTTTGAAAATTGAAAAACCATGCATTGTCATTTGAAAGAAATATTCAAAACTTATGAAAAGAAATTGTTCATTCATAAAATCATTGTGTATACCTACGCATCAAACTTCGTATCCACGCATGCGCATGCAAGCATGAATGAATTACGACTAGACGTCGTAAATATAGAAAAAATTGTCATACTTTGTACAATAGATATGTCCAAATATACAAAATTTACATTTAGTCAAATAAGTTAACCTTATTTACACGTGCGCATAATTTTTTTCTTTTTCCAAAATACTTCACAAAACGAGCATGTATATGGAAATCCGTAACAAAAATCTAGGTTATACATTTTTTATTAAATGTTTATACAGTGTAAGTACAGCTTGAGCATAAATGATACACGAGAAGGGGGATCATATTGTCAAATATTTTATTACATAACTGTTGGTTAACATTGTCCCATTGTGCAAATCGTTGCACTTTACATCTCATAAATATATCTGATGCGAAGTATATTTCCTTATTATTTGATTATTTGAAATTATAAGTTTTCTTTATTTGAATATAAGTTTTGAAATAATATTTGTTATCTTAATGTTTTCAAATAGCTAAACAGATTGCAACATAATGCATTGTATCGTATTTTCTTTCTTATTAAGGCTATTAAAGTACACTTATGAAATTCTATACGACGCCGTGAAATCAATAAGCACTGACAGACGACATTTAGAGTATTGTTTTGTGCGTTCTTTTTGTATAGCATTATCCAATAAAAAAGCCCGTATCAACTACTGTGTAAAATTTTAAATCAGGAAGTGCAAACGAAATAATTCAAACTTTTCTTATTCAAAGTTGATATTTTGGAATTTAAGGAAATAAATAATATGATTTATTCAAAATAAATCAGAATATTTTAACTAGTGCCTAAATTGGATTTTTTTATCTTTATGGAATAAAAGAAAAAAGGTAGTATTGATTTAAAGCTGCTTGCACGTAGTTTGTGTGCAATTTTTTAACATTTTCGGTTATATATATAACATTTGATTGACAAAACATTCAAAGCGTGACGATATTAAAGTAAAGTATTGCTGTACGAGTTAGGATCAGGTGAGGTAAAGATATTCTCATTTTGGAAATAATTTACAAGGCAATGTTGATTATAACATAAAAGCGTTATATACAGGAATTACCACATTGACCAACGATTCATGTTGAATTCTGCTTAACCCGGTGCTAGGGGGGGGGGGGGGGCGTGGACGTAGTTTGCACTTGACAGTACCGTCCATGAACCTGCTCGATCAAACAGAGTCTGCAACATTTTCAATTTTGCCGTGTTAGGCTTTCTTTCGGGATTCTTATTTTCTCTATTTCATAATTTTATGCCTTACTCGCTTTATCTCATGTTCATATTCTTTCTTTAATTTATCAAGATATTTATCAAAATTCAAGTCATTTGCGTTACATCGCCAGCCACTTACCACACAAATACGGTGACACAAGCATGATAATGTATTTCTCCTTTCTTGCAATTACTATTATTCAAGAATATACCTACTCTTGGGAAAGATTTACTCTAAGTTTGTGCTAAATTATTTGATAATTATTTTCATGACAATTTTGAATTTTAGAAATTTAAGGTAATGACGTATGTAATATGTTCTCTAGGATAAAGGATAAAAGTCAAATAAGTGTATGATTATTTTTAAAATATACTTGTTTTTCTCTCTCGAAACAATACGTTATCTCCCTCTTCTTGTATTTTATGACTCTAGAACAATACCTGCGTTGACTAAACGAAAACGGCAGATATGGCTGACAAAGATGGACATCATCATCATAACAATGTACGCCAAGTTCCTCGCGTTCAATGCGAAGAGGATATACTGCAATTAAAGATGCAACAGATGAGGATTCTAGCGAAAGATTGGGATGTGGATTTATCAGGTTTGACAGGGGCAGATGGCATGCATGACAGACTTATTAAATTCTGGATAGACCGGCAAGAAGGAACAAATAGTGGCACGGTATTGCTTGTTTGTATCTTTCGTCATGTTATTAGTTATTATTATATAATATTAATAATAAGACCATGTGCGATTTAAAATGACCGGAACTCGACAATAAGAATAACGCATTTGACAAAAATCAAAATGCAATATACATCAATTGATACAAAGGGAGATTTATTCCTTCATTTTGAAGCAAAGTATAATATAGTACCATAAAATTTATATTATTATACTATAAATTTAAATATGATCTAGGGATCTTCGTAAACCACCAAAAACATAGCAAACTAAAAATGATAAAATCAACTACAAAATAATAATATACTAATATAATGTGAACTTTATACTTTACTTTTAATGAAACTTTTATACTTACTTTAATGAAACTTTATACTTGAATATAAATATTCTATATCTTCTGAAGCACATAGGACCATCTACCCTTATCTTACCACTATAAAGCTATATGTTACAAAAAAACATAAGATATCTACAAATTACATATATAAAGTAAGATATATATAGTGTATTGTCTCATTTAACAACGATTGTTTTCTGAAGAGTACACATATCCTGGTTCGTTATAATGACCCAGTTACACTATCCAATAGGAAGAGATTGTCGTACATGCGTCTCAATAATATTTCAACATCATCTATATTATACAAGACTGTTACAAATATCTTGTATAATTATTACACGATTGCAGATATACTTGTATGACTTGGAAACCATTTGAACTGTAGGACAGATACTTGTCTTTCTTCCCAGAATGACAAGACAAAAAACACATACCCCTTGCAACATTTACAAGGAGCCCTATTTCCCCGGAATGAAACCATTTCTCGCGATTATACGGAACCACGATTCAGAGTGCAGACGGTTTGATTCTCGATTCGTCGTGGACGTTTTTAGACTCGTTTTGTTGTCACCATTTTTGATATCTAATATAAAGAAAAGACATTTTCTAAGCAACCTAGCGATTCATTAAGAAATTGTCGTGGCTATGGTTTTGTTAGAATTAGTACATTAAGTACCCGGGTATCTTAAATATGTTGAGATGAAATTTATTCCTATAACTGTTTGATGTAAAGTTACTTTTTTGGAAAAGAACAAACAGAAATCGGTCAAATATGTACAGTGTTTCATATTATTAAGTTTCAATCAATTATTTTCTTTTATTTATTTATTAAAGATTTATTTCTCAATGTATGCTCTGTGAAGACATGCCTGAATGTAAATCTATTATGTAATTTAAAGTACATGTATGTTCAATCATTTGCGACACTTTAGTCTGCCCATCAGAAATATTGGGTTACAAACATAACAATTAACGTCGCGTTAAACAAGTATCAATTTCAAGTTTTCAACAGTATGCATGACAGACGAAAACACGTGTTATGTAAACGTGATATTTTTCCATTTAAGAATTTAATGAAATTCAAGTCACGATTAAGGAAACTGTATTAAATCTGGCAATGAGAAGTGAAATCACATCTTTATCTGATAATGTATCAACATAAATAATAAAGTTATAAAAATAAAATAAAATGCTCAATAAAATTTATGTTTACCCTCCATTTATTAAAAACTAAGATCATTATAAATCATTGTGAATGAGTTATGAAGTTCTTACTAAAATACGCTAATGGAATATCTATATCAAAATATAAAATATCAAAGTAAAATATGAAGACGCTAATAACATATCAATTGAGTTGAAATTTGATAGTTGTTAGGTGTTGTTAACCGAATTATTGCGCAAGTTTAATCAAGTAATTAAAATATTACAAATAAGAGCATGATAAAATGACGCGCGACAAATTATTGCACCGTGAAAACATAAAAAATCCGAATTACCCCAGACTTGTCAATAATTGGATAAATTACGTAAATCTCGTTTATTGACATGACATAGTCACACTTCAATGATCGAAGTTAAACAGTATTTACAGAGTAACTACATGAGAGAGGCACAAACTTTACCATACACAGACTACATCTGCTTGTCTTTAATTTCTTTGACATGAGGTTGTACAAGATGCATATGATTTTGCATCAAATTATCTTATGCTTTCTATAGACAGAGTCGGTTGATCTTGCAAGCGCATTCCAAGAACACAAGAAGACACGAAAATCTCTTTACGAAAAGTATAAGAAAGCGGAGAAACTGTATGAGAATTTTACAAGAAAAATACAATCCAACCTAGAAGAATCCCACCATGGTAAATCAAAATTTCATACAAGTTCTTTCCTTTACTTCGAGAATAGGTAGGACTAGGTCAACTACCGGGTACTTTCTTAACAACAGCCAACTTTCAAAATTTGTCAAAATTCAAAATGTTCCTTCACTTCCACTTTACTTTCCTGTAGTATATTTATATGCGTTATTTGGAATTATACGCATCTTTTTATGGAATGAAAAGAAAAAGTTACATTGAAGGTTCCACATTACCGTATGAACTTAACTATTGATGTTTCTTAATTCAAAATATCAGCACTTTCAACTTAAAATGTTTAATTGTACATTAAATCATTTACATCGACCTCATTTTTTTCCACTGCCAATTTTCCCTTAATTATCTATATATTTCAAAAGGTTGACCGTTATAAAACAGCAATTAATAATTACATACATATGTGTCGTATAGTATATATAATATATATAATCTGTTTAAATGTAAAGAGATTGACGTACTCTTTCTATGAAATTGAACTGTACCGATATGTTCTTATTTTTTTTATTCCAAAGTATAAATATGAAATCTAACCTACCGGTAACATTTTGTATTAAACTTGTTTGCTCACGATTTACATTAAGATAAGAATAACTTCACATTAAGGCTATTATTTATTTTAGTGTGCTAGCAAACCTATAGGTAGTATTGTTGATAACGTAAAACATATTAACACTGGTTCATTCAATTGTTTTTAATACATCAATATTTTTTCAATGTCCATCAATTAAGGCGTGCGCACAAATTTGACTGAAAGAAAAGACTCGTTAAAGTCGGGCGAATGTACGATAGTTATAGCTGGAGAGGTTGGTGCCGGCAAAACAAGTCTTCTGAACTTGATTCTAGAGACACAGATCTTCCCAGTCGATTCACTCAAGTGTACCAACACTATTCTTGAAATACGAAGCAGTGATAACGAAGAAGCTGTTTTCTACTGCAAACCAAAGATATCAGACAATGGGAAAAAAGTCAGAATTCCTCCAAAATTGATCAGCCTAAGTATGATTCACATATATCACAAAGTGTCTTAAAAGACATAAAAAATATCACTTTATTAATTCATTTCCATACAGATAAGAGAAGATTAGTCCCATATATGTGTCCTATAACATACTTTGGTACCAGAATCTTTTTTTTAATCAAGTGTTTCGTACGAACGCAAAATAAACTTTTCCAAACCGACCGCTTTGAATTGGAATATATGCCATACACATGATTTCCAAATGCATGTATGGTCTTTATGTTGCATAAATCACGCAAGCAGAGATTGTAAAAATGAAGAAATGATAGGAATGATATTCTGTATAATAAATAGATAAATTCGCACAACAATACCGATTGGTTCGATGTTGTTATTCTACACATGCTAAGATAAGTGCTAAACAATGATTAACCATTCCTGCATGAAAAGAACTTTACCGGCATTTGTTCGTGTACATCATCTTTTGTATTTATTAGTAGTTAAAGCTCTTTGACCGTCAGTTTCTCAAAGTTCTATTTATAAGACTGGCAATTAAGGAACAAATAAAATGTGAAAATGCTCAAGTTAACATACTACATAGATGCATATATTTATACGTATGTTTCAGAGAGTCAGGATGGAATTAAACAGTTCAAAGACTGCGTGGCGGAGTGTGATCAATCAGAAGACAACCCTTATGAGCGATGTGAAGTGTCTTACCCATTCAAAACACTCAGTGTATGTATATGCTATACTCAATAATCCTTACATTATTCCAACCATTGCAAACGTGCAAGAAAGTACATGTATATCTTCCAAAATTCATCATAAATATTAAGAATGTGAATTGACTTAGTAGCTCGTCTAATCAAAATGATTTTAATGTAAATACCAATCAAGAAAAGCATTCATATTAAAATAGATAAAAAAAAACCTTAACGAACGCCCAATACAGTAAAATTAATGCTGCATGTCCGGCCTTTTCATGACCGCCAGTGGCCAATACAAACATTATCAGTGTAACATGACATTTAATGACCCTGTTGGATTACTATCGAAATTTGATTTCCGCATTTAACTATATTAATATCATTCACATTGCAACTTTTTTGGTCACATCGTTACTGTTCAGGTCGTATGCCGTCTTGTAAGCTTAGATTTTAGGGTAACACCTTCTTGCATTATTCCAGGAATGAGCAAGAACCGTAACAGATCTTATAAGAAACCTTCCGAAATTAACTCGTAAATTGAAAGAATTTAAAGTTTCTCGCTGGAATTAAAATGGTTTTTTATATACTGTTTCCTTCTTTTTATTACATGTGATTTTAGAAAGGCGTGGTGGTTGTAGACACCCCAGGTATAGAAGGTGGCAGTAATGTGGATCAAAGATTACAGACATATCTCTCGAGAGCGTTCGGCTTTATTTACGTCATCAACACGAATACTGCTGGAGGAGTTCAACAAAGCAGGGTTTGTTGATCTTTATTCTTGTCTTTTGTTGAAACATATAGCCAATTGTTCATTTTATGTTTATCAGTGATACCATGTAGCCATTCTTCTAGTATCAATCATAATATTGAAGTTCTGTCTACAATTTAATGTGTGTCGTACCTGTATTCATTTTGACGTTTATATTGATACTTAGTATCTAAGCAATTTTTATTTAATTTGACAAAACCAATAGAATATACATCAGCCAATTATATATCATAGAAACATGTATTAGCACATTTGTTAAATTTTGACTTACTTAGGATGTAGCCTTTGCTAGTGGAATGGGTGCAGTCCTTTTGATTCATAAATAACCATGAATGTTTCGATTTTAGCTTGGTCATTTGCTTAAAACTGTGGTCAACGAAAGCGAAGATTTCAGCCCAGAAGCTTCTTTATTCATCGGCAATAAATGGGAATATGTACCGGAAGAAGACCGCGTTGAGGTACAACAAGATATCTTCTACAAGCTAAATCAGGTGTATCCAGGGATACGAAAAACGCAGATACATTATATGTCTGTGAAGAAGGTACGAGTATTTACCGAAATGTTTCATAGTTCTTTAAACACACATTCTTTAATCAATCGGGGTATGCTCTTCCTTTTTGGTCTTGTTTTTCATATTTTGTTATTGAATTACACTAAAATGTCTCATTGTATGTTCCTTGAACACTAACGTATAAAATGCATCTGTAACTGCTCCTTCACTTAACGTTATTAATTTCAAATCATATTTTGATGTTATACATCCTAGTGGGCGTACATAGTAGCATGAATTATTAACAACTACAGCCATACAACATTTTTATTTGGCCATGATATCAAGGATTCCCCGTGTGCCTTCTTTGTTATAGTGGATTATTTTTTGAGAATCTTAACTAATACCTGAACATGTAATATTATACTAGACGATACTAAGAAAAATACTAAGAAAAAAGTAAATTTAGAGCTAAACACCATTATGATTTTGCTCAAGCACAATGCACACTTCCAAACTTAAGTTGGATTTAGGTAATTAAGACCTATTAGGTATAAATTTTGACCGTGATGTTAAAATGGAAGACAATTTATCACACTTTTGTAACCACCAAGAATAGAAGTATTGAGTTGAAACGTTGGAACCATAGATTCAATGTTATTGTTTGAAAGAGAGATTCATTGTGATTATTTTTCCCATTCATTATGATTATAATGATAGGTCAGAGTACACATGGTTTGTCATGGTACCAGATAACTGTTTATGTTGAATGGTTCTATCTTTTTCTTTAACGGATATCAATTAGCAGTTATTTTCACATCATTTTATCTCAGGTGATATAGAAGCAAGGTTTATTGCTATTTTAGGCATCGGAGTTTCATCTGAAATACAAAAGAAAGCTGCAGGAACACACACATTTAATGAACAAAGTTGTTCACCTTGTTCCTAACAGTCTTAGACAGGGAATGATTTCTCACTATTGGTAAATATCTATTGTGTTTATGCTATTCTTTTGATAAGTTGCATGTATACGAGTATAAAGGACATATACATTGTATAAAATTAATTGTAAGATGTATTCACCGCAATATCAAAAGGGTGCCTTCCCGATAGCCTGGTATGACTTAATATTTTCGGGGCTGCTTTCAGCGAACATTGCGGTTTCTCGTTGATCTCTGTATTCATTAATTATAGATATAATTTCTTATAATAACAATTTATAACTGTGACGCGTATTTGAGTATATGACAATAACATAACACATAAGGACAATTAAAGACATCCGGCCCATTGTGCCTACATGTCACCAGTACAATCAAATGAAGTCATACTTTTACATAAATGCTTAAGGCAGAATGGAAGAAAGGTTTTATACTAAGCGTTTCAAAGTTCATGCAGTGATTGTACAAAGTTTAAATACATACAATAAGCTATGAATTATTATTATATAACACAGGTGGCTTTCTACATTCCTGGCAAGGTCCTCGTACCTCCTGCGTGTGACAAGAGTACAGCAAGCGATGACACGTGAGGAGCTAGACAGACAATATGAAAAAGTTCACAAACACGTGACCGATTTACAGGTAACCTATCTATTTTTGTCTGTTCCATTTTGGTTTCTGTTTCTATTTCATTGTTTATGTTTAACTGAAAACAACACATATCCCGAAAGTAACAAAATAGCATAAAAAACGAACAAACGCACAGAAATTTCAAAATGATAAAGCATTTACAGAACAGGAGTGATTATCAAGAAGTAATCGTGTTTTTATGTTTTAGTGTTCGTAATTTGCTGGTTATATGTATAGTTATTCTTGTGTCTTACATTTTTATTATAATTTTTATAATATTGTGTCATATATTCTGAAATTAATAGATAATGCACACAAAGTTAATGTGCAAAATAGGCTCAACGTTTTACAATTTTCAGAAAAACACTGACGAATGCATCAGCCGCCTCCGTTTCAGGGTTGAATATGAAATTAAGAGAATAATAACAGAAGTCCAAAATATTCTAGAAGACAAAACGTTTATTGGCAGGTAAACTTTTAACAATCCTACTTTATATTTCAGTAGCTGTAAAAATGGTAAAATCCCCAAAATAGAAATGTACTGACATAGATGTTGTACAATTTGTGGCAATTCAGGAATATTTTAAACACTCAATGTTTGGATTTTTATATTATAGATAAAAATATTTCTGTTGATTTGATATGATACGTGTGAATCACGAGTGACAACATCTCAACTTGATGTCGCCGACCTTTGATCAGTCGGCTGTTTTCACACTTCGACTAATTGAGATGAAAATATGATGGACTTTAATTGTCGGGACCAAATTTTCTTTTCGACTAAACAGGAGTCTCAGTAAGTCAAAATTTGACCTGAGCGGAATTAAAATACAAAGATAAAGAAGGAAATTTGACGGGACTTTAGAAATTCTTCGACTAACGCGGAATTTTGAGTAAAGCGATTTTGACTTATTGAGAGTCAACTGTAATTTATATAACATTATTTGTGTGTCGTTTTGTTGCTAACATTTTGATTTTAAGTAGAAGTGTGATTTGATGCTAAATGATCGTCTAGCACTCGTTTAAGTAGACATTGCCTTTTAACCACACATATTATGCCTTTTGGTTTTCTAAACAATTGTTTATACTTAAAATATTATATGTCCCATTTTTGAATAGAAAGTTGTGTTTGTTAATAAAGGGAATACAATAATAAAAGCATGAACTATTTTCATTTTTTACACAGATTAAGTAATTGGGAAGGCAAGGAACAACGTCTGAAACCGGACAAGAAATGGAAGAACACTGCAGATGCTGCAGCTGTGAAAATATCAGATCGAATTTCGCGAGAACTTGATGTCTGGCAAAAACAGAAAGGCCTTCTACACTTGATAGATAATGAAATCATATTAGTGTTCAGGAAAGAGCTCGGACTGATGGACGATCAAGTGAAAGAACTTGAAGGTATCTTATCTTGTTATTGAGGCAATACTAGCTCGGATTATACATGTACTTCTAATGCGTTTGGAAACTTCTTTTTTTTTCTTTAAAATTTGTTTTATAATTATCCTAGTTTTCTGTGTTTTATATACAAGCATATTTAAAATTAACATTAAATATTAGAAATGTTTGGGGTTGTTTCTTTTTTTTTCAGAAAAATAGTGAAAGACTTAATAGCTTACTATCAGAGTAAATACAAACAATAATACCACTTTGTGAAAAATAACATGAATAGTTGTAATAGTGTGTGTAAATGTTTTTGCATGATCTAGAATATTTGATGAATAGCCATAAAGACAACATGAAGCAAATGATGCGTGTAGAACGTCCGAAAACCTTCTTCTTTAGAAAAGCGAAAAAAGTAGAGAAAACATACTCAACGATAGGTGGCGCGGTCAGCTGTATGGGAATGCTTAACACAGACAAGAGAAAAGTTCGAGATATATTCAAGTAATAATTATATTTTTATTATTTTTTCAAGCTTGAAAAACTTTAAATCATTACTATACCTTTGATGATACCAAATGATATGCCAATAGTACATTTACAAAATTTCAGTTTTCAATGAGAAATAAAACTTTTGTTTTGGTCGCTTTTCTGTGTGTGTTTCACGCCGATGTTGGTCGATCTGCCTAAGCGGAATAAACAACTACCCAATAATGTTCATTTTCTCACCAAGTGATAGACTTCTAATCAGAAGCAAAAGTTGTAGACAAATGACTACATGTGTATTAGTCAAAAGTTAAAGTACGCCTCGCACGCCAGCGACCCTTGCATTATTAATCTAATGCTTTCCCTATTCATCTTAGCGGGCTGACAGATTGGGGGAATAAAACAGATATGTTTGCTAAAGATCCAATCACCTTCTATGTTTCAGGATAAACTTTAATGACACAACACAGGCTCTAAAAATGTCAGAGGCGACTCAGCTATATATAAATACAATACTGTCACACAAAGAATTCAGCGGGAAACTGAGAAAATTCTTTGACCGTTACTTTAAAGACATTGATGAAGCTGCGAAAAGAATTCCTGGATTTCTTAAGGTGAGTAGAGAGAATCATGAAAATGTGTTTGCGTATTTACATGTTTATATATCATCGGCTGGCTTAATTTTTTTTTGTATTTCTTCACGTGAGAACAGGATGCTATGAAGATGTAGTTACATTATGTATTTACTATCTGTTGCATAAACTGTCTGAGTAAACTACTCAAGTTTGTTCCAAAACCGTCCCCATTAATTCTTGTTTTCAAACAGTTTAATTCTATTGACTAGCTTTATACATATTTGGTGCGTCTGTAAATGTAAGAAATCAACATGGTTTAGTATGCATATGTCACCGGACCACTCATTCGGGGAAATAATTGACAACATGGGCCGACAGATTTTCAATGGGTTTAATATTGTCATGGAAACATGGAAAGATACGCTCCTGTAACAAAACAATATAAATACAATGTCAAAATAGGGGATTAGCAATACATATTCATAATATCAAAGCAATGCACGACAAACATTACATATTATAGTTTCAAATACACATGATACTTGTATCAACATTATATATTTCAAAAAAAGCGTGTAGCATATAAATAAAACATTTTAGTATACAATAGAAGGGTTCAAGATTGATAAAAAAGATAAATAAATAAAATATTTTATTATAGAATGACAATTATTGATATAATGTCTAAAACATAAATGATTAATAATGTGAGAATGCATAAAATTTAAATCGATTTTTTTAACAAATCTAAATAAAAATTCATTTAATGAAATTAACGGTTGCTGCATTAAATTACATTAAATTAATTAATGATAAATGAGAAGAAAGTTTTTGAAAAATTTCCGTACTTAGGCTGACCAGCAGCTTATAGAGACATTAAGGACCAGTATTGAAGAAGACGAACGATTGAAGAAGAAACTCCCAGAATTAGTGAATGAATGTTGCGACCTTCTTGGAAAACTAGATATATTCTACATCAATAACATAATGAAGTTTGACTACGATCTGTCCGAGTTAGAATGGAAAGATAAAAAGGAACTTGGTAGCGGAGCATATGCCGAAGTATACAAATCCAAATTGAAGAAAAAAGATAGACTAGTTGCATTGAAGGTAATTGTTATCAATTTAGACAATAACGAAGTAAAGTTTTTGATGTTTCTGCAAATGTATAAAGCAAATTACAGCTGTACAGTATGATTGTTTTGTTTGATAAAGTCATATCGACACTTGAAAGATCATATAACGACTTGACAGTATTACTGGTGGAGAAAGGCATCAGTTACAACTACGTGCATAATTTCTAAAACTAGGCGGCACCTTTGTTAAAAATCTGGAAAAAGTAATCTCTCGGAAGCATTAAAAACAGCAAAATTACATGAAAATTGCAGACTCGGTTTGATTGAGTCTGTATATGCCTTCCCTACGCTAGCTGGATAGCTTCATCACAAGAAAATATCCAACATTCATGACGGGATTCGAACCAACAGCCTACATAGGCAAATGCTTCTTAGACGGTGACCACAAAAGCATTGCCAGCTACATTCACATTGGCTACGCTTCAGGTTCAAATGAACTCACTATAACTGCACTTAGACAAGTATTGTTTTCTTAATGTTAGTCATTCTTGTTCCAACAATAAAGTATTGAAAAATAACATTGAATAAAACCTTTATAATATATTTGGATATCACATTGGTATTTGTGATAATGAAAAGGATAAGCTTCTTAGTCTATATATTGAATTAATTAAGAATTTCAATTTTGTTAACATATATCATTTTATGGAATATATTGTAATATACCGGTATTAGGATTTAAACAATCATGCGAAATGTAATATCATAGATGTTTTTACTTCCATTAAAGTGAACTTTTTTTTCAGGTAACCACTGATGAAGTCAACGAATCAAATGTTACAGAAATTCTGAGTGAAGACAGGACATTGAGGTGCCCTTTTCTATGTATTCTCATGATTAATTTTCTTCGTTTACATTGCATGATATGAATGATATAAATATATAAATGTTTTCAGAATATAACGAGGACGTAATTCGGCATAATTTCCCCGATTTTTATACTCACAACAATAGGCTTGGAGATCTATGTGGCAGTTGTAAAAAGTTTGCCAGAAACAACTTCAAGGCAGTGTTGATATATTTGTGATATTTCTGGGTCATTGATTTTAATACGATTACTGTGGGAGAATGCATAATACTTTCGCTGTAGACATCTCTATTTGTAGAGTTATATGAAAAAACATGAACTATTATTATATATTAAACATGTGCCTGAAACATTCAACACATTCTTGTGCCAACTACATTTATTACAATTCCTTTATCCTAAGGCAAACTAAGAAACTGGCGTATTATCAATGATATTAAAATTAATTGAACATTGCTTTTTTGCCGACGGTCCTGTGTTGATGGGTTTCATCGGGGGTATGCGTTCATTGAATACCATCCTTCTTTGTTGATCTTTGTTTACGTAAATAAACACTATACAGGTGAAATGTTAACATTCAAATGACAGAATCTCTATCTGACAAAATATCTCCTGTATATAAACATCCATGTATATATGAAATATCTACAAAAATACATCAACTAAAATATAAGCAAACGACGTGCTCCTTTACACAAGGCGCTTGCAAAATGACAACAGATCCCTACAATGTTAAGATATATTATATCACCTAGAATGAAATGTTCATGGTTGCATAATTTAAATATCGACAAAGGCTAGATAAAGCATTATATATTCTTTAATAAACAAATAGTGATATTAATACTATATCGGAACAAAGATCAACATGGAAGTGTGGCATTCAATGAACGCAGCCCTGACTAACTCCAGTAAACCAAACCCACCGACACAGCAGAGCGTCGGACAAAAGAAGGAGAGAACATGCATTCATAATACTGGTTTTGGAAAATATGTTTTTCAGGGATCTTAGGCATGATAATGTTGTCAGATATTACGGTGCCTCGTATGAGAAAACATCAAAGGGTCTACACTGGATAATGGTCCTAGAGTTATGTCGGACAACCCTCAAACAGATCTATACTGGTATTATTTTTTTAGAATTTATTTTCTTTCCCCGTGTAATTAAGGTTGACACATACAAGTATCTGTATTATTGTAATATTATCAGGCCCAGAATAACTTTCTCTCTCAACTTTAGGCTCAAGTTAGTAGATGTTGAAATGTTTCTGAAGGAAAGATAAATCGAATTATATTTACTGGAAGGAGTCCTAAACTCTCAGCTAAACGAGTATTCTCAAATCATTTAATATCATTATACCTCAAGTACTATAGCCTTGTGTGACTTCACATGGTGATATTTCGATCTATCATATCTATCAAATGAATATCACCATGTCAATATTTTTTGTAATATTCCCCAGGGGCGAGTAATCTATATATAACCTCAGAAAACGTAATGATCCTGTTCACTCCCCTGATAAAAATCAACGATGAATGATAAAATAAAAAAATAACACATCTCATAACCCTCGGCTACCATCCGGTTTAACTGTACTAGATATATATCATTTAAGTCCAGATAAGAAACCTATTGCAGTAGTTTACGAAAGGTCGGTGGTTCGATTATGGTGTCAGCTCATGCCTGAAACAAATGCACTTAGAGGTACATGCGGCCTCTCTACATCAGTATATCTGGAAAGTCGCCATGTTACATTCACAGTGTCATTGTTATCTTTAAAAAAACAATTTCCCCCTCATATTTAACATTTCCATATCTCTTTTTCTAAAAGGGAGTGAAAGAAATGAGCGGAAGATACCTGGTTGTCTTGGGAACGATCATCCTCGTTATGCTGATGCAGCGAAGTTTGTGCTCGACCATGCCCACCAAATCTGTCTTGGCCTAGAATACATTCATGAAAAAGGATACACACATAGGGACATGAAACTAGAAAATGTGCTGGTAAATATCTGTGCTTTTTATTTTACCATTTTAGAAAGTTGTGTGTATAGATGGACATCAAGTGATTGGTTATTAATGGGGTATGGCTTCTGTGAATTATTATTTCTACATAAGTATTTTTAAATATCTTTTATATCGTTAAGGCATCTTAATAACTGATATATGTATTAAATTGTCGCGGTTAAAATTGAATTAAAAAATGTATTTTTTGCTGTTCTTAGCAGGATTTGAGTGAAAAGCATAGCAACCCTTTTCAGTTTTTAGTCCTTTTTTTACAATGAGAATAACTTTTCTGGAAAAACGGAGTGAGCAAATGATTTCAAATTTTGCACACAAGTGTTTAGTCTAGATCCGCACAAAATGGAACATAAATTTCGAAAAATTATTTCCAGACCTATCATTACTTACTGTCATAAAACCTCAGTGAAGTCCCTTTCACAGTACAGACATGGCAGTTTTCAGTCTAAAGACATGTGTTATAAATAAATTGCAGGTAACAGACGATAATGTCATCAAGATTACAGATGTTGGCGTGACCAAAGTTACAAAAATGCTGTCGCAGACTGAAAGGGGTTCTCCAGCGTATATGGCTCCTGAAGTCCTCCTCTCAGATAGGGCCCAAACAAACAAGCTGGATATCTACAGTTTCTCAATCATGTTCTGGGAAATGTGGTTTGGAAAAGACATAGCAGACGAGATAGCGACTAAATGTTTCGCCTACGGTATCAACGGCAATGCAATGGACGAGCTGAAATATCATATTGCAAAAACTGACGGCTGGAGGCCCTCACTGAGTTCACCTAAACGTCCACCAGATTTGATACTAGATGTTTTGAAAAGGGGATGGTCCTTTAATCCCGAGATGAGACCAAGTGCGAAAGACTTTGGAAACACAATTAATCATGTACTTAAAAACGTTCTATAGACAAAATGTTTAATTACCATACTAACCAATGGATGAGGGTAACAAAATTGTATTGCCTGTTGCATTATTATTCGGTGATTCAAAATTATCTATAATAACTGTGAAAACATAAAAAATTGCTGAAAAATAACCAGGAGTAAGATGAGAAAAAAACAGATATGTTTGACAGTTTGAAATTCAAAAGGCACGAGTGTGTACTAAGAACATGTAGTTAAAAATGTGTAAAAAGAAAGAAAGAAAGAAAGAACGAAAGAAGGAAAATGATTGTAATCATGAAAAATGTCCAAACCAGTATCTGAATTTCAGAATACGAACAATTGTTGTTAATCATTATATATGTAGTGCCCGGAAATGGAAATACTCTGTATATCTACAGTGGTATTGATAATATTAAGGCCAAGAGTGACCAATGAAAATTTACGTTACGAACATTCAGTGTTATAACAACTAAAAGACTTCTGTAAATTATCCTGTATATGATAATTCATTTTGGCAAAACCACCTTTATATATAATGGTCTCATTAGTCCTATGCATACATAAAAAGTCGACTTAAGTACATTTTAAGTGTCATTCAGTGAATAAGTCAAATTTTGTTTGTTTGTTTGTTTTGGGTTTTACGTCACATCGACACAGTATAGGTCATATCGCGACGTTCCAGCTTTACTGGTAAAGGAAGACCTCAGGTGCCCTTCCTTGCATTATTTCAGGCACGAACGGGCACCTGAGTAGAACCACCGACGTTCCGTAAGCTAGCTGGATAGGTTCCTCACACGAAAGAATCCAAAGTCCCTGTCGGGATTCGAACCCACAGCGGTGAGGGGCAAGTGATTTGAAGTCAAATAACTGTATTCAAAATTTATAGGTCACCTATCTTAATGGGCATGGATAGTGGCAATCATGACCGGGTTTGTATGTTATAGCTAAATGCCTGAAAGGGCGTGTTGACCCTCATTAATTAAACCTATAATACATTTATAGATCACGTTTTTTTAAATACGAATCTAAGGCATGTTTTATCCATGAACATACATAAATATATCTATTTTTATATATCATTGATTTCGATCTAGTACAATAATGTGAATTTCAGTGCAATTTGATTGGCTGAATATAAATTATTTATACATTTATATCTATAAAATAATATCCAGTAATAGATGTTTTATATATTGGTGTTAATTTTCAAATTTGTATATTAATTGATGTTTTTCATTTGAAAAACTCAGATATCAGAAATAAAAGCAAAAGTCTAACTGAGTAGTCTTTTTATTATTGCATGAAATACTTATTGCATAGTTATTTCGTCGGGCGTTACTTTACAATAAATTATATATACGGTCTTAAACATGGGTTTGATAGACGTCTCTGTTTTTCCATATCTTTTTCGCCTTCTTTGTTCGCTACTAATGCTTTTAACATGGCGTCAAAGATACATTCAAAGCGAAGTTGATTGTACAATAAATAGTAAATAGCCTGTCATATATTGATTTAGAAATTAAGCAAAAAAAAAAGACCTCAAAATCCCGCTGACCAACTTTAGTCTATGGATATGAAGTTTTGCCTGTTGTGAAATATCAAAACGAGGTTGAATAATACAAAATCTCATTTTTGTAAAATAAAATGAAAAAAAAAACAAAAACAAAACAACAACTTCCAGATTTTTAGGATTTGTCTATCGTTCTTTTTAAAGGCAAATTTTGATTTTATCTACGCAAGTCTCTATTGTTTATATTTCGAATCCATTGCCGAAATATAGGTTTGTCACGACTGAGTTTCTCTTTTGTTTTCCAACTAACTTAGAAAAATATCACATGATTTACAAACACTGACAATATTTTTTGGTAACAAAATATTTATCTTACGAAGCCCATGTAACTTTTAAATTTATTTGTTTATTTTTTCGGATTCAAAGGCTCAGTGAAAATTGCTCTCTCCTTTGTTAAAGTGGCATTATGCTCATTAAATCGCTGTCAAATTGAATTGAATTGGTAATATAATTCAAAAGATTGAATATTATAATGATGATTGATCAATAATTGATAATGAAAAGTGTTTATGATACATACAATATAAAAACGACCTTAATTATAAAAAGACTACCCCACTCTTTAACGTTACCGATACAATCTGGACGATATTTATAGAAATTTCTGTTGGTCACGTGGTTATTAACTTTTTTTCATAGGAAAATATTCAATTGAACACAATTATAGCAAAACGTCAAGTTATATGTTCGTGAAGTTGGCAGACTAACAGCCTAGCAGTCTAAGGGAAACTATGGATAGTACGAACAAGAAACTGGTCGGAAATGAATAGGTAGCACTTACTTAGATCATTCCACGCCTTTTTTCAATATTGCGATCTTTATTTTACAAGATGTTGAGCTTTTTTTTTTGCATTCTGGCGCTTTGAAATTTGTGAACTTAGCAGCCTAGCAGCCTGGCAGTCTAAATTTAACAAAGGATATAGTACAATCATGAAACTGGTCGGAAATGAATCGGCAGCACTTACTGGGACCATTTCACGCTTTTTTCAATATCGTGATCTTTATTTCTAAGATATTGAACTTTTTTTCATTCCGACATTTTGAATTTTGTGAAAATAGCAGCCGAGCAGCCTGGCATCCTAAAGAAAACTAAGGATAGTACAAACATGAAACCCGTTGGAAATGAATCAGTAGCACTTACTTGTAAAAGGTGTGTCAGTTACAAAAATGATTATTTTCACTGTACAATAAAGAGTTCTTTTTGAGGTATGTGATTAACAGAATATTATATTCGAGGAGATTCACAACTTATTTTTTTTAAATCCATGAGTCTTATACAATAAAAGTAATTATATACAACTCGTTTAATAAATTTAGTAGTGAATCTATGTACACTCATTTATTATCCTGTGGCATGCGAGTATATAGTTCCCCCTCGTATTTGTCGTTAAACACTAAATTTATACTTGCATTCTTTAAAAACAGATATCAAATTACGCAGATGTAATCTAAGTGTTAATATTAGTTTTGAAGCAGGTACAAAAAGTGTTCATTTGAAAACATTTTCACCTGATAGTGTGTATTGTCGAAACATGACGTCCTTGAGCGCACGCGCAAAACTTCTGCCATATACACCGATTTTCAACAAGTAGGTCCATGGGGTAAAAAATATATTTAAAAATTCGACCTTTCCCGATTTAGTCAATAGTTGTCTTAAGACATTCATTTACCACCCTATGACAATATCTGAAAGTTTTGTATACAACACTCTCGCAGTTTTCGTGTAATGATCTCTCAAACACAGGTGGCTGAAGACTAAATTTATTACGTATAAACCTCCGTTATTAGAGCCCTATGATGTATAATGTACACTTATTTGATATAATATTTTTGAAAACATTGCTAAACTTAACATTATCGTAAAAGTATAATATAGCAATACTTATTTTTTTAAAAGTACTAAACGAATTGACCAAGAAGGAAGAAAATAATTCTATTTTATAATGATATGTTCGCATTATAAATTGGTTACAACATAAATAAATAAATAAAATCATATATATGCTACAAATTATGTATACAGTACCGGATATGTTAGTTGAAGTCATCGCATATAAACACAAATGCAACTTTTTAATTCAATGTAGAAAAAAAAAAGAACCAAATTTTCGCAAAGTCCACATATATCTAACATACGTGGCCAATCATTAATAATTCACCAAAAAATAACGAAGGTTTTGATTTATGAAAATACAAAAATGTTTTAAATCTGATCGAAGATCTATTTAATTTTCAACACAAGAATGAACAGATACAGAAATGATTTATACAGAAATGTATATAATGAATATTAAGTCATAGCATTGTCTATAGTATTTCATAAATTCACTGATTGAATGGTAGCCATTCATGAAAATAAACATTAAAAGTCAGAATAGTGAACTGATATAGTCCAACAAAGTTTTTCTTAGATTATTACCCTTTCATTTATAACCATTAAACACAATCTTATAATCTAGATATGCAATAGGATCACCTCATCAAGACAAACGATTAAACACTAATGGTAACGAAGGTTTCCTTAGAATCAGAAAATAACGTAATACATCATTTTAGGTTCATAGATAAGTTTCTGGTTGTTCTAATAGACATCGTCAATCACGTTTAAACATATTTGTGTGACATGGCTACAAAATATATCATGATATGTTAAACTAAATGACAAATTTAACACAAACAGTCTTGTTGATAACGAAGGTTTAGTGGCATCACTGCTTTTCAGTAATACAATGCATAAAGACTCAAAATACGATCTCTATCATATTCACTAATTTTGAACATTCTTTTTGATTTTCCTGTAGCTTCTGGTGCATCTACTTTTGTTAATATTTCACAAGGTTTCTGCCAAACAATATCCTCATTTCTAGGCCATGAAAGAACTGCTTCTTGGTTTCCATAAATTTAACTTCATACTCTTCTTCATCCTTATCAACTATTACGCCAATAAACCACTTATTTTCATATACAGAAGCAACATACACTCCATTTCCATATTTCATTTCCACCATATCTAGTGTGCACTTTTCTACTTCTGCATTTCTAGCTTCATCATGTCTGTTATTTTCGGCATTTTCATCTTCATTATTTTTCTCCTCTTGAGCACAAACTGTATTTACTCTGCTATTATTGGCCGCTATTTGGGTCCTAGTGAATTCATCATCCCAAACTAACCTCCCTGACTTTGATTCGAGACTCTCCTTGGCCAATCACTGCATGAATCCTCATAGTCCCTTTGACAGCTTTGACTGGATTACTCTGAATTCGTATTTCTGTTTCTCTGCACTTTTCAGAAGAAACAAATCTAAATTGGACATTTTTCATACTTGAGTTGATACCCCATTTGTAGAAATCATTTACGTCTTGGATAATAGCTTTGCCACTTCTCATAGCTTTGTCGGCTAGTCTCTTGCAAGACCCACCTAAACCATCACACGGCCCTTTGCCGTGACCGGCTTCAAAATAGTTCCATCTAGCCTTGGTACCATACCGCTGTTCATGGTAAGATAGAAGATCAAATATATGTTTGTTGCGGTACTGACTGG